CATTCATCTAAATATTATTGATTGAAAGATTTTGTCATGGTTTTATATTTATAGTCTAGTCTGACTCTAGGACAGATGGGAAAAAAGCAGGTATTTTCTCTTTTTTTTTTGTCTTGTTCAGCAGAGAGTTCACTGAGTTAAGCTGGTCTAAAAACTCCCTGAACTATCAGACTCATGATGAACCGAGTGTGGACAGACAACAGGCCTGGATGGTTCAAGAAAAAAAAAACAATTCCCTGTCTGAGGTTCCCCAAACGACTCACTGCGTCCTCTAATTCTATTAACCTGCAGGTCACTGAGACACCTGGGAGCTCCTGGGCCTCCAAGACTCTCATTACAGTCTGGTACTAATCCAGGTAGGAAACACAATGACCACAAACCCCCAAGGGAACATTGTGACCGCAGATCTAAACTCCTTAGTTCAACTGTAAGAAGAAAGAGCAGAGATCAAACTGAGGGATTAAAATAGTTCAAAAACATTCACGATCCCAAAAGTCACAGGTCAAACTTCGATTAAGTAAACTTTATAGTGTTTTCTGTGTAGTTTGGATCCATGTGTGCTGGTTGGGTCAGGGCCACTCAGAGGTCGCCAACTGAATGGCGCAGCCTCACCCCCAATTTCCAACAGGTCTGGAACAGCAACTAAAAGGCTGTATCTGCTGATCGTAGCTGATCGTAACCATTCAAGTTAAAGTGTCAATTTCCACCGGCTTCTTTCCGTTCCACGGCGGATCACTAGACTCCGCAACTGATCACAAGAGTTCTATTTTTTCCGTCAGCACAGATTAACCTATTCTAGAAAAGAAGTCGGGCACAGACACAAAATAAAACATCTGGCTTCTTTTCGAAATAAAACACTCCATGTTTCAGGCAGATTTCCTTCTCTGGAAGGACACAATCTACTGCTTATATGGTTAGCCTATGTGGCTAAAGACAACTTGTTATCGTGCGATTGCACATGAATCTGTGGGTTCTTGTGAGTAGGAATTGGCGTGTGGTGAAAATCACTGCCGTTCCAGATTGGAGCCGTTCTGGATGTGGTGGAAATCCCAGGTGAGGCCACATAAGGGACAGGGACTCTTGGAGAGTTTTCTTTATCCCGCTCCTGGTGGACATCAACAAAGACCTGGAACAAACTTGGATTCAGAGTTCCCACCTGAGGCTCTGTCCTTGGGTTTTATAGAAGCCAAATGCAGGTTAGCCCAGATGGGTTGATTGAGGGGCTTTGCTGGGCTCCTCTCATGGCTCAGATGGTTGGAAAGAAGTCCACTTGAAAATGTAGCTCACTATTGGGAAGAGACCTGTGCCACAGCTGATACTAAGTTTTAGGGGAATAGTGTATTAAAAACATAGACTGATAAAGCTGTCTTCTTCTGTACACTGGGATGTCGAGAGACGCTTGAATATCAAACCTTTTCTGAAGTCTTCATGTTGTTTTAAAGCCTAAAATCCTTGGGGGTGACCTAAACTTCACGACCCCTTTCCTGTTTGTTGGGATTAACAGTGAAATGTTTCCCAGAAACTGGTTGATTAAGTTCAGCTGGTGTCGGGTGGGAGGATGGAGGCTTTCCTGCAGAGTCTATAATGGTCTTATGGTACTAATTAGACTGTTGCTAAAACAACACTGGTGGTGAAACAAAGAGATGGTGTTGAAATTTGGATGAAAAGTCAAACAAAAAAAAGAAAAAGGCTCGTTCACACCATGTCACAGCTGACTTCAGTGACTCACTTAAAATACAGGGTATGAAGAACCATTGGAGAAACTGGGTTAGAATCCCCGGGGATGACTAGTTCGTGAGATGATCAGTTCACTGAAAGATTCGAAGGAGTTTTAGTTGTCATTCCAGTCTGCGAGAGAAAAGAACAAAACCAGAACTGAGGGACCGGTATTAGCAACAAGAACATATTTGACATACAGATAAAAGAGAGGTTAAAGGGATATTCCAGCGTAAAATTAATTCTGGGTCAAACACACCATAACACTGTTAGACAACCCCTTGAGAGATGAATGTTGCCGACTGCTTGCTTCTCTAGTTATACCAACTTTAGTAATGACTGCTTGTTTGTAGTGAGACCTCAGGCAAGTCCATTACAGACTACAGTGGGGTGACGCAGCTCAAGGAAGAACATTTATGATAATTACTTTATCATTTCCTTGAAGTAATAATCATCATATTAATCATTTTTCACTGCAGACGTGGTAGCTCTTCTGCCTTAGTGTCTCGGTCTGATTGTATTTCCATGAAGAAATGATCATAAATGTTCTTCCTTGAGCTGCGTCACCCCGCTGTAGTCTGTAATGGACTGGCCAGAGGTCTCTACAAACAAGCGGCTGCTGGAGGAGAGTGGGTAAGTTGTGTTTAGTCTCTTTGTTAAAGAAATTATGCAAAGTTAAAAAGATGTTTGATGGTTAGTGTTGTGGCTGGGACCCTATATGTCCTGTTGACGAAGTTAGGTGCTGTTCTGAGCATTATTTGTGGTTATAGAGTGGCGTTTTGGTTGAGGTTTGTTTATGGCTCCTCAGACCGCTGTGTTTTGCTATCCTGTGGTCGTTACTCAAGTTGGTATAACTCGAGAATCAAGCGGTCGGTAACATTCATCTCTCAAGGGGGTGTCTAACTCGGTGTTGCGGTGTGTTTGACCCTAAATAAATTTTACGCCAGAATATCCCTTTAAGAGATAACTGAAATAAACCTAAATTAAAATAACAAAACTTTTTACAATTAACCTAAAGACCAACTGAGGAAGATTCTTCTAGATCTAGTTCATTTTGGAGCCAGTAACCCTTCTGGACTTGGTTGTAGTTCTTGAATTGGTACCTTTAAGAACTACAACCAAGTCCAGTTGCCTTTTTTGACCAGGGTTTGACTTACCATGACTTAGTCTCTGTCTCTGAATTTCGGCCACCCATCCTGGCAGCTGTGGCTCAGTGGTGAAGCTGGTCTGGAGTTCAACCTTAGACCATGTTCTCCACATGCCAAAGTGTCCTCTGACAGAACACTGAACCCTAACCCCCCGGTGCTGTGCCATCAGTGCATAAGTAGGATTAGTTCATACTGATAGGTGCACCAACTCAGAAAGTTCAACAACAACAACAACAACAACCTGCATGAAGGAAACCAAGTCCTGAACTCTCAGGACTGACAGCAGTTACCCGGCGGTGACGTGGATCTCCAGTCTTCAGCTAATAAAAGATGTCAGCTCCCCTCAGGTAAGAGCAGAGGAGCTTCATGTCAAAGAGGTAAACATGACACACACCTCAGTCTTCAGTCAGTCTGATTTTAAACACTGTCATTAACTCTTTTAAGTGGTTTTCAGTATTTTGTGCAGGTCCAATCATCTAAATGTCTAAAATAGGTACAAAAATACTGCATTATTATTATTATTGTTTTTATTTTTAAATCCCAACAACTAAATATTCACAACAAACTAATGTTGGTATTTCTGATGACACAGAGAGGTTTAATCCAACAGCAGTGATATTAGAGTGTGTGTCTCTAAGAGTGTGCAGGCTGCAGACTTTTATTCTCAGGTATAAAGACTCAAGATAAGATAAGATCAACTCCGATCACTCATCATCTTTTCAGATTTTCAGATGTTTCTGATTTGCAAATGCTCTCTTTCAGTGTCTTCAAAGCAAATATGTTGAAACGTTGAAAATCAGGGAGTGGAGGATTGTTGAAACATCTTCTCTTCAGAGTGATTTTCTGTCTTTATGTTGCTGTTAGACCTGAAATATTTCTGGGCTTTAAGGATTTTAAGCTGGAGATATGTTAAAGGAAGTATGATGGACTTTTCCCCTTTTTCATTTTTAACATTTCAACCATTTTCTGCCACATTTTGAACAGTAGTAGGTGAAATAAGAATCCTTTCCAATGATTTTTAAAAATATCCTGTTGTCTGAAAGTCTCATCATCAAAGTTGCATCATCATAAAAACTGATCAGGACGATGGAAACAAATGTTCAAACAGTTCTTGTTGGTTCAGTTTTTTCCTTGTTTGTATTTTCGTTGTATTTTTCTTGGTGTTCTTGTTCCCCTGTATTACTCATTCTTATGTTTCTGTTGTTCTTGTGTTTTTCTACGTTTGGTCTTGTGGTTAGTTTTCAGTGTTTCCTTGGTTACTTTGAAGTCCCTTCTCCTTATGTGTCATGTTTAGTTTGACTTCCTGTGTTTTCAGTGATTGTCTCACCTGTCTCTTGTTACCCACTGTGTTTAGTCCTTGTTGTTGCCGTCCCTCTGTGTTAGTTCATTACCTCCGCCAGGGAGGTTACGTTTTCGGTAGCGTTGGTTTGTTTGTTTGTTTGTCTGTTAGCAACTTTACGGAGAAAGTTACAAACGGATTGACCTGAAATTTTCACTAGAGGTGCGTCTCAGCCCCAGGAGGATCCCATTACATTTTGGTGGTGGACAAAATTCTGGATACTGTGAATAAGGGTGTGGTTGGAATTTTCAATGCTGAAAGATAACCAATGGGTGGCACAGTGGTGTAGTGGTTAGCACTGTTGCCTCACAACCAGAAGGTCATGGGTTTGAATCCTGGTCAGGACATTTCTTGTTTAAGGGGGGACATGAACTGCTTGGCAGAGGTCTGCGCTCTCTCTTTTCTAGTTGTTTCTAGTGTGGTCCTTTATTTAATAAATCATTTTAATAATCGTTTATGTTTGAAACCGGGACAGCACGGTCAAAAACTAGTGTCTCTTCTCCATAATTCACAGGATATGAGGCTTATATGAACTTATGACACATTCATGATAACAAATAATACATGTCCAGTAAAAGTGTCTGGAAACACAGGTAAGTTAACAGCATTGAGGCGCTGACACAGGATTTAATAATTGATACAGGATGATAATTGCATGGTTTGAATATATATATATATTTGCAGGGACAGTCAAATGTCATTTTTTGACAGTTTGATTGAAGTTTGGTTGGTACTTCTGTTGTTTATTTGTTTCTCTCCTCTGTTCTTCACAGCCTTCAGACCCCAGAGTCTGGATCATGGAGAACCAGACTGTTGGTGCAGATATTCTGCTCCTGGAGGGGTTAAAGGTCAGCCCACAGTCCACTGTTCCTGTCTTTGTCATCCTCCTCCTCATCTACATCTTCATCATGGTGTCCAACATTGGCCTGGTGCTGCTGATCTCCATGGAGAGGAGCCTCCACCAGCCTATGTACCTTCTCTTTTGTAACATGAGCGTGAACGACGCGTTTGGCTCCACGGCGCTCATTCCTCGCCTCCTGAGTGACCTTTTAGTCTCCGCCACAGAGCGCTACATTCATTACATCGACTGCGTTGTCCAGGCTTTCTGCCTCCACCTGAGCGCCAGCAGCTCTCACACCGTACTCATAATCATGGCCTTCGATCGCTACGTGGCCATCTGTAACCCTCTCCGATACGCCACCATCATGACCAGCAGGATGGTGGTTAAACTGTCAGCGTCGGCGTGGCTGGTGTCCTTCGTTATGGTGTTGGTCCTCATGAGCCTCAGCGTGCGGCTGTCACGCTGCAGGGCAGCCATTTTCCACCCGTTCTGTGATAACGCCTCTTTGTTTAAACTGTCCTGCGAGAGCGTCCTCATCAACAACATCTACGGCCTCGGATACACTGTCATCCTGCTGGGCACCTCCATCGGCAGCGTCACACTCACCTACCTGAAGATCGCCGCAGTGTGCGTGATCAGTAAGAACAAAGCCCTGAACAGCAAAGCGCTGCAGACCTGCTTTACCCACCTGGCCGTCTACATCATCATGTTAACGTCAGGCAGCGTCATCATCTCCCTCCACCGATTCCCTCACCTGTCTTATGAGAGGAAACTGGCGTCCATCCTGTTCCACGTGGTTCCTCCTGCGATGAATACCATCATCTACGGGCTGCAAATCAAAGCGGTCAGAGAGAAGATCCTCCTCGTGTTTTCACGGAAAACAGCGACTGTGGCGGGGGAGAGAAAATGATGTGGGACAGAATGAACTCTTGAAACGTATTAAAATGTTTCTCCATATTAAACAAAAATAAAAACAATGTACTTCATGTTTTACTGATATGGGCTCCTTGATTAAAGGGCTTTAGTTGGTCCCTTGGGGGTCTTATAGGGGGTCCAGAAGGTTATTGCGCTTTGCTGTGTCCCTGTTTGACCAAAGTCAGAGCTGTGTCCACATACTGAACTCCTAGGCTCTCTACTGAGGTGGTCCCTTTGCCTCAATCTCCATGAGCCCAAAACTCACAAAGGATGTCTGATTTTAGCCATGAAGATATCTAACACCAAAGGTAAGGTCACCAGATTTCTCTAATGAAATCCGGGGACATCCAGGGGTGGGGAGTGCGAAGCAAAATGTCATTTCAGGCCCTCTATTTCTGGAGTGGACAACATCTCGGTACTACTTACCCAGGATTTCCATCACAACCCGAGCAGCTCCGATCCGTAACGGCAGCGATTTTTGCTGTACACCAATTCCTACCGGATCCGTTTGTGAGGCAAATTTCGTGGCAGATTACGGACAGCAGGAATCACGAGAACTCTGCTGATTCACATGCAATTGCGCGATAACAAGTTGTCTTTAGTTAGTAGCAGCGCACGCCCCCCGTAAAAACTCTTGTTCAGGACTGCGCGCAACATGCTTACTCGCGCTTCCTACCTACTCAGCTACCACAATAAGAGTTGTTTTCGTCTACAAGCGACATTTTTGTTCTTATTCATGAAACGCTTAAATTGGGGACATTTCCAGGGACAGCTTTAGCCAGGGACAGGTCATCCAAATCAGGGATGTCTCGTCACCTTAACCAAAAGGCCCATAGAGAAGCCTGGCCTGTAGCGCCCTGTTTCACCTGTGAATGTGAACAGAGGTGACTCAAACAGATCCATTCCCATGAGAATCTAGGTGATGTATGATGTGCTAGACGAGGTTGTCAGCAACGGTTTCCTGGTGACCAGAGCAGCAACGATAATTCCGACAGCTTATTAAAGACCAGATTCAGTCCGCACCTTGGTGGACTGGAGGAGGGTCACGTCTGCAGAGGTAAAAACACACTGCAACCACATCTCTCACTGAGTGATGCTTCACTGTGCAGACAAAAGGCCTCAGACGATAAAGGAAATACAGAGAAAGAAAAAGAAGGAATCTGAAATGAAAACTCTTTAGGCGTATTTTAGATTTGTTCAAAAGTGCAGTATCTTTTCTTTGTCACAGTGAATGAATGTCCTTGTTTATACTCTGATTCACATTTGCTACACTCAGTTAATTTCTGTCCGTTTGTATTCAGAGGTTTGAGTTTACATCTGACCTGTTAAATGTCTGAAAGTGTGAACACATGCTGATCTTACTCTTTGCTGGATAAAAGCTTTGCTCAAATAAGTTTAAGAGGATTTACACATGTATTTAACTAAAGGATATGAGTACACTGACAGTAAATCATTTAAACACCGATGAGAGATGTTTTATAAACTCTGTTCTGACACTTTTTATGACAGTTTTGATTTCCATGATTTGAAAAGTTATACAGTCTATGTTATATATTTAAAACAGGATTACAAAGTTGTTTACGTGTCATTTTAAAAGAGAGTTAAAGAGAAATGTGAGGAATACGAGGACTAAATAAGTAAACAAGATATACATAAATGACAGAAACGTGTAAGAAATGAGGTCAGATAACTCTGAACCACACAACACAGAGATCCACCTGTAAATGTTGATGCTATTTATGTTTTTTTGCAGAGATGCTTCATTTTTGAATCTTTATTTTGATGTTTTTTATCTGGCTTCACTTGCATCTTTGTCTTTGTCTGGATACTGTTTGATTTTGAATAATTGACCCTTTTTTATGTATGTGGACCTTAGTAAAAAATGAGGACCTTAAGTCTTATAATCATTTTCAATGCAGTCTTTTAAAATTCATTTGAACAGATATTGCATCACTAGGTAAGATAATGTAAGTCAAACGCAGCTTTTAAATCTTTGCTTTTTTTGCATTGACATGTGCAAAACATCCTAAACATTCTCTTGCACTGCTCACATTTTCAGACATATCATTTTACTTCCGGAAACAAGTGCACAGGAATGAACCCTTTAATGCCTTTTGTATCAGATTTGATACCTACTTTTATGATACTTTTGTCAAATCAATATGATCATTATGAATACAGTCCGATAAATGATAAAAATGTCCCTTGTGGTTTATCAGTTTCAAAATCTAATGTGTCAAATGAGATGAATGTAAAGATTTTTTAAATTTTAAGGACATTTTGATATTTTTGGATTCAGGAGTTTGTGAAATAAACATTACAGCTCCAGAAAAATTAGAATTTTCTGGCCATAATTTTATGGTTTCAGGCTTTAAAGGGTTGAGAGAGTACAGCAGATGTGCATCAGAATATAAAAAAGAGTCAAACTTGACAACAATAGAAAACAAAAAACACTTTATGAAGTCTTCACGAAACAACAAACTTTTACAGCTGCTTTAATTCAGATGATCTATGATAATCTGAGCCTCTTCTGTTCTGGGATTATGACAGTCTGGGTTTAGAGCATAGACTGTATATAGAATAGATGTTGTCTGTCTCCTCACTGGGCGAACAGCCCCCTCTGGTGACGGGCTGCAGTATAGGCCATAAATCCCGCCTCCTCCAGCAATCCCTATGAAGATGTTGACAAAATTTAGAAAATTTATTATACAGAATATAAACTTTTCTCCCCCCTGCTTGTGATGTTGACATGTAGTTACTGTCAGACTAGTTTGTGCTCAAGTCCTCTTTTTTCTGTACAGCTCCATTTTTAAAAGTTATTAGAGGGTTCATGTTGTCTATGATTGACACCTGATACAGCCTAAAGGCGTATGAAGATTGCGTAGCTCACCCGGGGGATACGCTGTTTAAGACGAGTGTCATCACAGCAACTCTTGGTGACTCTCCCGCCGAATGCGTACAACGCGACCGCGCAATGTTGGTTCCAGGAAGTGGAGAAAAAACGTGGAAATACCGAGAGCAATTCAGCTTCAAATCTGTATACTGATGAAAGGCAGAACCAAGTTGTCCAGAGTACATACAGTCTAGACTGAGCCGGGTCTAGACTTCCTCGTTAAGTCCTTGATAATGAGCGCCGTACTAGTTTGTGTCTTTGTGTTTGACTCCAAGCAGGGTCTCCCCCTCTGAAACATGGAAAACAAAACTTTGACTTCAGATATCATCTTCATCGAGGGGTTAAAGGTCAGCCCACAGTCCACTGTTCCTGCCTTCATCCTCCTCCTCCTCATCTACGTCTTCATCATGGTGTCCAACGTTGGCCTGGTGGTGCTGATCTCCATGGAGAGGAACCTCCATGAGCCCATGTACCTGCTCTTCTGTAACATGAGTGTTAACGACGTGTTCGGGGCGACGACCATCATCCCTCGCCTGCTCAGTGACGCCTTCACTCCGATCACCGAGCGCTACATCTACTACATCGACTGTGTGGTTCAGGCCTTCTCCGCTCACTTTCATGCCGGCACTTCTCACGCCGTGCTCATGGTCATGGCGTTCGATCGCTATGTGGCCATCTGCAACCCCCTCCGATACGCCACCATAATGACCAATAGGATGGTGGTGAAGCTGTCGGCGGGGGCATGGGTAGCCGCCTTCATCGCTGTTGCAATTCTCCTTGGTCTGACAATCCGTCTGAGTCGCTGCAGGAAGATTATACTCAACCCGTTCTGTGATAATGCCTCTTTGTTCAAGCTCTCCTGTGACAACCTCCTCTTCAACCACATCTACGGCCTGGGCAGCGCCGTGGTCATCCTGGGCTCCTCCCTGGGCAGCATCACGCTCACCTACCTGAGGATTGCCATGGTGTGTTTGAGCAATAAGAATAAGGTGCTGAACAGCAGAGCGCTGCAGACCTGTGCCACACACCTGGCTGTGTACATCATCATGCTGGTGGCGTCTTTCACCCCCATGATCATCCACCGTAACCCTCAGTGGGCCGACAGCGGGAAGGTGTCATCCGTCCTGTTCCACGTGGTTCCCCCAGTCCTGAACCCCCTCATTTATGGACTGCAGTGCAAAGAACTCAGACACAAGATCTTTGGTGTGTTCTATAAGAACAAAGTCATGGACGCTAAAGGTGCCATGCGGGTCCAAAGTCTTCATAAATAACTCCTTAGAATAAAACTTTATCACAGTGATCGGACTCGTGAAACCTCGTGTTACATTACAGAAGTTGAATCGATGAACAGTTGAACTATTACAAACTGTCCAACTCAACTGTGTTCTAAAGAGAATTCAGCTTCTCCTGTTATATGCTTTGGACATTGAACATTTTTGTTTGTGAACTTTTTACACTTTTGTTAACGAACTTTACACTTTAGTCTGCAAACTTGTTACACTTTTGTTGTGAACTTGTTACTCTTAGGTATTGGAACCTTTCACACTTTTTTGTGATCTTTTTACTTTTTGCACTTATGTTTGTGGAGTTTTTGCATTTTTGTTTGTGAACTTTACACTTTCGTTTGTGAACTTTTTACACCTATAGTTTGTTAACTTTTTGCACTTTTGCTTGTGATCCTTTTTAACTTTTATTTGTGACTTTTTACACTTTTGCTTGTGAACTTTTTACACTTAGGTTTGGGAACCTTTTACTCTCTTTTGCGATCTTTTTACTTTTGTTTGAGAACTTTTTGCACTTTTGTTTTTGAACTTTTTACACTTAGGTTTAATTTTTATTTTTGTTTAGAAACTTTTTTTTTTTAAACCATTTTTGAACTTTTCAAGCTCATGTTTGATAACTTTTTAAGCTGTTGTTTGTGAACTTTTTATGCTTTCGATTGGGAATTATTAATGCTTTAGACAGCAAACTGTAATATGCTTTGTACAGTTATTGCATACGCTGTGGACAGTAAAGTGTATTTGCTCCAGACTAAGAACGATTAAACATCCCTGAAGAAGTTTAATAAAATGTGAATTTTTTTCAAAATTTAAGACAATGTTTCTGATACACTTCACTAAGTATTTTTGTTGTACACTTTACTTCCAGAGTTATCATACAGTTGTAAACTCATATTGCAAGTATTGACAAGGCATTCTTCCATTACCTGGTACCAAAAAGGAATAAAATACAAAAAGTTCTGGTAGGAACTTTAGGGAGTCATTGTTTTATGTGTTCCAAAATGTCATGTTGTAAAAAAATACCAATATTATTAAAATAGTGTCACAGTACAATCACAAGACAACAGGAAGAAAAAGTTCTAATATTATGGCATTTCTTTCTCAGCAGTTTTTATTTCACAGTCAGCACACTGAGGAGACGTCTTTACTGGGTAACACAGCAGCAGATCTGATCACGCTCACAGTCCTTTTGATCGACTCTCTCAACTCCTTGTTCCTTAGGCTGTAGATGATGGGGTTCAGGAAAGGAGTCAGGGCGGCGTACAGCACAGACACGATGATACGGACCTGAAACACGTCAAAAAACAGACTTCATCTAAACATTTGCTTTCCGTGATCATATTTAGCCCCATATTTGTAAGGTTTTGATGTGATATCGTCTCATACCTCAGGTGAGAATGTCCCCACTCTGTAGGAGATGTAAACAAACGATGCTGAGCTGTAGGAGATGGACACCACGGTCAGGTGGGCGGCGCAGGTCGTGAACGCCTTCAGCCTCTGACCGGCGCCCATCCGTGAAATGGAAACACCAATCAGGATGTAGGAGGTGAGGATGAGGATGCCTGTGGTTAGCAAAGCCAGCAGGGCGAAGGAAATGGACACGATGTTGTCCACCGAAGGGTCGCCGCACACCAGCTTCCTTACAGAAGACAGGTCACACCAGCCGTGTCTCACCACATTGAAGCAGTACGCTTGCAGCCACGCCATGGAGCAGGGCGGCATTGTGCAGACTGTGCCGAAACCCCAGGCCCCTGCGATCAGGAGCAGCCGCACCGGCCGGGTCATGATGGTGGTGTAGCGTAGAGGGTTGCAGATAGCCACGTAGCGGTCGTACGCCATGACGGTCAGGATGGCTCGCCCAGTGACGGCTAACTGGATAAAGAAATACATCTGGAAGAAGCAGCCGGGGACGGAGATGGTCTTCATGGGCGTCAAGAAGCCTGACAGCATGTTTGGGATGGAGGTGGTGGTGAAGATGATGTCCGTGAAGGAAAGGTTGGAGAGGAAGAAATACATCGGCGAGGCGAGCTTTGGATCAGTCAGCGCCTTCGTGGGAAAGAAAAAGAAGAAGAGATTAATCTGGAGGCGGCAAATATTCAACCATCAGGATCTGATTCACGGGTTTATCCTCTACCACGAAGATGATCATGCTGTTTCCGACCAGGATGATGATGTAACCCAGCAGCAGGATGGCGAAGAGGATCATCTTCTTCTCCCCGAGGTTGGCGAGGCCCTGGATGATGAAGAAAGACGAGCCATCCGACTCCCAGGTGCTGTTCACAAAGCTGGATCTGTGATTGGTCGACAAGTGCAGGTGTGCTTCTGGAAGTGTTGGGCACAGAAAGGAATCAGTGTTTGATTATAAATGTAGAACTGATCAGTAAACAGTTTTTATATTGTGAAAATAAAATAAACATTTATTAAAGTGGGAAACATTAGAAGAAAAAAGCCATAATGTGACGAGATTATCTGATGATATTAAAGTTTTAATGTAAAAAATAAATTGTTTTATCATAAGAATGTAGGTTACAATGGTGCAGGAATAAAAGTTATGTTACAAGATTATAAATAAAAATGTCATAATGTCATTATAAAGTCATTTTCTCGAAAGAGTATAACACGATATGTTTAAGAGATTAAAATGTTGTGTAACTAGAATATACATTTCACGTTGGAGCCTTCATCCCTTCAAAATAAAAGTCTTTATGTTCTTAAATAATGTTGTTTTAGCACAGAAACAGAGCTGTAACATAATGAGAGTGAAGTAATGACGACATTACATTATAACAGGGAAATGCTGTCAGTTTAAGAAAATTTGTTGAAATGTAGAAGGAATATGAACTATTGTATTAATAAAGAATAATGAATAAAATTATCAATAAAAAAAAAATAATCATAGAAATAAACTATTATATTAATAAAGTTCTTCATATTCTTATTCTTATTGCCAGAATATTAAGTTTTATATTAAGAGAGTTAGTCACAATGTTACTTATGATATGAGATTGCAGTAGTTTTTGGTAGTTATTTGAAAATAAAAAGTAAAATGTCATGATATAGATGGAAATAAATCGTTATGTTACAGCGTTTTAAGTCATGATGTCATTGAAATTAAATTGTTTCACCACCAAATTAAAACTCTGAATGCTGCAGGAGTGCAGTCAGTGAACTGCGAAAATAAAGGTCTCTAGAATACCAATACAAAGTTCTCACATTATGAAGATCAGAATTTTATGTTTAAGGAAATAAATTTTATCAGGATATAAGTTATAAAGTTCGGAAACATATGTTTTCCTGTGATTAAATAAAGTTTTCATGTTATCAGAATCAAGATTTAAAGAAGCACTTAATTCTCATAACATTCCACCTTTATTTATACACACTAATATTATCTTTATTTATCTCTTATAAGATCTATCAACAACTCAGAGATAAATGAATTGACAAATAATTATTTACTGTTGAATAATAAAAAATAAACTTGATTTGACTTCATTTCAGGTCGTTGTTATTGTTCTCCAAAGTGATCTAAAACATATGTACACCAATACAGATGGCTAGATTTATAAACAAACTCTGAGATAAAAACTAGTTTTAAATACGTTTGCAAAAAAAAGGTGATAAATTTACTACAAAAAATGCAAAAGATTTATTTTTTTTGATAAGGTAGCAGTAAATGTTACATCCCATAAAGTGCCATTGCCATACTGTTGTTTTACTTATAATTCAAACTCTATTTCTGAGATGAAATTCCCTGAAATTGCACAGTTTTGTGCAGAGCATAATTTAAACATGATTAAAAAAAATCACCAAAGACACCAAATAAAAAGGAGGAAACTCTCACAGACCTCTGGGACTGTCGGCAGAAACATCAAAAGGCAGCAGCTCCATCTCTGCTCTGCAGACGCAAGTTCACAGAGGCGCCTGGAGGTTTATAATTTATCCATAAAACAAACAAAATGAAAAACTTTGTACATGATTTCAGCTGTTAAAGAAAGTCTGAGAACAATACCTTTCAAAAATCTGCACAGAAATAAAAACATCAGTTCTCTAAATTATCTAACCACAAGTGCAAAACTCAGATTGTGACGAGTAAAAAACGTGCAGAAATGTATTTTTCTTACCTGACAGTGACTCAAACTCGCTGCTCATCCACACAGACTTCATCGTAGATCTGCGTTTGTCCTTTAAAAGCCCCTTTTTCTGGGGTTAAAATCACACAAAGCTGCTTTAATTAGACAAAACTACGTCATCTCCTCACATTAAAAATTATAATTATACACGTGATTAAGGAAACAGTCATAATTGTCTTAGTTTCAGGGGGATCAACAGTCAGCCTCTAATTACAGATTCATTATTATAGAGACTCATTAAAAGAGTCGTTATCTCTCTAATTACTTCAGTCTGTCTGTGTGAGTTTGTGTGAGTCTGTGTGAGCAGGATGTAACGTTAGGACCGGGTCTTTTGTTGATTCATGTTACATACAACAAAATTTTAAAACTAAGCAAGTGTTTCTGTTTTATGTCTGATAAAAATGTTGTATTAGCCCTTTAATACGGAGGCCCTAAAGATTAAATGGACTAATGACTTTAAAAAAAAAAAGTCTAAACAATTAATGTGAATCATTTAACAGTTATTCATTTATTTGTTTAAATGTTATTCATTACAAATGCAAAAACAAAAAAATCAACAAATTCTCAAACTTAAAAGAAATCACAATAAACTGGACATATGTAAAGGAATACAAAATCAAATTATTTCAAGGATTGCAAAAATATTCCAGGTAAAGTAAAATATATATTTTTTAACCTAATTAAATCACAAAACTCAAAAATATCTCAGATTTTTATGTTTGCATTTGTTTTTTAAAGTCATGGGTGGAAGTCCTTTTTACACAATGTCATTATCAACAAACAAACAAACAAACAAAGAAATAAATAAATAAACATAAAACAATGAGTAAATATACAAAATATTTCTAAATCAAGTAAAATGTTTTTGTGTTTCATCACATTTTCATGTTTTGTACTTTGGGAACTTTTTTGCATTTAGGTAACTGTTTTTGTGCAGTGCAGTGCACCACATTTCAGGGCCTCCATACTTTCAACCATGAATTATTAAATCAAAATGTTAGATTTATCATTTGTAATTGAACAAATTTTCATTGTTTGTATCTGTTTTGAATGGTCTTGGTGTTTTTCTTTTCCTTTTCCTTAAAAACTTTTTAAAGCCTGTTTTGGACAGAGATCCAGATCCAGGCCACAAGCTTCACAGGTAAATCAGGAGCTGCTAGGATCACCTGTGACCTCCCTCAGCTGGTATCAATCAGCTGATTGTAGGAGGCTTTATGAGGAGGCTGAGCTCTCCTGGTCAGTTTGGTTTTTGCTTCTCTGGCGGTCAACACCTCTGGATCATGTCAACTTGGAGACGAGTTTAGATGTATCTTTAAACGTTTTTATCGAGAGGAGGTTTTGGAAACCAGGTTCAAGAGTGAACAAACCGGCTTCTGTACTTATAACCCATATCGATCTTTCCTGAACCGACGCCATAGCGTGACCTCTCCCTTAACCCGCACACGCCATCTACTTCTTCCTCGTGTGTTTGTTTCCATCACTCTCTGACTCCTTTTTTGTTTTACAGAGTTAGATGTTTTCTGTGGAGTAGTTTTACCTCAAATACCTTTTTAGAAAACATCAGGACCCCATCAGGGCCATCGTCACAGCGTGTTGCAAACGCTTGAAAAGTTAAGAATTATCAAAGGATTTCTCAAAGGTCAAAGGGCGTGGCTTATTATGACTTGACAAGCTTTAATGCCCTACCATGAAACAGGAAGTCACTTTAACTCCTTCAGTCTGATTCCTGAACACATCCATGTGCCTGTTTCTCCACTGCAGCCATAGCGCCCTCCAGTTCTAACTTAGACCTATGTTATCTAAACTGCTTCACATATTCCAGGTTTGATGACCATCCAAGCCTAAACCTATAATCAGTTTTGTCAACATGATACTGCCACCTGTTGGACAACAGCAGCATTGATTCCCATATGTGCACTATTGGAAAAGGCCTTCAATCTTTACCCTTTTTATAATTCACCGTCATGAAGGCTGCATGAAAGATTATTATAAGTATTTACATGAACTATATTTTCACTTTATCAACATTCGTGCTGCGCTGTTCTCAGTGCTACAAATGAAACATGCTGTCTTGGTCTGACCTCTCTTTTCTCCTTCATGATGAGGATGATATTATCCAGACAGATTAAACCTCTTTGTCATGTGTTGTTTTACTCATTGTTAATTTTCTTGCTTTACTTTTCCCTTATGGGTCAACATTGGTAGTTTTCAAACATGTTAAAGGAATAAAGTTGACTTGACCTTAACGGTGAAAATGGCCTCCACATTTGTGCTGAACTTCATGTGTGAAAGAGTCTAATAACAAAGGCACTTACATGAAAAATCAGATATGTGTCACATATGGTTAAAAAATCAGAATAGACTGAAATTTGTAAGAAGCCGTAGCAGTAATAGTGAAATATGTCCCGGTGTCAAACAAATATAAATCAGCCATCATGTTTGAATTGACACTTTAGCCTCAAATACAATATTAAAACTGCAGATAAGCTTTGTGTTTGATGTACAGTTAAAAAAGTGCTGCAGGGTCACTTTTGTGAGATTTTGTTCTTTCCTGAAATCATCTCCCTTTCTTCTGCATTTCAAATTTTTCACATTCATTTGCAAAAGGAAGTTTTATGTGGTTCCTGTTGTTAAAAATCAAAGATCTAAAACAATCTATAAATATAACTGTTGGACATTTTTATTCACCCTATTGGAAGATGGTTTTTACTCATTTTGAACAATCCAGCTTTCATTTTCCCGATCATGCATTAAAATCAGACATAAATAACTCTTATGTAAATAATAGATAACTTTTATTAACATATGTGAGACAACAGACAATTGAATTTCCCTTCGGGGATCAATAAAGTTCTTCTTATTCTTATTCTTATATATTGACTTTTCTGGTGAATCATGTTTTTATTGAGCATGGTGAGACATTTTGACTCAGAATAAAACAAAAACAGACGTCCAGGTTTGAGTTCAAACTGGTCCCTCTCAAACATTTCGCCTCCTGCTCGTATGAACTTTGAGTCCTCTCATGAAGACAGACACATAAAGCAAAGACAAAACCACAGATTTCAGACTGAATCGTCTCACAGTCACAGAGATGGTTTGACCTTTTTGCAGTGGAAAATATTGTACAAACACTTGTGTATTTCCTGAGATTGCAGCCCGTAGATGACGGGGTTCAGACTGCCGGGGACGACGTTGAAGAGGATGGCGGAGATCTTCCTGTAGTCTGAGTACTCTGGGAATCGATGCAGAGCGATGAGGATCATCCCGCTGACCAGCATGATCATGTAGAGGCACAGGTGAGTGCTGCAGGTCCTCAGAGCTTTACTGTTCAAAGACTTACTCTTGCTGATCACGCAGGCGGCTGTGATTCTGGAGTACGTGATGATGATGCTGCCGATAGACGCCGAGAGCAGGACCACGGTGAAGGTGAGGCCGTACACGTTGTTGATAAAGACGTTTTCACAGGAGAGCTTAAACAAAGAGGCGTTATCACAGTACGGGTTCATGATCAGAGTGCGGCACCGGTTCAACCGGATGGTCAAACCCAGCAAGATGGCCACCAGAACGAAAGCCGACCCCCAGGCTGACACCGTCAGCTTAATCACCATTTTGTCCGTCATTATGGTCGTGTAGTGCAGAGGGTTACAGATCGCCACGTACCTGTCGAACGCCATGATCATGAGCACGGTGTGGGCGTTGGTGCCGAACATGTGCGTGGTGAACGCCTGCATCAGACACTCGTAGTAGTGAATGAGGCGCTCAGAGGGAGGCACCAGGATGTCGGCGAGAACCCGAGGAACCAGGAGAGAGTTTCCCATGATGTCGTTGATGGACAGGTTACAGAAGAGGAGGTACATGGGCTGGTGGAGGCTCCTCTCCGTCCAAATCAAGACCACCATGCCCACGTTGGCGGACAGGATGAAGATATAGGTCAACAGCAGACAGAAGAAGACAGGGTACATGTTTGCCTTTGTGACCTTTAACCCCTCCATCTGAAGGATGAGGCTGTTTAAAGTCACGTTGTCGGTCTGAGTTTGTCTCGAGGAAACAGACTCAGAGAAATTCATCATGTGCAATCTGATCCAAATCAAGAATAGTCTTCTTTAATTCCAGCTAAAACAAAAGAAACTCACAAAAACTTCAACCTTGATTCTGTCAAAGAGAAATAACTGCATGTAGAGTCAGAGTGAGGAGGCACAGACGGGGAACTCTCTCCAGAGTTCAGTCCTCTTCCTCGGTTTTATTGCCCTCGTTGTCCTCAGGAGAAGCTTCTGAGAGAGGCCAAGAAAACATTACGTAATGTTCATGAGGTCGGCAAAACTGTCGTCAGGTAGAGAGCTGAAAAAAACAAACAAACCCCAAGGTGTTTCTGTTTGCCAATTTGTAAAACTGTTTCTGTGAGTGTTAATGCAACATTCAGACTGTAGAAGTAAAACACAAAATTATCAGACGACGAAGAATTAAAGCCACTTCCTGCATGAAGCTCACATTTGAGTTTGACTTTTTTTTTTCACATCGTCATAAAAGAACCAGAAAGTTCAATCTAGAGCGCCTTTTCTCCCCACATTTTAGATTTTACATCATATCCACTAATAAGAGCATCCAGAGAGTACTTTTTCATAATTAAGCAACCTAAAGGAAATCCGGATTGCATTTTTTTATTTTAATATTCCGGTAGGGCAACCAGAGGGCACTTTTTTTTTAAAACATTCATAGGAAGAGCATGTATTGGGTACTTTTCTCATTTGAACTGCTAGAGGAGCATGTAAGTGGAACTTTAAGTGGAAATTTTAATGTCAAATAAACTAATAGAAAACACACTCAGCTTTTTAAAGTTTGGTAGGGCATTCAGAGGAATTTTATTCACTCGAAAGGTAGACAAGAAGCATTTTTCATGTTTTGTCCATTGTGTAGGTCATCAGAGTTTGATTTTCCATACTTTTCAACTGCATTTTTCACATTTAATGGTCTGGTAGGGCAACCAGAGGGCACTACTTTTTAGATTTTATCTTCTGGAAAGGCATCTAAGGGTCACTTTTATGTTTTAAACTGTGAAAGAAAATCAAATGGGCATTGTTTAGATGTTTTAATATTCCAATTGGCTATCAAGGGTGAATTCAATCCACTGGTAGGGCTTGTTTGTTTGTTTTTCTACCAGAGGGCATTTAAGACAACATATTATCTATATTATCTATTATATTTGTGGAAAAGGCATCCAGAGGAAATAAGTGTCTATGTCAAGTCAACAGATACAGTTTCAGAAGAGCAACATTATATATTGCCCTCCTGCCACATGCCATATGTTATATTATTGGTAGGGCATCCAGAGGTCACTGAAAGGTTACTCATAGGAGACTTTTTTTTATATGCTGAGATGGCACAGATTGGATGCTATTTTCTATGTTATGTCCAATTGAAGGGCATGCTGAACATTTTATTTTTTGGAAGGGCACTCGGAGGGCACTTTTAAATGTTTTATTCACATCATCATTCAAGGTGGTGCTTTTGCTGTGCTTTTTCAGACTTGAGGGCATCACGGATGATGATCGGCCACCCCTGAGTACTCCACTGGTCCTGACACTTTGGTTCAAAGGTGTTTGTGTTGGAAACGTTGACACACAGTTATTTCAACCTCCTCTGGCTTCACATTAAGCTGAGGAAGAATCTGGGAGGCAGAAAAACTCAATTCAGTCTATCAAGATTTTTAAAATCTATAAAATGCTATTTAACTGTCCAGCAGCTATTTTTTGCAAAACCCCAGACATACAAGTTTCACTGTAAAGCTGCAGCCTCCAAACGAACATAATTTTATATCAATGATACTAATGCATTTATGATGCACTTAACATACAACAAAACAAACCTGAACAACATTTTATGAGTCTGTGATAAAGACATTTCTTTTGAAAAAAAAAAAAAAAACTAAAGAAAGAGGAGCTCATCGAATATGTAATGATTGTTTTACTGATGAGAAAGTGAATCAGGATGACGGCAGGACCTTCTTGGACCTGATCACCTTCAGGAAAAACTTCCGAATCTCTTTGGACTGCAGGCCGTAGATGATCGGATTAAGACTACCAGGGATGATGTGAAACAGGACAGTGGAGAGTTTTCTGTAAAAAGAGTACTGAGGAAAGCGATGCAGAGTGATGATGGAGATCCCGTTAAACACAATGATCAGATACACAAAGAGGTGGGTGCTGCAGGTTTTTACAGCTTTACTGTTCAAAGACTTGTTCTTATTGGTCAGACAGACCACTGTGATCTTTGTGTAGGTGAGGACGATGCTGCCGATGGAGGAGGTGAGCAGGACCACCGTGAAAGTCAGGCCGTAAACATTATTAATGAAAACACTCTCACAGGAGAGCTTGAACAGAGAGGCGTTATCACAGTACGGGTTCATGATCATAGTCCTGCAGCGGTTCAGCCGGATGGTCAAACCCAGGAGAATCCCCACTAACACAAAGGCCGACCCCCAGGCCCACACCGTCAGCTTAATCACCATCTTATTCGACATTATAGAAGTGTAGTGCAGAGGGTTACAGATGGCCAAATATCGGTCAAATGCCATGATCATGAGCACCGTGTGACTCGTGGTTCCAAACATATGTGTGGTGAAAGCTTGGACGATACACTCGTAGTAACTGATGGAGCGTTCAGAGGGAGGGCGCAGCAGGTTCATCATCACCCTGGGCAGCATGATGGAGTTTCCCAGGATGTCGTTAAACGGCAGGTTGCAGAAAAGGAGGTACATGGGCTGGTGGAGGTTCTTATCAATGAAAACCAGCAGAGCAATGCCGATGTTTGAGATCATAATGAAGAGGTAGGAGAAAAAGAAGAAGAGGAAGACAGGGTAGACGGAATCTTCAGGGACGTTCAGCCCCTCCAGCTGCAGAGTGTGGCTGTTGTAGGTGTAGTTCTCCATCAACCTGAAAGATTCAACAACAATATCATGACCTACTGAGGAGATATCACAAGGAGAGAAATTAAAATTAAACTACAGAAATATTCAAACAGAAAGAACAAACATTGATGCTGAGAGAGCACCAAAACCATACAACGAGTTGACAGAAACAACAAAGTTAAACAAAAATATTTAGAAACTCTTAAAGGTAAACTGTAATGAAGCAAAGTGAGGAGACTAAACATCAGAAACTTGACGTGATTCAGTCTCACCAACTCTGATCGTCTCCTTGTTAAGACAATATCTTGACTGTTGAGGCGTTTTATAGATACAACTGAAACCTACAGGGGTCAGTCACCTTTACCTCAGAGGAAGTGTGATGCAACATCGAGATATTGTCACTGTCAACATGTTTGTCACGGAGATAAAAAAAACTTGGGTAAAGAAAAAAGTTCTTCTGTAACCATAGACGTACTTAGATGCAAAAAAAGTCAACAACGTACCTTCTGAATATACATATGTTAATAAATACCTTATTGTTAAGTGTGCTTATTTTACGAACAATATGGTAACTTTAAAATACCAGGAGAGCCCTTTATCATATTTTATATAACTGGAGAGGAATTCAGAAGTCACTTTTGACCAATTTTCTTTACCTTAAAATTTCTAGGGGTATTTTGGTGGGCACATTTTCACCGTAATTAAACTGGAAGAGCATCCAGAGTGTATGTATTAACCTTAGCATAACTGTCAGTCCATTAAGAGTGCAAATTCACCCCTAACATGTTAGAGCCCAATTTGTAACAAAGACCCAAAATGTTATAGAAAAAATGTAATAAAACCCGAAATGTATCAACCATAGACTGTATATACCATGGACGACTTGGCTCTGCCTTCCGTCATTATACAAATTTAAAGCTGAATTGCTCTCAGTATATCTGGGATTTTCTCTACTTCCTGGAACCACCACTTGTGCAGTAGTCTTGTACGCATTCAATGGGAGAGTCACTGTGATGACGCTTGGCTCAAACAGCGTATCCCCCAGGTGATCTACACAATCTTAGTACGCCCATAGGCTGTATCAAGTGTCAATCATAGAAAACATGAACCCCCTAATAACTTTTAAAAATGGAGCTGCACAGAAAAAAGAGTACTTGAGCAAAAACCAGTCTGACAGTAACTACATGTCAACATCGCAAACAGGGGGGAGAAACATTTATATTCTGTGTAATTAATTTCTAAAGTTTGTCCACAGCTCCATAGGGATTGCTGGAGGAGTCGGGATTCATGACCTATACAGCAGCCCGTCACCAGAGGGTGCTGTTCTCGTGGTGGCCTCACTCAGCGAGGAGGCAGATGGCGTCCAACTGAATGGTAACAACTGAACGAAATGTAACAAGTTGCTACATTTTGGCCAAAAAGTTGTTATGTTTTGGGACCAATTATGACATTTCGGTTTTTATTACTTTTTTTTTTAATAACATTCCGGGTCATTGTTACAAATCAGGCTCTAACAGGGCATTCAGAGGCCACTTTTTTTTTTTAAATAAAACTTGGCGGTACTGAATGGGCTCTTTTTTTAACCGTAGTATTATTCGAAGGGTATCCAGTGGACACATTTTAAGAGGCTTTCAGAGTGCACTTAATGTTAAATCAAGTGGAAGAGTATTCAGAGGGCTCTGAAATTCACCTGAATTTTGCTGGAAGGCCGATCAGATGGCACTTTTTGACTTTCATAACACAGAGAAAGCATTCAGGGAGAGGAGGACAGTTTTTGATTTTTATATCACTGAAGAGTGAGTCAGTAGGCAGTTTCTACCTCAATGTCACAGGAAGGGCATTCAGGGCACATCAGTGATAAGAATTGAGAATAAAAGTGGCTCCTAGAAACTTCCTTGGGGAACACCTTAACTTTTTGCTGTTTGAAAAACTGCCATGAAAAACACCTGTTGTTTTCGACTAGAGATGTAACTCTGCCTCCAGGTGAGAGCTGAAGGTAAAAAGACACATTTGAGTTTAGCAGTGAGAACATTATGGTCAATGACATCAAATTAGGGCTGGGCGATTGATCAAATTTCAATCACTACAATCATGAGAATACAATCATCCTAATTGAATGATTACTGTGCTGCCTGCAGTGTTGCTTTGTCCTTCAGGGTGAATGAAGTTTACTGTTGACCCTTCAGTATGTTGTGCTAATCTACAGGTGGAGAAAAGGAGGAAGAGGAGGAGAAGGAAGGTCTGAAAAGCCAAATACTTTGGCTTCTTTCTGAAGTTTATTTAGGGATGTTTAAGGCACACACAAAAAAAGGCTATTAAAATAAAAGCTGTAGTGAAAAAGGCATTCGAAACTAACGTTCTTTTAACCCTAGAACACTATTGCTGGATGACTTTCACCCGACCAAACATGTTTACATGATTTTCATTATGTTGCGTTCGTCTGCTTTTTCCTACAGGCACGTGTTCACAGGGTGATTTTCACCCGGCAATAGTGATCAAGTTTAAAGTAGGTTTGGGTGGATTTGATAGCTGCATGTAGAGAATAAGGTCAGTAAGAGTGGTCCTGGAATTCGCATGCTATCTTTATTGAGCGCAGTGGCTATGAATAACTATCACAAAGTCATGATTTTCAAGGGAATTCATGTGGTGATAAGAAATATTTGAGTCAGCTGGTCTTCAATATGTATTTTCCTATCTTGATATATTTTGATGACAAGTACTTTTTCTTGGGTATATTATTTTGGGTAAAAATCACCCGGTGATAGTGATGGGGTTACTAATTTCAGCTATAGTGTTCTAGGGTTAAAAGTTAAAAAGAAACATATTTCTGAGGTGACAAAAATCATGATAAGTATGCATAAATAAAATATAATAAGACCCAAAACTGACCTGGGGAACACCATATTTAATAGCAGATCAGGACGTGGTAAAACTTTCTGTCTGTTCGGCATTACTGACCAATCTAAAAGGGAGTACGATGAGCACACCAAATCACAGGGACACAGCTGATTCAATTTACAGATGACTTCAACAGAGTTATCTTTGAAATGATGGTAGAACTTTTTTGGACTCAAACAACTTGTACAGAAACTTCCGGATCTCTTTGGACTGCACACCGTAGATGATGGGGTTAAGGCTTCCAGGGATGATGTGAAACAAAATGCTGGAGAGTTTCCTGTAAAAAGCGTACTGGGGAAAGCGATGCAGAGTGATGATGAGTATCCCACTGAAAAGCATGACCAGATATACGACAAGGTGGGTGCTGCAGGTTTTTAAGGCTTTACTGTTCAAAGACTTGTTCTTACTGGTCAGACAGACCACTGTGATCTTGGTGTACGTGATGATGATGCTGCCGATGGAGGAGGTGAGCAGGATCACTGTGAAAGTCAGGCCGTAAACATTATTAATGACAACACTCTCACAGGAGAGCTTGAAAAGAGAGGCGTTATCACAGTACGCGTGCATGATCATAGTCCTGCAGCGGTTCAACCGGATGGTCAAACCCAGGAGGATCCCCACTAACACAAAGGCCGACCCCCAGGCCCACACCGTCAGCTTTATCACCATCTTATTCGTCATTATGGAAGCATAACGCAGAGGGTTACAGATGGCCAAATATCGGTCAAACGCCATGATCATGAGCACTGTGTGACTCGTGGTTCCAAACATATGTGTGGTGAAAGCTTGGATGATACACTCATAGTAACTGATGGAGCGTTCAGAGGGAGGGCGCAGTAAATCTACCAGCACACGAGGAAGCGAGATGGAGTTTCCCACGATGTCGTTAAAGGGCAGGTTGCAGAAAAGGAGGTACATGGGCTGGTGAAGGTTCTTATCAATGAAAACCAGCAGAGCAATGCCGATGTTCAAGAGCATAATGATGAAGTAGGAGAAAAAGAGGAAGAAAAAGACCGGGTAGGTGGAGTCCTCCGGGATGTTCAGCCCCTCCAGCTGCAGAGTGAGGCTGTTGTAGGTGTAGTTCTCCATCAACCTGAAAGATTCAACAACATTAGGAAGTCTGTGCCAAACAAATCCATTCAACCATCCCCAAAGAAACATAGATGTGAATTCACTTCATACAACATGTTCATGACTTGATCAGAAACAGTGAAATGTAGTGCAGATATTACATGTTCAGAAACACATATTTAGAGATCAGTCTAACCCACCCTGACTGTCTTTGGGTTCACTCCTCTTTTTGTTCCTCCCACTTTCCTGCAGATTAAACCTGCAGCACCTAACATGAGGTTGATCTCAGCCGCGGTGTTTTATAGACAGGACTTCAGCTTTAGGGCGTAACCATCACCTTGGATAATCTGATGCAACTTTCGGACTTATAGTGATTGCCGTTAAAGTTGTCAACAACCGCTTCAATGCTGTCATCAGCAACAGTTTAGGAAAAGATGGTATTACAAACCAAACACGAATGCCAAAAAATACAAACAAACTAGAGAAAGTTAGAGTCTTATGAACCAATACCTGTCAATCAAACTAAATCACTTCATTTACGCACCATATCGCGTCTTGTAGAAACAACAGGTTCCATTGTACAGCTCTGGTTAGCTGCATACTGTCACCATCAGTTTGTCCTCCATTTTCAAATGAATCAACCTCTACTCCTCTGTCGTTGACTTCAACTCTTGCAAGTATCATGAGTGCCATTGTCCTGCTGCGCAAAACTTCATGTACGGCTCTCAATCTCAGAGATCTGGCTTATGATGTGACATGACATTTCCTCCTGCCACCAGAAGGCGCTATGACTGAAATGTAATATTTCCACATAAATATGTTTATGTCTCGACCTCCATAATGCATGGAGAGTTTGGGTCAGATTGGAGCATGCATGGCTAAAGAAAATACTACTTCCTGTCGAATGATGTATCACCCATCTTTGAGGCCATGACCAAGAACCAGAGGGTGTTTCATCATCCAGGTCTCGTCTGTAAACCTGTTTGGAGAAACTTGTTAAAGGACCCCCAGAAATGGCTCAAAATGTAGTAGTGATGTTTCGTGTTGGATTACAGACCCAGTCAACTCACAATATCAATAATGATTTATTTGTCAGTTATGTCTGATTGAGGTACTTTGCTGCAGATTCTTTCAGTATTATTGTTAAAATGTGGTCACTAGGTATTCGGGATTAGGTCTGAAATCAGCCGGTCTTCAGGATTGTTAGGTCATTTATTTTTTATTTATTAGTCCAACCAACTCTTTCCCCAGAAGACTTCTCTCTACAGCTGGGAGCTGAAATTGGATTGGACTGAGTGTCCTGGAGGCCTCAGTGCTCCCAGGTGTGTCAGTGACCAGGGGGTAATTTAATTAAAGGCTGCCATGAAGCATTTAGGTGACAAAGACTGGGAGATCCACTTTATCTCATGCAACAGAGTTAAAAGCACAAAAATGTATGAATTATTATTAGGACTTTTCTACATATAAAATGGGACTAAATCCAAACCAGTTAAAGTTTTTCCAGGCCAAAAGTGCCCGGGTGGATTAGAGGAAGAGCGGTGGGGTCACTGACCTATAAAAGTTGTGTGGCTCAGTGAGGTTTTAAACTTTTTGGTTTTGTTTATCTCATACAAAGTTGTACATGATGCCTCCAGAGGAGATGTCAGGGTTCATCGTGACTGTTACGGGGATAAAACCAGCAGCCAATCATGGCCATGCGGCGCCTCTCTGTAGATCCCAGGAGTTTAAACCTCCCGTAAACAGCCAAACCCTCTGAGTTCAGATAAACATCTATTACATACATACGTTCGCTCTCTGAAGGCTAATTACCATCAGAAACTGTTGATAAATGTTCGGTGAGGGAGCAGCTCACAGTGGACCTCATTAATGCTTTTACAAACATTTACACTCATTACTAACTGCTGTAGAGACTGAACTCACAGTGATGAAAGAGGAGCACCACCAGGGGGCAGCGTAATCCCCTGAGCTCCCAACATGCAACAGTTTAAAGTTTTTACAACTGTCAGAGCTCACTGTTCATAAGAAAGTTTCAACAAATTAAACTTAGGTTCACAATAACACGTCTGAAAAACGCCTCATTTTTCACGACACACTCCGTTTGTTGATCATCTTGCCCAAGGACACTCTGGCATGTGGCCTGGTCTATCCTTCCTTGTAGGCCCTGTTCACCGTAGGCCCTCACCATGACCCTGGTAAATGTTATACGTCTTTAGCTCCATCTGCTGCTCATGTTTTGTTAGTGCTGCTCACAGGATACGTTGCGGACAGAAGCAACACAAAATATTACAGGAAAACCTGAAACGTTTCTCACCTCTGGAGGCTTTTCTGAAGAACATGGATCACTCACTTCACAGCACCTTGATGGACCAAAGCGCCAATGGTGGTGGACGGCTCCTCTTACTTCGCTTTAGGACAGAAATATTCAGAAGATCTTTTGTATCCACAGCCATTAGACTTTATAATTCTTCTGTAACTAGTAGATGACTTGAAACATGACACGTGAGACTACAGACAATTGAATTTTCCTTTGGGGACCAATATAATTCTTCTTCTTCTGACCATTGTGATGGTATTCTTGGCAGGAAAAGTCCCTACATATTAAAACACATTTAAGAACTGCGAGGCTTGAAAAATAACTCTAAACTTCTCTTAAAGTTACTGAGTTTTTGTCATTTATTTGGCTGAAAGAAACAACATGGTAAATACACACTGTGCAGTATGCAGTCCTACTACAGTAGATTATTGTTTTTATCTGGCAGTGTGTTTATATCAGTAACACCCAGTAAGTGTAAGAGCAGGTTTTTCTGACAATCTCAGCTGATGTGATAAGTGATAGTTAAGACTAAAGGCTTATTCAATAGTGCATATGGAAGGTAATACTGCTTGTGTCCAACAGGTGGCGGTATCAGTGTGACAAAAATGTAAACCTGTGAAATTTGGGGCAGAATAAAAATAAGTATGTGAAAACTAGTACCATGTCTTTCCACATGGAGGCGCTATGATTGTAGAAGGGGAAATGGGCACATAGATGTGTTGAGGGTTGGATCTTGATCCTGTTTCCTGGAGAGGCATCTAATTTTGATGAGGGGCCACTCTGTTTGATGACTTTTAATCTTCAATGTGTTTACAACAAACTGCACACTGTAAAAAATGATCAGAGGAAACTCCTGGGACAAGTTCAGTCTGATCATCAGTTCTCAGTCAGCAGAAATGTTAAAAAAACAGAGCGAACAGGTTTAATTTTATACCAAACCTTTAATGAATGTGATGGCATTGACAGTCAGACATGTTCAAATGTCATTCGACCAGTGTTTAACACCACGCAAACAGGATATACAACATGAAGTTACAGGATACATTTGGCGTTTTCTTGTTTTAACACTGTGAGGAATATAAAACACTACAAAAAAAAAAAAAAAAGAAAAGAAAAAGTGAGGAAAACTGCTTTTATTTGACATTTTTTCACCTGTTCTGCCATCACAGCGAGGCTGCGTTTGATTCCTCAACCTCAACATTAAGGATCACGGATTTCCAAAAATGGATGTAGCTTTGCGCTGCGCCTTAACCTGCACACTCCAACAGATCATGTTGAGATTAATAACAATAGGAGACTCCAGCAAAGGTGAAATACTACAGTTAGACTTTCTTGGTAGAGTGAACACTTCAAATCATGATGACTTTTTGGGTTGGAGTCTTTTATATTGAGCTTAAATGTAGGTGTCAGACTTGACCTCGGCTGCAGAAATCTGTAGCCTAACTTTTGACCTGTGTTCCTGTCAGGGCCGAGCTGACCAGACGCCATAATGACTTTTACCTAACAACTAAATTTCTGCGTGAATCAAAAGAAATCCAAATGGTGGGATGTTAAGTTTGCTGCTGTAAGTAACCACAAGAGTTAAAGTTATTTGTCAGGTTTTATCTCCAGCTTGAATACTTGAGATTAAAATATTTTACATTTTTACACTTTATACACTTTAAAGATAAAATGGTGCATAAGAAAAAACAAACTTATTGCATATTTTCATTGTGACTCAGAAATAAAAAAAACGTCTGCATGCATTACTAAGTTGTCCAAAAAGTGAACAGTCACACAGTAAAACACAAGTATACTTATAAAAAACTGTGGCAAGCATAACATCTGAAAAGTGTAACGTACTGCGCACAGATCAGGCAACTCCTTTCTCCACGTAAACAAACAGTTTTGATCATCAGACTGATGGAAGTCAGTGAAATGAAGCCCTTCGCCATCTTTGCAGAACAATAATTTTAGCTTTAACTGGCCCTACAACCATTTTTTATATTTAAGAGTCTAAATAACTGAAAGATGTTAAATGTTTTGGAATTGCTCCAGTAGAGTTGAATCGAGCTGTAACAGCTGTATTGTCAACCTTTCATGAACAACACTGCTTCACTTTTCTGGGGATAACTTTTGGTTACCGTGATGAAACTGAACCTTAATTTACATTCAGGGGAAAAACAGAGAGATAGCAAGAGGAGGACGTAAAGAGAGAAAGAGAGAGTTGCTATACTTGGAGAAACTTTTAAAGGCATGGTTGACGATTGGAGAGATTGGTAATTACCATGAACCTCGTTTCTATGACGATCATGGTCCTAGAGTGCGATCTCCACAAAGTGAAGAGAAGAAGAATGGAAAAAATCTGTTCACCCTCGTAGGTGCAGGGCTACAAAAACATTGACCAATGGGAGCCACCGTCCTGGACAGCTCCTATTGGTCAATCTTCTGCTCCGCCTCTCCATCCAATCACCTCGCTGTATTCGACACACCCCTCTCCTGTAGTTCTGACTTGTCAACACGGTAGCTGTCCAGGCAGCTGCAGACGGCGCTTGCTAGCAGAGCTGGCGTTTACTGCCGCTAGTCACTAACAATCCGACATGGTGAATCCTATTTGAAGCTAGCGTAGGATCTTCTGCCGGGCCAACTTCTTGCTCTGCCAGAGGGGGTGTGTCGTGGGGAGGGCCATACAGGTTCGGGGGGGGGGGGGGGAGTTATCGTGGAGCACAGAGGGGAGAGGTTTGTGTGTGTGTGTTTGTGTGTGTGTGTAGGGGGGGGGACGTTTTTTCAGATCTGCCTCAACGGCTCAGTTTTTTAACTGCTTCTCAGATCGTCAACCATGCCTGTAAGTGGTCAACAGATCTTATCAGAAAACCACCTGACTTGCATTAAAAAAGGGGTGCTTGATTTACATACAGACGCCAAAACAGCTATATGGGCAGAGAAAGAGAAGGAGATCGCACAACAAGAAACAACTCCTATAACTTGACGTTTTTGATCATTGACACGGCTTTCAGTTTAGCAGAAACTAAAATAAAGAGTTACACAATCTTTTCCCGAAATGAACCAGAATAAATAGAAAGGTTGACGTTTCAGCCGTTACAGCCAGATTCATGAAGCGATTCCAAAGATTTTACATGATAAAAGAAAACTAGGCCGAGGGTTTCAGATACAGACTTCCCCTCAGAGAACATTCAAGAAATTTTAACCCTGCCCTCCATCAGATGGCTTTCCCCAGAATGAGAATGCTCATGAGGAAGACCATGATGAAAAAGAGCCACATGAAGAAGCGATCCATGACTTTGGCGACCTTCCTCCACTCCCCGATGCGTACCTGTGCGGCTCGCTGGTCCTGGTAAGAGTTGGCAATGTACTGAACGTTCCTGCGCAGACCCTGATGCTGGCACACACACTGGGTTCTCACCAGGATCTCCCTCCTGTACCCCCTGGCTCCGCCTCCCCCGTCACCTCCTACACCTTTCTTTTCCTCGACATCTTCCCCTTCTCCTCCACAGGCACTATCAGACTCCTCCCTCTCTCCCTTAAGTCCTCCTGCTGCTCCTTCCTCCTCCGAGTGGTCAATGTTCACAAACAGATCCTCCTTCCAGTCCACCTGGTTGTTGACATCCAGCCCCGTCTTCTCCTCCTCCACCTTGCCCCCCCATGCCTGTCCGTTAACATCCCAGTTAGTTCCCTTGGTGTTGGCGCCATTGGTTGGCAGTGCGTCGGGGTCCTCCTTGGATGACGATTGTTTCTTGGTTGAGGTCCCGTTCTGGCTGGTCTCTCCGACCTCGTAGACGAAACAGATGCGGGCCAGGTAGTTGAGGATGAAGCGCTCGGCCCATTGAGGGACTGGACGGGCTTCAGGACCGCAGTGGTGGATGTTCATGATGAAGATGGTGAGCGCAGTTGATGCAGTGACCATCGTCATTGTGGCGATGTAATACTTCCCTGAGAAAAAAAGGACATTCATCATCACAAACAGTTCAACATCCCGGTACAGTGTGTGGACAAAGTGAACACTGAAGTTATCTGTGGTTGGACAACAATTTAAGGGTCTTCAGTTTCTTAGTTGTCAGACCGAAACAGCCATAATGATTCCTTTCCAACAATTATTGGCAGGTACAGTTTCATATTTCTATCATGGAAAGAAAAAACTGAAAAGTGAGTTCACACTGATCACAAACCAGCCACATATTCTGTTCAATTAACGCTAACCCGGGAATTCCACTGGATCTGGAACAGCTCCGCTCTGCACTGGCAGTCGGATCAAATACGCAAGCATATAGCGCCCACTGGATCCGATCCACTGCCGCCATCGAGGGAGAAGCTCTTGCGTAATTACTGATATGGGCTCAAGGCACGAGAATGGACGGAATCTCACAAGATCTCACGTGTTTCCCCGTGAGACATTGAATGAGATCCGCCAATCGGTGTGTATGAACGGCGATGTATATAAACAACCCTGGCCTCTCCTGTTATCAAGTTAAGAACAGTTCAACAGTTTAACTTTCTTTTCTTTTGAAAATTAACCAGATATTTTCCTCTGTAGCAGCATACAGTTTCCGCACTGTGCTGCGGCGTCTGGCAAAAATAGAAGCCTTGTGTATCTGATCTGGCCGCTGGACAGTGGACGGACTCTGTGGAATTTCACAAATTGATCAGAATGCTTGCGTATTTGATCCGCCTGCGGTGCTGGGGCGGAGCGGAGCCGTTCCAGATCCTGTGGGTTTTGCCTGTAACTGTCAGTATCTCCACTGTGCTGCTCAGAGCTGCACTGTGAGCTCTAATCCTGACAGGCTCTTTAGTTTCAAATGAGAAAGTTGAAGGATTCTGGGAGACAATTCTTTAAAGTACTCCATTCAATAAGATCTCCATGAGGGGTGCTGTCCTTGAGGATTATACATAATGAAGATTTTTTTGTTCATAATTTCAAATCACTGCAGCCCCAACAGTCTTCAACAAGATAATCTCAAAAACCACCTGGTTATCTCGCGGTCTGTGCCGTGCTGAGGTAGTTTAACCATCTGCAGGTGCTCTTCTTCATGCTCCTCTCTGGTCTGAGCTGAAATCACAGGATTATTCTAACAAACTGCAGAGTGATTATTGATTTCTGATTGCTGTATTTTACCCTCTGCTGGCCTCCTCCTCCTCATGACAGCCATTAAACATGAACACTGCGATCGCTGCACTCGGCTCTCAAATCTCTACCGTCTGTTCTCTTTATTGGTTACTAACAAAACAACACACACTCACACACACTTTTACACTGAGCTGAACTTCTGCAGACCTGCTCCCTTTACACCTCTCTTTTCCTGTACAGCAGTAAAATGGACTGCAGCAATTTCAACATTCATCTGTAATCCCTGGTCTCTCTCTCTGGCTGTGTACACTGAGGGTGTTTCCAAGGTACACTGTGAAGAATCTAAGCTAGTAGTCAGCTAGTTTCAGCTTCTCATGATAGACTGTAAACTTGTTGCAGACAAATGATTGGTTCAAGGGTAAACAAACAGTGATATAACTGGTCATCTACCTCAAAAAGTCAACTGTTTTATCTCATCATTACTTGTCAGAGCATTTATGGACGGGTATTTCACCACGATTTCCATTCTCTAAGCACTCTATTTACATAATTGTCCTTATTTAGTCTTGAAAGGTGAAGACGTTGATGAATACTTATTACTGACATTTTTAACAACGAAATGGAGACTGTTTTGGGCATCCTCACCTATAAGTGGCACACTCTCGGACGGCGGCATGCTCTCCGCCACAAGTAACTGAAACACTGTGAGGGCCAGCAGTACAGTGACACCCAGAGAAACCTTTTCTCCAGAGTCAGCGGGCAAGAAGAAGCCCAGTGGAGCCAGGAAGGAGATCATCATGCAGGGGATGAGGAGGTTAAAGATGTAGAAGGAGGCTCGTCTCTTCAAGCTGAGGGTGAAGGTGATGTCTGGATACGGATCTGAACAGCATCCATACAGAATAACGTTCTTCTTGGCTGGCATTCCCAGAACCTGTTCGGAAAAAGGATCCAGATTTTTCTGATATATGCTATCATAGTTTCCGGTATTGTTTGAGAGTGACGAACTCTGTAAGCACTCACCTCCCACTCCACATTGGGGACAAAGTCGGCCAGGTCAGCGCTGTCCAAGGCATTGGACAAGTCCATCTGGTTGCCATTGTGGGTCCAGGAGCCAAAGGTTAGATGGCACTGCTGCAAATCAAAGGGGAAGAAGGCCACATCCACGGAGCAGGAGCTTTTGGTGATGGCTGGCTGGTCCCACATTACCTGCCCATCATTACGGAGAACCACATTGGTTTCCATGGAGCTGGAGAACTCGTCGTCTGCACTATAGCGGAGAAAATTCAAATCAAAACTCAGCAATACAAAGTGATTTCCTGCATCTCCTCTTCATGCCTACCTACCTGTTATACAAGACGATGTCTGGTCTCCACACGTAGCTGCTGGGGATGCGGATGGTGTCCAGGCCGTCGTACTCCTCTTTCTTCCAGGTGAGGAAGGCATCCATCCAAACTTGGCGGATCCACAGGTAGGTAGTGAGGATCTGGTTTCTCTCATCCTGGTTTTAAAGGAATAAACACATAAATTTAGTTATGATACAATTTGATATGAACCAGTAAGTTAAAATACAGCATGATACGAAACAAGAACCAACTATATCTTACAATAAACACAATAAAATATGACGTGGTACCATTTGATACAATGTAGTTCAAGATATGTATGATACACTGAAAAGTGTCAGATGCAAGAAGTTTCCAAACATGGTAAACTTCTGCAACTTGATATCTGTGAGCAGTATAATGGAATAGTTCTGTCCATACGTTCCCCTATAGTTTTCAACAAAGCGTGAATTCACTGTAGATCTCTGTTGGCAGGGATTACCATGTCGATGATCTGGGAGAGCGTGATCTGCAGAGTGACGTTGATGATGTGGTCGGTGTCTTCGACAGGCCGTAAAGCGTTGGTGTAGTTTGAGAATAAGTCAGTGAGCAGCTTCTGAGCGTAGCGGCCATGAGCAGCGAAGCAGACTGGGAAAAGAGAAACAGAGATGACTCATTTGAGATTTAATTGTGTTTAACTAACATTTTTAAAACCAAACCTGAGGAGAACGGGATACATCGATGCTTAACCGATATCCCAATCATGCTCCCAAGAGGAATAACCATTCAGTTTGTAGGACCTTGGGATTCACTGCTGTGTTTAACACTACAGATGTTCAGATCTGATCTCAGACTTGGTTATCAAAGCCCACAGGAAATACTCTTTGAACAATAATCTTGTTATTTTGCACTTTATTTTACGCCATTTTCTCTTGATCCTGTGAGACCTTATATATCCATCAGTAAAGTCTGAAGTCTACCACAGAAACACACAGTAACACACATCTCCACACACATGCAAACCACATTTCCCAGTACAATTAACCCGGAGATCACCTCGGCTTTTAATCGGAAAAGAACTACAGGAGATAAATCCTTTAAGTCCTGTGCTACATAAATGAGCATGGATGGTGGGAGACATGATGGATGCTGCTCAGGTTGAACCGTATTTCTGAAGAATAAAAAACCTTTTGGATGCCAAGTCCTTTTATAAAAAGGAGAGGAACAAAAACACTCTCCAAGAGCGATGAGTGTTTGGAAAACAGTAAAATTTGTGAGGACGGAGGCTGCTGGTGGAGCTCAGCAACTCTAAAATAGTCCGATCAGATTTGAAAAGACTTATAACAAGAGATCTGAGGGTTCCAGTTATATTTCATGCTCTTCAAAGCTCATATCAGATGAAACGTGGGATGTCAGAGCTGATAAATCTGAACATTTGTCTGAGCTATCAGACTCACAGCTGCAGACGAAGCTGCAGTCTGAGTCCTGTAACCATATAAGTAAGCAGTGAAAGGCCTCAAACCGAGAACACTTGACTGATGTAAATAGTTAATAAAATCTCTTGACGACAAAGTCTCTCCTATCAGCTGCGGTCAGTCCTCTAGAGACAGCTGAGGAATGAGGCGACAGTCGTCCCTGAAGGCCACAGAGAAAGATTTGGTTTGTGTCGCCTCCAAACAAAACAACCTGCTGAGCTCAGAGCTTCGGTGGAAGATGCTGCAGTGCACTCTGGGAAGTTTTTTCTCTTAGTTGTTTAGGACTGATACAGTGCCAGGTTTGAGAAAATTGGGTTCTTGGGGGCTCTGGAATGCTGAGTGTCCAAGGGTTCCAGTAGAGTAGGCTCTTAAAGGAAGTTGTATCCCGGCTTTGAGGATTGCCAGGTTCTAGAATGTTGGATTGTAAAATGCCAGGTTCCGGAATTTCGAATATCAGAACACTGGGCTCTGAGGCACTCCGCACTGTTTTAAAGAGGCAGTAGCTGTTTTCAAAGACTGTTAAAGTCTACTTTAATGGATTTTTTGGAGTGCTAATGTCGAAAATGGACTACCAGATCGAGCAGACGCAGAGTGTCACCCCCAAGTTTCACCACATCTGGAACGGCTATGAAAGGGTTGTATCCGCCGATTGTAACCATTCAAGTTAATGTGTCAATTTCCACCGGCTTCTTTCCGTTCCGCTGCTGATCGCCGGACTCCGCAGCTGATCGCAAGAGTTCTATTTTTTCTAGACGCGGGAGCATGCTGGATAAATTCAGCACAGATTAACCGTGCTGGAAAGGGAAGTCGGGCACAGACACAAAAAAAAACATCCGGCTTCTTTTCAAAATAAAACACTCTGTGTTTCAGGCGGATCATATTTCACACCATGCAAATGGGCGGAGACAAACAAGTGAAAAGTTTTTAGACGTCATTTCACCCCGATGACACCATGGATGAGGAGATGCTGATTCTAGAAGTCTAGAAGTAGATTTCCTCCTCTGGAAGGACACAATCTACTGCTTATATGGTTAGCCTCTGTCTGTCTTTATAGAGACAACTCGTTATTGCGTGATTTGCACGTGAATCTGCGGGTTCTTGTGAGTTCTCGCGATTACCACTCTCCGTAATCCGCTACGAAATTCGCCTCACCAACGGATCCAGTGGAATTATCCCCCGAAATCGCTACCGTTCCAGATAGGAGCCGTTCCAGATGCAGTGGAAATTGGGGGTCAGACATGATAATAAGTTGTTATCTGTGACAGGAAATAATAATAAAGGACTGATATCAACATCACTTGTGGCTGTAAGACTTTGTCAGAAAAGGAGATTTCTTTCTTTATATTTTTTTCAGTTAGCATCGAGTGATGATGCAGCACGAAAGAAGCAAACATTTGCAGCTACTCAATAAAATGTTGAAACGCCTCTCACACTGCACCTCCAGCAGCAGCAGCAGTAGTCTTGCTCCTTTGCTGCAGGCTCACTGCAGAGCGAACACCCCCTCAAGATAAGATTCAATAAAGTGTTCAAAAACACACACAAACCACAGCTACGGAGGTGAATTTCCCCGCCGGGATTCATTCATTTGAGGGATTTTAGCAGCCTCTGAACTATCTGAGCAACAACGATCCAACCTGCGCCCACAGCAGGAGCTTCTGTTTCTGCTCGACAACAACAACAGAGGTTCATTCTGCAGGAGAAAAAATACACTGTCCTCATCAGTCAGACAGACAGACAGAGAGGTGTAAGAACATGCTTTGCACTAAAAAGGAAGTGCATAAAAGGCCCGTCTGTTTCATGACCTTCAGACATGAAGAAAGTAATAAATGAGTGAATTCCAACATGACGCTGGAGACACACACAGGGTCTGAGAGTTCACACTGTTTGTACTAAAATGGGAAGGTGGAAGTGAAGCTGTGGACCTTTCAGACGGACATAAAAAGACAGAGATGAGAGATTGTCTGCTCTCTTACTGCCATCAGTGTTGGTTGTTTCTACCTGTGAGAGATATAACAGTCTAACATCAGTCCAGTCTGTGTCTTTGAGGGATAATTCTGACTTTATTTAATGTCTCAGGGAAACTTTAAGATGGATTCACCTCTGCAGCTCCAAATGAACCCCAGTCTGTCTGGTCAGAGTGATAAAACAAACAGTTTTAACACTTTTAGTCTGAATTTGTGAGTTTATTTACTCTGATGAACATTTCAGTCCCCCTAACGACTGTCAGCCTTTTTCTGTCGCCACCTTCCAGTTAAGCCGGCCTAACGACTGAACAGGCCAGACATCCATTAAATATGACATTATATATACACACAGTGATGACAAATGAGAGTAAAAACTGAGACAGAGGGTTTTAGAGGGGTGTATAATGGCTTTAGTGCTCCTTGTCTTGGTTGTGTCCACATGACTGAAATTTTTCCTTAAGGTATTCCCTAATTTGGTGGTTCGATGATGGAGTGTGCTTTCTTTCCAATGTTCCCAACAGGTATCCAACAACAGGGCTGAAGGAGATATCATCTGAACACTGTGAATGTGAAGTGCGCGCATAGACCAAAGTCACGACATGTTGTCAACAGTTCTCTTTGTCTGTCTGAAACCACTTTAATGTTTTTAAAAACAGGAGGTAACCGTTGTATAAGCAGAGTCTGTATCTGTGCGTAACATGACCGTAGAACGTAAACATGCACCAGAGCTGCAACACTGCCTCCATCACAGATATCGTGAAAATAATCAGAGAAACTTTTAGCATCTAAACTTGCAGTGGACATACATCGTAGTGCAGAAGAAGACCAGGGGCCTCATGTATCAATACTTGCGTGGAACTCATACCAGAAACGAGCGCACGCAAGGTCCGTCACGCTGAAAAAAATCCGTATGTATCAATGTGTGCGGGCGCCGAAATCCCCGTGTGTTTCCTTGATAAATCCCAATCAGCGTGGAATTGAGCGCAGATGTCGGAGTGACTGGGCCAGCCCCCGTTACGCCCTCCTATAAATATGCAGATTTACTTAAATCGGGTCTCCCTGTCCTCGCATGTAGACAAAATGACAAGAAAAACTAAATTTACGGCGTGTGAGGTGGAGGTGCTGGTGGCGGAGGTGGAGGAGCGACAGCCTGTTTTGTTTGGCAGCCTGTCCAGTGGCGTCAGTGCAAAACGAAAACGCTTGGAGTGGGAGAAAGTTTGCGAGAGGGTGAATGCGGTGGGTTGCGAGACACGCACCCCCGCGGAGATTAAAATAAAGTGGTCGGACCTCAAGGTGGAGGTCAAGCGGCGTACAGCTGCCCTCCGGAGGAGTACCGGCCAGACAGGTGGGGGTCCGGGCGAGGAGACCCTCACACCGTTTGAGCAGCGGGTGGTGGCGATTATTATTATAGGGTAAGTGGCATGTCACACAAATGTCCACATGCTTTGCCATCCCACTGAGCAAAAGACGTATATTAGACGTCTAGTCTAAGCTTATACTTAATTTCAACGTCGGGATTCAGTCTATTTTTAGACGTGATTTATACTTCGCCCTTAACTTCATTTTTCGATAACTTTTTATGCAATAAACAACCGTAATGTGCATAACTGACCTCGAAATACTGGATTACATTACCTATGATACCGTGGAGAGAGATGCAAACGCAACAGATACACAGAAGCAGGAATTGAAATGAACAAATATTTTTATTGTGTCACAGAAATCAATGTGTCGGCCGTGTCGCCGGCTTGCGGAACCCCGGCCCGCGGCAGCCCGTCCGCCGGCTCGGAGTCGTCGGCCAGGACCAGCGGCATTCGGGCCACCCCGACCCCGGCCCCAGCACCAGCACCAGCACCAGCATCAGCATCAGCGTGCCGACAAGCGGTGGAGCGTCCACCAGCCGCGGCGCTTCCGCTGGACCACCTGGACGCAGTGGAAGGGTCCTCGCGGAGGGGGTCCTGCAATCGCAGGAAGAAATAATCAGGGGGATCGCGGGGATCAACGAGCGGCTGGACCGGCTCGTAAATGTCCTCGAGCGTCTGGTGGAGAAAATAAATTATTTTGGCTCATTGAAATGTGTATTCACTTCTTACCCATTCACACTGTGGCGATGAGATTCTCCCGCGCGAGGACGGCGGCCCGGCAGGGATCAGCTCGCATCCCTCCGTCTGCTGCTGGTTCGTCATGTGGGGCGACGTGCTGCTCGGCCACGGGGATGTGGTGCACGCTTGTCACATAGTGAGTCACCAAACACCGCCACACAGCGTCGCCAAAGTGCGAATCACAGTCAACGCAAGTATCGGCTCAACGCCAATTTCTACACCACCTCCTGACTTTGCGTTGATTAGCGCTGGAACCGACGCTCGTTTCGCGATGATAAATCTGGACGTGTGCGCCGATTTTGGTGTACGCAAGGTTTTCTTGCGCCGCAAGCGTTGATACATGAGGCCCCAGGAGTTTCATTTTTTCACTGGAAGGACACTAGTGAGCACTTTATTTACATTTAATTTGCCAAAACATCAACTTAAGCACTCTTTGTTTATGTTTTATCCACAACAGTAGATGCCTGAGGGCGCTTGGGTTACTTTTAATCAATCAAATGAGCAATGAGAAGGTGCTTAAATTTATACGTGATTTGTCCAAAACACAATCTGTGGCACTAGATTTACACTTTATCCGTCAAAAAAAGCAACTAAAGGGTACTTTGTTTACATTAAATCTACAGCAAGAGCTACCAGCCGATACTTTATGTACAGTTCACTTTCAGAAAAACAACAAGAGGACTTTTTCCTCACATTTTATCCTCTGCATGAGTTACCTTAGGGCACTTTGTTTGCTCTTAATCAATCAAATAAGCGATGAGAAGGCACTTTAATTCACACATGATTTGTCCAAAATACAACCTGTGGCACTTGATTTACACTGTATCTGTAAAAAATGCAACCAAACAGTACTTTGTTTACATTGAATCTACTGCAAGAGATACCAGCGGATACTTTATGTACAGTTTACTTGCAGAAAAACAACAAAAGAACCTTTCCCTCACATTTTATCCTCTGCATGGGGTACCTGAGGACACTTGGTTTACTTTTAATCAATCAAATAGGCAATGAGAAGGCATTTAAATTTACATGTGATTTGCCCATAAAGCCCCACCTGCGGCACTTGATTTACACTTTATCCATAAAAAGAGCAACCAAAGGGTACTTTGTTTATGTTAAATCTACTGCAAGGGATACCAGAGTTCACTTTATATACAGTTTACTTGCAGAAAAACAATAAGAGGACTTTTTCATCACATTTTATCTTCCGCATAAGTTACCAGAGGGCGATTAGTTTACATTTTACTTACCAAAACAGCAACCAAGGAGCCCTTTGTTTACATTTAATCTACTGCAAGAGATACCAGATGATACTTCATGCACAGTTTACTTGCAGAAAAACGACAAGAGGACTCTTTCCTAACATTTTATCCTCTGCATAAGATATCAGAGGGCCCTTAGTTTACATTTTCTTTAGCCGGCACTGATCCATATACTCAGACTCTATCATCTATTAAACCTGACATCTTTGTGTGAACTTTCCGGCAGGTGAGGCCTCTCTGCACATGCAGCTCTGCCTCTTATCCTCTCTGCTCTTTGTTCACAGTCTTCATGGCTCGCTGACCAGACGAGTCAGCAGTTTGTGAGGCGGCAGCATCGACTCTCGGAGGAGGTGAACAGTTAGCCCTAACAGCACACACACTCACTAACACACACACAAGTGTATCATCATCAATTTTATCATCCTCTTTATCTCTATTCTCATCACTATTGCCATGGTAACAAGGGAGTCTATACATCTTAAGTGCACAGATGGTCACAGCTGTGTGCATCACAACTAAGTGCAAAGGACAGATGATGGCATGTTAAGTCAATATGAGCTGTGTGTGTGTGTGTGTGTGTGTGTGTGTGTGTGTGTGTGTGTGTGTGTGTGTGTGTGTGTGTGTGTGTGTGTGTGTGCGTGTCTTTTAGGAATGATTTTTAAGCTTCTTTGAGAAACAAAGTCAGACATTGCTGACTCTTTTATCCGTCATTGTGAAAACCAAATGAAAATGTCGGCCACATATCAGCTGAGCATGTCCTTGTGATTCCTGTTTGTGAAGATTTAGCCTCATCATTGTTATCCAGACTGACTGATACAATAAAATATGCCTCAGTACTCTGTCTTTAATGTACAGATTCAGATTAAAACTTCTCCAAAAACATTCAGCAAAGACTAGAAACACGATGTCTAGAGGGTTTCCTTCTGCAGACATGAGACATGAAATGGATCAGTTGAGTAAATTACAGTTTGGACGATCAGACTGACAGATTTACAGAAAGATTATAAACACTTTAAAGCATGAGTGACATTTACAGAGAGAGACGGAGACAGTTTGATGATTGTCGTGGTTTTATGAGCACAAAGACTGATCTGAAGTTAGGTCTCTCTCTGAAACAACAAAACAGAGCAGCTCATCAGTTCATCCAATGGATTATTGAACAAATATTAATAAATATTTTTTGTCTTTCTTTAATACTTTCTTGTATTCCAGTTCATCTTAATAAAAGATAAAAAGATAAAAGATTAAGTCAGAATCAAACTGATTCAAGTTTTTTTTTAGTTTAAGTGGGAACAATCAGCAAAGTTAGCAGCAGCTCAACAGGCAGCCCCTAATTTCCCACTATACTGCATTTATTATTTTTAAAGGTTTTCTTTTTCTTTTTCTGGAATAAAACATTTAGCAGTACTTTTGGATGGTGCAGGGAATTAAGGCCATGATTTGTCTAGATTTAAAGCTTTTGAAGAAAAAGGTCTCAGCTAATGAAGCAGCAGCTCAGCTGTCAGCCCCTGAAATCCCACCAAATAGCATTAAGGAAACCTAGAATTATATTTTAATTTGGTTTTATCTATTTTTATCTCTTTTAATGAAACTTAAGAAAGGATGAGGGGGGCTGTCATAGGAAATAGCAATGTAATTGGCAGCTCAGCCTGCAGGCCCCAAAGCTACACAAAGACACAGATTTTATTTAAATGTTAAATTAATCTGGATTTTTTTTCACTAGTTTTCTTGTGCAGTGTTTGGGTGACCCGCCTGCAGGCTTTGCTCCATTAATGATGAACACAGCTGGACCAAAAAAACTCCCTTCACACCATCAAAGAGTAGACCTGCAGTTGGCAGCAGCTCAGCTGGCAGCCTCCCTGAGATTTAAAAGTGTCAGGAAAACAATATCCAGGTGTTTTTTTTGTCCGGTTGTTTTGGGGCCTCTTACAAATTTGTGCACAGTGATAGTTTTCAAACAGAGGACCTGCTCCGACTGTCTGTTGAACATGTCAGTCCTGAAGTTTATTCCTCTTGGCTTTAAAATGTAATTTTACAGAGAGAAATCGAAAAATAAAGTCTATAAATCTTCTTGTTGCAAAACCTTCCTACTGCAGTTTATTTGCAGCAAAGGGTGGTGTGCGTTGTGTATATGTGTGCGATTCAGAGTGTATTTAAAGTGTGTTTGGATTAACTTCTGCCCTCGACCTCCTCTTATCTGTGTGGACAGTGTGATTGACAGATGTAATCCTCGCCAACATCAGCAATTATACCGCTGCTCAGTCCGCCCGTTTGTCTAAACATCAACAAACCCGTACAAATACTTTACCTCCAGCAAAGACCTCCAATCAGACCATCCTACACGACAAAGTCTTGACTTTATTGTCAGGTCATGTGTAGAGGAGGATTGTGCAGAAAGACACTGAAACACTGTGAACCAGTAAAACCATTACAGCTTACAGTAAGAGTATGGGCTGTCCTCTGGCGGTTTGATCGTCCTGCCTCTTATTCAGAAATATCAAATTATTCAGCTTTAATTCCCTGTGGTCTGTTGAGGGACCTTTGACCTCCACCTCCTGGTTGTTAAGTCTTGTTTTGGCTCTCTCCTCTTATCATGCAGACGCACAATGAATCCTGAACGCGCCCGTTCACAACACTGCCCTCTAAATACATGAAAGACTGAACACGTGAAGGCGACTGATAAACAGAGCTGCGCTCAGAGAGGAGGGGGGTACGTCTGAAACAAGACTGACAGGGCCCTCTTAGATGCTCCTAAAGAAAATAAGACACTATGAAATGCCTTCTTATATGTCAGTTCCAGAAAGAAAAACCTTTTGGATGCCCCTCAAGTTCATAAAAACTTAAAAGAGTTCCCCTGTCATTCACTTTCGCCCTACCTGGATAAAGAAAAGTATAATGTGTACTCTGGATGCCCTAGCAGTCTATAAATTGTTAAATACTGCCCCCTGAATACTATTTCAAATTGTAAATCGTACCATATGGATGCCCCTCAAGTACATCATTTTTAAAAAAATACCATCTAAATTCCCCTATAAGTCAAATTTATAATGGATACAATCCCAGACCAAACATAAAAAAGCACCCACTGAATGCCCTACCTGTGCATTAAATATATAAAAAGCCCCCTTAGATACCCTAAGTACAAAATGACTTCTGGATACCTCTTTTGATTAAAGCAAAGTTAAAATAAAAGTGCCATCTGGATGCCTTACCAAAGTTTTAATTGTTAAAAAGTGTCTCTTTGATATGGAAGCCCTAAAAGGACATGATTAAACGAATTTTCTCAGTTTTATCATATTAATGAGATAATTTCAGGACTTTTCTTGAGATCTCCAGTTAATTTGACATTATGAAAGTTAACTCTGCTCAGATGCCCAGTCAGTATTATAAGTTTAAAAAAGACACAATGATTTAATATGGTTAGTCTTTGTTTTTTAATTTAAGTGCTAAATTAATTTGTCTTACTTCTTGATTTACACTAGACGGCTCAGTTCTTAACAGAATCTATATAACTGTGAGCCTCATGCAAGAAGTAGCATCGATTCTTCTTCTGTTTTATTTACATTGTTGAATTTCCACTTCTAAATGTGTTAGATGCCCCAAAATTTTAGAAAAACTAAATCAACAGAAAACACAGAAAATACCTTGTGTAGGTTGAGTGTTTTCATTGTATAAAACATCCTTTTTAATATCAAAACTTGAGCTGGTGTTTTATCATGATTAGTTGTTGCTCCCTAACTTTGTTTCTCATTGACCTGAGTCAGTTTTTACGTGTGGAGCCATAATTTTAATCCGAACTGAAAATGATTGATCCCCCAACTCTCACCTATAGTGATTTGGTGAAGTCTTAATATGGGTATGACCAGTGTTCATTTATGTGTAAAAGTAGAATAAATTTTGTCAGGATTGGAGTCACTGTAAGTTTTTATCGTAAAAAGTATTTTCTATAAGGAAAGGTAGCGCCAAGTCCTGAATAAGTCCAAGAGGACGGCAAATTTGATGGAGCGCTCAGATACGTCTTGGACTTAAATTCAAAGCCTCCTCTGACTTTTTGAAAAACATTTTTCATAACCCAGTATTCTAAAAGTCTCATTCAAGACATTTTGTTGAAGACTTTTCAAGGATTTGGAGAGGCCGTAATTGAGTTTTTAAGTGTCTTTGTCCAGAATGCTGCAGCCGGACAACATGAAACTCAAACTTAGTGAGCAGATGGCAGTTTCTTTGCACAATTAGACAGTTATCAGTGTAAGACCTCTGCATAAAAAGGATGTTCATCGTGAGGTTTTTGAAACTATTGAAAAAGTGCACCAGCCTTTTTCTTTTATCAGCTGAAGCTCTACAGTCACTTTATCATCCGAACTGCTGCACAGTCTCAGCAGTTATTTAAGATCTTTGTGAAAACGGAGTGAATTTAAGGTCAGATCTGAAGCATCTTCAGAGTGACACAGATTAAATTTTAGGTCAGAGTCCAGACGCTCCAAACAGGTCGATGAATTTAATCCTCGGTGACAGGTGTCAGTCAGTCTCAACTTTATCACATCTGTGCAGGAACTACTGTGACACTACAGCGTTTCAGATGTGCACTGTCTGTGTAAAAGGAACCAATAAATTCAATAAGATAAACTACATTTAGTTTATAAAGCAGAGAAAGCATCTGCATCTACTGAAATGACAAAATGTAGTGATGCAGAAAAATCACGGTAAAACAGATTTGACTATTTCACTCACCGTCAGCTCTATAACTCCAGATACTGAGTCCAAATCAACATGTTTTCACCTGTTCAGGAGGCTGAAAATGTTCTCACCTGGCAGACAGAAGAGCAGCAGGGGGTAAGGGATTGATCCTCTGCAGAGGAGCTTCATCCTACTCCGATACCTGTTATTGATCCGATCCTTAACAATCAATTATAATACTGTGATGACAGATCGGAGTCTGACCGCCGAGGAGAGAGGAGCAAACACACTGAGAGAGAGAGAGAGAGATAGAGAGAGAGAGAGAGAGAGAGAGAGAGAGAGGGAGAGCAGCTGCTGTTTGCTGTAGTGCGGTGGTCGCTGATGTATGAGGGGTCATTAGTGCCACACAGGCTGCAGACCACTGATGGTCCTTTTTTCTGCAGTTTAAGCACTAATCTATCTCTCTGTCATTACAGCCCACTGTAAACCGACAGTCAGGTTAACGAGAGTTTTATTATCAACATAACGATATAAAGGAACAGTTCGTGTTTTTTTAAAGAGGGAGTGTGTGTTATCTTCTCCATAAGCTCTGTGGTGGTAATTTTTTATGTGTATACAGCAGGATGGGCATTTGTGCTTTTCTGTGTGCATAGAGATTGTTGTTACCTGCTTCTAATGTACTTTACTGTAATTTAATGTATGAAGAGTGTAGGCAGTGAAATGTATTTTAAAGTTAACGTGCACAAAATAAGGTATATCTCAGTATATTCCATCAGCTTATGATACATGGTAATAATATCACATATTATGAATTTATAAATCACATATTAAAACATTGTCTCCCATTAAAGTGTAATGATTTATTCATCAGACTAATTATATATCATTATTATGTAGCATTTACCAGACTAATTCATAGGAAATCAAAAATCACATATCATATCCAATTGCATCATCTCATACCATGTCATTCATAATATAGTTATCATACTATTTCATATTAAATATCATAACAAACCATATCATGTAATATATATCACATCATGTCATATCATATCATGTAAAATCTCATATATTATATCTCATTCAAGCTCCAACTGTGACACGGTCAGAAACAGGAGGTCTGACTTAAGTCACTGACCTAAATATGACGTAGAGGATAAAACACGAAACAGAAGGATAAAGACACAAAGCTTCCCCTCAGAGTGACGTCTGTCAGTCTTCAGGATCTTTGTATCTAACACCAAGGTTTTTAAAAATACATCAGCAAACCTATTCAGTGGGTTAATAATTAAAGGACAGGTTGGACCACTTGTCTGCTCCCTTTGTAACTGGAGCCAAAAGCTGCTTGTACCTCCAACACATCAGGTGACAAACACTTAAAACCAGTTCTTACCCTTGGACCAACACTCAGGTCCGAGTGCTCATTACCCATTCACTTTGAGCAGCAGTGCCACAGAGATTATTTCAGTGAAGCATAATAGATTCTTGGATATTTGATAAATCAGTTTAACTTTCACATTCGCATTCAACACAAGAAGAGATCAATGACCTTTGGTTCCAAAAAGCATTCGAGGCTTGACTCTATGTTTCCAAAGCCATTGCTTGTTAGACAATGCTGAGGTATTTTTATTTTTTTTTAAAGCTAAAAAAGTTTATAAAAGTGTTGAAAAAGTATAAAAGTTTAAAAGTGATAGATCTGAAACATTTAAGACAAAGAAAGGCAGGTCTTTTTTAAATGTAGAACTTCTCCTTTAGGATAAAATCTCTCTGTATCTCTTGGGATTATAAATTATAATGAATTCTTCAGTTTATCTTCATCTGATCCTTTTTGTTTCTCCATCTAAGATAAAATATTATATTTACCCTCTCTTCTGTTTTCACTGCCCTCTGTCCTCCGAGTCTGTTATTGGGAGAGATACGAGACCGTCAGCCAATCAGAGAGCAGCATTAATAAATAAAGTTGAATAGGAAAGGTGAGGACATTAGGGGAGATTAACGGATTAGCGGGAAATAAATTAAGTGAGCGGGGATGAAGTCACGGAGTCAAACACTCTTTGTTTCATTTAATGACGTCATTTCATTTTTCTGTCTCTGTTAGATTTGTCGAGTCACAGATATGAGGAAGACTTCATCTATCAGATGGAAAAACAGGGAAAATTAGTTTCCAAGTGTTTACATGTTTACATAATCTCCTAAATGCTTGACGGGTTAGTTTTTTAATGATTCTAGAAAACCAGATAAACTTAAAAAATGAGTTTTCTGTTTTTATTTGGCAAAAAGTAGCAGAAACCTCCAGAATTTCAAATGACCAGAGAATCAAAACCTACAGTTCCTCAAGTGTCCACTGGAGGCTGGTTTCAATGTGTACCAACTCCCATTAAAGCCTATCTTAACTCACTCCTGCAGGTTTGGTAAATTTAATGAAATCTTCAAGCTCCTCAGATAGTGTGAATTAAATAAGTATTGAATCAATAAACGCATCAAAAGAAATAAAGATGTAAAACATTCGGATGTACCTAAACAGTCATGATGGACTTGAGTGTCACTTTGGGACTACAGGTGGATCTGATCCTGGACCAGCGGAGAAATGAAGGCCTCCTCCTCTCAGCGCTGTAACAGAGTGTTTGTAAACCTGCTCTCTCTCTCTCTCTCTCTCTCTCTCTGGTATCTGCTGCAGTAAAACTCGGCTCTGATGTGATCCTCCATCTCAGCATCCCTTAGCTTTGTTCGTCTGTTTCCTCTTTTTGGACGGCTTTTGTTGAGTGAACTTGAAAGTGTCTGAAGGTTAATTGGGCTGGGAAGCTGCTGTCAGCCGATTCTTTAACTCCTCCTGGAAATAAGAGTAAGAGCCTCTCAGGTGGGCCGGGGGCCAGAACAGGACTGAACCGGCCAACAGGAACAGACACAGAGCCAGACTTGAACAAAAACACGCTCATACTGAGAGAGGACGCCCATACTGCCCCTCGATCTGCTGCTTAGATGCTTCACTTGCAATGAGCGTGTCCGTTAGTTGAATTAAGATAAAATAAAATAAAATACAGCACCATATTCCTGTCTTAAAAACCTGCTGTAGTTTTTTTCTTTTTGATCGACGTTTCAGGAATAAACACGTACACGGGAGACCAAACTTTGTTAATTTCAGGAGCAGGATGTATAATATACAAGTTTACATCTTGCGGGGCGTGTGGTGCGACCGTTTCACTCGCATTTGTGACTAAAAATAGATGTGTGCAAATAGTAAAATGTATTTAGGGGCACATGTGCGCATAAAAAAATTTGCCTAGGCGACAAATGTTTTTCATGTAAATACCGCAGTGAAGTTAGTTTTAGGTTGGATATTCGACGGACATTCACTCACTTTCCATAACCAGAATAAGCAACAGCAGCGGTTAAATCTACTTGGCATCCTCAATGTCAATGTCCGGTGTGCAATATTTTTTTTTGTAGGATGGTAGGGGAAAGTCCCGCCTCCTTTGCCTCTGATTGGCTAGAAAAGCTGGAAACGTCATCACACGCTCAAGCCAAACGGGGGCTGTCGGCTCTGTACATCGAACAGAACATTACAGAACATTATCGCACTTCTGAATCTCCTAATCCTAACCCAACAGACGATGATGTTTCACAGTCATTAGGAATAACCAATCGGAGCCCAGCACTTCTAGCCAATCAGAGGCGAAGAAGGGCGGGACCTTCCCTTACCATCCTATAAAATACATTTTGCATCTAGTGTTGAATAAGGGACCATCAATAAATTACTGGTTGGTGTTCTGAAAATTAAAGGCTGTTTTCCTTCAATAGCCTCCATGTTATGTGACCAATTGACCAAAATTTGATTTCAAGTAATAGTACTAAGGTCAATTTTCATTGTGTCCCTAAAGTTCTTGGTGTGCTCCTTACCTTTTCAATTTAGGAGCACATAACCAAGCAGAAACGCCCTGCTCTGATTTTTTGTTGCTCTGGTTTTTTTTTAGTCTCTTTCCAAAGTTCCTGGGTCAGATTTGGGGTCAAAAATGGGTAGCCATAACTGACAATTTTTCATGTCAAATCTTTGTAGCATAGCAACAGTGGAGGAGGTGCTAAGTGTTCTGGAATGCATGGTTCCAAGGAAGAGAACTTCTGGCTGTGTTCTGGAATGCTGTGATCTGGAAGGCCTGGTTTCAGAATGTGGAGTTCTGGATCGGTTCTGGAATGCAAAGTTCAAGGGATTCTGGAATGCTGAATGGGTTCTTAAAGGGACGGTACTTCAATTGGAGCTCAATGGATTGAAACTGGATTTTTAACTTTTTGAGCTGTAAATCAGACAAAAATGTTACAAAATGATCATAAAGAAAATATACAGTCTTAAACAAGCCTGATATTCCCTATTTAAGGTTTCTAACAAGAACTGTTCTCTCCTCAAAAAAGTCCTCTTCTTTCCGGACTAATGGTTTGTACTTGGAGAGAACTATTTCAACAAACCTGATACTGTCTCTGAGGGGTGAATGAGGAGCTGTTTTCAGGCGTTTGTTCTTTTTGGACTACTTTTCTTGATGTCCAGTATGGATTCAGTGATTCGTTTATTCAACAAGATTCCAATAATCTTACACTATTGTTAAAAAATAAAATAAACCCAAGACAGAGTCTACTCTACCCAATCAAAAACTCACATATCTGGAGCCTCAACCTTATACTGTTAATGCCAAGGCTCCACCTAGTGTTCAAAAACAGCATTACATTACCATACAGATTTATTTTGAGTATCAAACAGAGATCAATTAACACCCAAATTTCAGCTCTGGTGGTATTTTACCAGGATTTGTCTGGACCAGTTTGCTCTTGTTCCTTATTAGTGGCTCTTTACAACTTCGTCTTTACGCTTGATTTAAGTTGATTAACAACAAAAAGTGAGTACAGTTCCAATAACGTAAAAACATTTTAGAACAGTAACAGTATAAATGATTTATCGCACACTGTTTCCTCTGACTTTCATCCATCTAATAAATGAAATGAATCCTAGATTTAGTGTTGCAGCATCTTACACCAACAGGATCCGTCTGACCTTGAAGCAAACTTTAATGAATGCAGCCTGCAGGCCAAAATGTCCTCAGACTGTCTGGATTCAGTCCTCTTGAGGTGAGTTATTACTGCACAGAGCTGTGAGCTGAAGGCAGCATGGGCTTAAAAGGAAAACATCTAACATTACATTTATCATCTGAGCAGCCTACGCTCTTGTGTTTAAGGACTTATTTATTAATTTGACGTCACGGTAAAAGAAGTGAAGGTATGACAAGTTCATGTTTATTTGCAACACCTGTCAGGGATTTTTCATCAGCCTAAATTGTAAAAACATGACGACTGCAATAGTTCTCCTGTCCTGAAATTAAGACATGAATCAGACGACCCATGAAAGTAATCAATCACTCAAATCAATCAGCAGATCAATAAACAAAAACTCATATAGTGATTGATTCTCAGATGGAAGTTTATATTGTGAAGCATTACAACAACGTTCACACACTGATATGTTCATTAGTTTTTATCATTGGTTTATTACTCTCTCTTTCTGTTTTTTTTACCGTAGTTCTTTATCTTATTTATTTATTTTTTTGTACAGTATGAATGTGTATATTGTGTGTACCGCTGCTGTTAACAACTTAATTTCCCCACTGAGGGATGAATAAAGGAAAATCGAATCTAAAATCTAATCTACTCTAGAATATAAAGATAATAACTTTTTAAACAGACTATGTTTTGTGCATTTAAAAGATGAAACAGATGTTAATATATGAAATTATATAAAATAATGAATGAAAAATATACCATTGCATGTATTTTTTTTTTCTTTGTTGAGTCTGAAAAATAAAGAGGGATAAAAATCAGGATGCACATGCAGACAAGTCTCCACTGGAGGGCGTTAAATTACAGCACCTACTCTTAACATATACACTCTTTTTACTGTGTTCATGTTATGAATGAGATAGATAAGTAAACTGAAACAATTTCTACCTAATTCATTTTTTTTAGCAAAATGAAATATATGATTTAAAAAGCTATATTTGTTTATAAATGCTTTAACAGTTGTTCAGAAAGATGAGCTTGAAAATAAATAAGGAAAATAGTCAACTGAAAAGAAAAATAGCACCTACTCTTAAAATATACTCTCTTTTCTACAGTGTTAAAAACATCAGATATTATAAATGGAAGTAAACTGAAACAAATACTATCTAACTCATAGTTTAGTAAAATAATAGATATGATTTAAAAAACTTTGTGCATAAATGCTTTAACAGTTGCTCAAAAAAGGTCCGCTTGCAAATAAATGAGGAAAATAGCAAATTGATAAAAAAAAATAGAACATAACTTCAACATTCATTATTAAAACGTGTCAAAATCAAAGTTTTGTTGGTAGTACTGCAGATCTCTCCTGTTTTGTTTTCGACAGTCTTCACATTATCACCAAACATTACATAACCACAGGACTCTACTCTCTGATTGGCTGAAGGCGCTGTCAATCAACGGTCAAGCATCCAATGAGAGTGCACGGCAGGCGATACAAACTGGCGGCCGCCATGTTGTGTCTCCTGGGGCCTGGAGCGACGTCCGGTAGTAAACAGTAGATGACGTTACCACCCGCTCGGCTGCTCGCAGGAAACGGACCGCAGCTGGAAGCCATGAGCCGCCCGTCCTCAGCCGGAGCTGGGGGTGGAGGAGGAGGAGGAGGCGGCGGAGGAGGAGGTGGAGGAGGACTCGGGGCCGGGAAGGCGAGCGGAGGGAAGCACGGAGTAACCGGAGGCTCTGCTGCCGCCGCAGCAGCAGCAGCCGCGGCCGCCGCAGCGGCAGCAGCCGCCGGTGTGGGCTCTGTGGCCGGGTCGGGGTCCGCTCCCCCATCTTCCGCCGTGTCCCTGAGCACCACCACCCTGCCCGGGCAGTCCCCGGAGCTCACAGCGCTCTTCGAGTGCCCGGTATGCTTCGACTACGTCCTGCCGCCCATCCTGCAGTGCCAGGCGGGTCACCTGGTCTGCAACCAGTGCCGCCAGAAGCTGAGCTGCTGCCCGACCTGCCGAGGCCCGCTCACCCCGAGCATCCGGAACCTGGCCATGGAGAAGGTGGCCTCCACGCTGCCGTTCCCCTGCAAGGTAAACCCCGCTAACTCGAGCTAGCTGCTCACTTCTTACTACTTTTCACACAAACTTCCTCATCCCGCGAGCTGACAGGTGTGCGCGCGCGAGCCGCTACGTCACAGGGGTACCAAGAGAAACCAAAACAAAGCTCGGGTTTGACCCCCGGGTTGGGTTTCTGCTTCTTCTGTTTGTGTTTTTGAGTTTCTCCTAAAATTATGAAGAAATCACCCCTCTGTAAATCTCACCCCTCTGATGAAGATCAGCTGCAGCTCTTCTTCCTCAGGTTTACCTGAACATCCTGCTGGGATGGAGCTCAAATTAAAACAGACAAGAGCAGCTTTTGAAATATTCAGGTTTTAACTCTGTGAGGAAAGGAGGTTTGATGGTCTGTGTTCTTCTCTCTCTGTTATTTTTGCATTTTATATCCCAGTCTCTTCTTGTTTTGTAGCTTCAGATCAGCTCTCTGTTCTCACCTGTACCTGCATCTGATCACATATATAATCTGTTTAATAATGTAATACACAGCTATATGAGTTGTAGGAGTGTTAGAGAGCTCAGAGAGTCAAACTTCAACTAAGAGTGACAGCGGTTTCCTTAAAAGTGGTCTCAGTATATGTGTGTGTGTATTTGTTCACTCAGTTGCAGCTTTTTTCTGGTAGGGGAGAGTGGGGTCAGATGAGCCATTTTTCATATTTCAGATCACTACAACAAGTCAATCACAGTTTTATCTCTAACTAGTGAATCTGCAGATATTTCAAGATGTTGTTTATCCCTGCAAACCAACAGAATGAGTGTAAACAGAACGGTCTTGATAATACAGCATGCCAAAAACTCTCCCCCCCAGCCCTCCCTCACCTTCTCTCTCCTTCTCTCCTTCCCTCCTTCACTTCTTCACATTCAGGTGTATTTTTATCTTTTTATAAGCTTTTCAACTGGTACAAAAAGCTGTTTTGTAAAAAGCCATTTTCACATGAGAATGTCTTTAAGTGATTCAGAACATTCACAGCTGTATTTTTGAAAAGAAAAAGTCAAACATTTCAACAATCTGAACTGAAACTCAGAAACATAGATAGATTAAAATGATCTTTTTTGGTCTGAACACAATTCTGATAAAACTTATGACAGACTAAGTTCACTTTTAAGAGTGAAAAATGTAAATAAATGTCCAACTCCTTCACCCATTTGCTTCTAACCTTCACAGACTCCATGAATTGATGCCCATCTCCTAAATATTTGGTCAGATGATCAGTTTCTTTTAACATTTCCAAACAACAGGGGGTGGCTCAACCTAGCCCAGTCTCCCCGATATAATCTGTTTAATAATGTAACACACAGCTATTTGAGTTGTAGGAGCGTTAGAGAGCTCAGAGAGTCAAACTTCAGCTATAAATGGTCTCACTATAAATATGAGTCCTTATTCACTCAGTTTCAGCCTTTTTCCGGTATTTTCCATCAGGATGGGGAATTATAGGTAAACAAAAACATCCACACTGTGCATCCTGACGTTGTTTTTCACTTTCATCATTTAGAGTGAAGAGTCTCAGATTTAGGTGAACAAGATCTTATCCCCCAAAACTCTGTCAGTCATGTATTTTTGATTGGAGATCTGTTTTTCTTCTCTCTCTCTAACATGATGAAGGTGGAGGTCGTCTTCATTTGCATTTCAAACCTGCAGATCTCATCTGCATTCATACTCTCAAATCGCCGCCTACCTGCTGCCATATGTTTGTATGTGTTTGTGAGGCGGTAAAACCCTCACTGTGGTTCTCTGAGCCAGCTCTTGTCATCATGTAGACATCCTTCTGTTTTCAGGGTTATTTTCCAGGCTGATCTGCAGGTTTCTGACTGATTTTTAGAGCTCAAGCTGGTCTGGTGGTCTGAAGAGGCCACCTGAGATATTGATTTCTCTTATCTGTGTTTTCTGATTGATATTCAGAGCACAGAATCAGAGGTTGTTAGACCTGCAGACATCAGTTAGCTGACTCTGAGGGACTTGAATCTGTTGTGTTTTTATGTGGAGCCATTGGCTGGTTTTAATGTAGTGTGACGTGTTTTTAATGCGAGGCAATGATCCATGCGATCCAAACGGACTTCCTCTCTGCTACAGGAAGCTGCACTCGCTCATCCCGTCAGCCTTTAGAGTTTTTTTTTTTACTCTGAATGTTCGCAGATCAAACAACAGTCCTGGATAATGTTAATTTATTTATAATACTTTATGATCTAACATGCAGCCATGTACAGTAGACTGTCGTGTGCATGGAATAGTAAGATTTCTTGTTTTCATTCGTTAAACAGTTGGATTTAATCTATTCTGCAAATACAACAAAGTCTAATCAGTTTTAGATATCTGCTGACTTGTCCTCTGATTATCGGTGTTGTTCGATTAATTGATATCGCGATGATCCGCATGTTGACGGCGCCCTCTGCTGTTTAAAACGACCACTGTAATGTTACCAAAGTGTCACTGACGTGAAAAGTTCCTTCTTTGTGTCAGTTTTAATGGAGCTTTTTAGAGATGGGAATAAAACATTGAAGCAAGAAAGAGGAGAGAAGTTTTCTTTTAAAAAAAATGTAAGGGACCATGTATCACTGATTCACTTTCTGTCTTAATCTTGATGATAATACTAAATTTGATGTATTTTTTGAAGTATTTTTACACTGTCATAACATCAAATAAATTGATCAGACTTTTCAGGCTTTAATTACACGTCCTCAAAAACCTCAAGACTTGGACTTTTACTTTATTATGATCCAGAAGACTGTCTCTCACTTTTTAGCTCAGCAGCTATTGGCTCATTAAAGGGATATTCCTGCGTAAAATTAATTTAGGGTCAAACACACCATTACTTTATCATTTCCTTGAAGTAATAATCATCATATTAATCATTTTGCTCTGCAGAAGCGGTAGTTCTTCTACCTTAGCGTCTCGGTCTGATTGTACTTCCATGAAGAAATGATCATAAATGTTCTTCCTTGAGCTGCGGCACCCTGCTGTAGTCCGTAATGGACTGGCCTGAGGTCTCGCTACAAACGAGCGGCTGCTGGAAGAGAGTAGGTGAGTTGTGTTTAGTCTCTTTGCTAAAGAAATCAGGCAAAACTAAAAAGATGTTTGATCGCTAGTGCTATGGCTGGGACCCGATATGTCCTGTTGATGAAGTTAGGTGCTGTTCTGAGCACTATTTGTGGCTATAGAGTGGCGTTTTGGTTGAGCGCATGGCTCTCTGTATTGCTGTCTACGGTCGTTACTAAAGTTGGTATAACTTGAACATTCATCTCTGGAGGGGGTGTCTAACTCGGTGTTACAGTGTGTTTGACCCTAAATTAATTTTACGCCTGAATATCCCTTTAAGATAAGCTGTTCCTTTAATAGTCCCATGGGGGGAATTCCAGTTAGCACTAATGATTGCTGCAGCTTCTCTCTATTCATGTTCATTTGTCCCTCTGCTTTTCAGACACACACACACAGGTACACATCTCCTCTCCCTGCTCTCCTTTCTCCTGTGGCTAATAGTTAGTTCTCCTGTCGAACATGTTTAAAGGTTCATTTTCCTCTTTTTGTGATTATTAATTCTTGACTCCTGTTCTTTCACATTTTTCTGTTGATTGCCGATCACACACGATGAAGTCTTCTTTCTCGGTTTAAAATCTCAGTGAAAGCCTTTCGCGCTCTCTGACACAGCACACAGTTTTTAACACTGTCTGTTTACACTCTTCTCTTTGTGAGTCAGCCCTTTTCTGATGAGAGATGGTGAGCTGAGATTACTCTGGGATGGATTTAAGTGTCTAACCTGACAGAGAGACCACCTTCAGAGACAGAAATGTTGTGTAGTCTGTTAACCGGCATGTTCATAGATAAATAAACGTGTCAATGGACACGAAAATGACAATTTCAGCCACATGACATATTTTCAAATGCTCAGATTTCAGGGAAGAGGACACAATAGCAGAGTTGAAGGGAAAAAGAAAGAAACCACTGTGCTGCACTGGCTGTGTGTGTGTGTGTGTGTGTGTGTGTGTGTGTGTGTGTGTGTGTGTGTGTGTGTGTGTGTGTGTGTGTGTGTGTGTGTGTGTGTGTGTGTGTGTGTATGTGTGTGTGTGTGTGTGCGCGCTTGTGTTCGGGGGGAGTCGACAGATGCTGGGAGGAGGAGGAGGAAGAGAAGGAGGATTGCACTGGGCTGAGCGATACTCTCCTTTTATTCTCTCTCTCAGCTTTCTTTCTCCCCGCCCCCTCTTTGTATATGTGTGTGTGTGTTCATTTTGTGTATGCGTGCGTGTGTGTGTGTTCACATGTGTGTGCTGCAGCGGCGTCTCGTGACGGTCGGTTGGAGGGTGAATGTTTTCCTGCTGCTCCGTCAGAGAGAGGAGGAGAGACATTGACAGGAATCAGAGAGAGAGAGAGAGAGAGAGTGTGTGTGTGTGTGTGTTGCTTGTATTCTTCACCGGTTGGACGGACAAACACCACATAGCTCTGCAGAGAGAGAGAGTGAGAGTGTGTGTGCATCTGTGCTGAGACCTGTGTGTCAGTGTGTGTTTTATTACTCAGAGCGTCGTATTTCCACCACAGAAGAAGAAAACAGTTTTTTGTTGTTTTTTTTTTTCTTCTGCTGCTGCTGCAGCAGGAGAGAGAGAGAGAGAGAGGGAGAGAGTGGGCGAGCGAGGTTCAGCTGCATTACTGCTGCGGCCGTTTACAGTCACCATCAGGAGCTGGTACGTGGGTCAGTGTGAGTGTGTGTGTGTGTGATTGATCATCTATCAGCTGTTGTTTTAATCAGTCGTTAATTACAGTAAGAGTCAGTTTGGTGTTTTTGTGTCTTGATTGACTTGAATGATTGATTATTGAGTATTTGGATCAGATTGAAATGAAGTGTGTGTGTGTGTTTTAGGCTGGTTTATGTGTGTTAGTTGATATTTTCTCTGTTATAGATGAATCTGCCATGTGTGTCAACATTTAGGAGTTAAATTAGTGAAAAAAAAACATCTTTTCCTTGTTTTTTTTAGTCCAAAATCTGAATCTTACAGAGATATATTTTTACAGCTGTCATTTTGGAGAAGAGGGCTGTGTCCACAGACTTACAGATGATCTCAAAATACAACACAAATCTACACACAGCATGGACACAGTGCATTTTAGGTTATCAATATTCTGTAACCAAAGTTGTGTCGTAATAATAGGACAAAAAAGTCAATTTTAAAATAATTTTGTCGTATTTATTGGTTGTAGGATGAACTAATAGTTGAAACCATGTCTTAGACCGAAGTAGGACTGGTGCCTGTTCGAACCCAGTTATTATACTTGAATGTCCACAGTCAGAAAATCCCAGATTTAGTGGCGTCGGTTTGCCTCAAAACTCGCCAAAATCCACAGAAGACCAGACATGAGTCCGGCTACGGTTGGGTACTGTCTCCATTTTATCGATTCTTCAATTCAGTTCCAGCTCTGTTGGAGGGTAACAGAAGGCTGAATATTAAAAAAGAAAAAACACTTTAAAATAAAACACAGTATCAGGTTTACGGGGGTTTAAAAACCCTTAAAAAGACAGTAGAAAGGGGTGTAACCATGAATCTGAAACAGGAAGTTACTTTTACTCCTTTATGCTGTGTTCAATCTACCCCAAATTTTACATGCATGACCCCTGAAAACATTATTTTTATTTTTTTAACCACACTCGCCTTACTGCCTCGTGGAAACATCATAAGAACTGTAACACACAATGGTCAATCAGATTTGATGATGAACCTAGCCTCGTTATGAGTCATACATTTTAACTATCTTAACTATTTAAGTATTGTGTTGCCATAAAAAGTCACATGATGATAAGTTTGTCAAAGTCATATTCACACCTACCTAAGCTAGCGCTGTACTGTTCTATGTGCTTTAAATTCTTGATAACGTAGAAAGATCTAAACATAGATTTGATTTATAGCTTCTCTGCACCGTGTCAATCTGATAAATTGGAAAACAAAATACCTGCCGATCGGCGCTAGCATTAAAAAAAGTGAGAGGTCAAGTTCAAGGACCAAATCAGCCGAAGTGACCACCTGTCAATCATGATTTAACCCCTAAACAAAAGTCCTAAATTAAATATTTACGTGATAGACACCAAAGCTGTCCTAATACCAGGCTGTACCATGTTGATTTGTAAAGTTGGATATTTTAACATTGGGTTCTTTGGGGACTGACTCACTGAAGGAGATGGCCCCCAGTGGACACAAAAGGTACTGCAGTTTTTGGCTTCATTTTTCGACACTGGAAGGTCAGTAAAGGGAAGAAAATTGCAGCATGTAAACTAAAAAGACGTATTGAGTCAAAGAACTTATTAACATTTTAAACTTTGGACAATTCTGGAAATTTCTCCTTCCACGTTAAAATTTTTTGCCGATCCAGGATGGCGGATGTCTTAACCACACCGCCTTAAACTAGAAAAAAGACTTCCCAACATAAAGCACCACAAAATGACACCTATTTCTGTAATAAAGTATATTTCATGTTGTTATAAGTCGAGTTAGTTTCATGTATTCACTGCATTACTGCTCATTACTGGAGGCAGTACAGTAAAACAATGTGGTTGGATACTGCTGCTATTTTTATCTGCATGCACTTTATTCTGAGAGGCTTTATAAAAACACAAACCCGTGGAGTGGAGTGGAGTTTATGTCGTCGCCCTGGAGACAATGTGACTGAACTCCCATGTGGACACTGTGAACCTCTGAGTGATTTCATGTGTTTTTCAGGGACTAAACCTGCAGCCTCGCTCTGTTTGTGCTGCTGTGGAGTTTTAATCTCTCTGATATTTGATCTCCACGTGGCTCTGTCTGAACAGCTGCTGACCGCCTGCTGTCTGTTTCACTCCCCCAGCCTGTCTGAGGATGTACGAAGAGCAGAGAGGGACAAACAGCTGCAATAAAAACAAATTTGACTTAAAAGTCTGAGCCTTAAAGACAAGAAGGATGGTGAGCAGGTTTGGGTTCAAAAGGCTTAACAGCCAGTGATAGAGTAAGACAAGTAGAGCTGTAAATCTGGTTTCAGGGGTGTTTTGATTTAAATAAATCAATGAATAAAACCGGATTTATTAAACATGTTTAATCCAGATTACAGTCAAAGCACCTGGAGTGAGTTTCACAAACCTAAGCACTTATTTTTATGCAGAAAAACCTAAAATAAAGACCATATCAAACTGCAAAGTCATGTAAGCTCCAAATTATTTATGCTTTTTATCACTGCATGCCTCAAATGATATGGTCACAGTTATTTTAAGTTCTGTAGCATTCAAAAGCACGTGGAAGCTTGTGGAACAACATCTACAGACATACATATCAACCTACAGAGAAAGAGAGAGTGTAAGCAGCTGTGCTAAGGAAAAAAAAGGTAAAGTTAGAGAGAAAGAAAGAAGTGTTAAACCAGAAAAAGAGTTATTGTTTCTGAATGTTTTACAGTAGTTTAGTTCTAAAATATGAAATCAACTTTAGGTCTTTTGGTCACATGACATGGAAGGTATTGAAGGAAATGTTCAAAATTTGCCTTTAAATTTAAAACAAAAATTTTAGGAGGACAAATTAGGCAAATAAAGAAGTGTGTCTTATTGTTCAACCTTCGTACTATTATTTGAAATATTGTAGGTCTATTGGTCACATGATATGGAAGCTACTGAAGGAAAACAGCCTTTTCTTGAACATCAACCGGTAATTTTTTGATGGTCCCTAATTTAACACCCGACGTTGACAGCAAGGATGCAGAGTAGATTTAACGGCGCTGCTGTTGTTATTCCTGGTTATGGAGAGTGAGATGACACCAGTAGATGCGCAGTGAATGTCCATCAGATATCCAACCTAAAACTAACTTCACCGCGGTATTTACATGAGAACACATACATGTGTCTCTAAATATATTTTACAATTCACACACATCTATTTTTAGTCGCAAATGCGAGTAAAATGGTCTCACTGTCCAGCCCTGCTGTAGCAGCAAGTTCTCCTGCTTAAACCTGGTAAAGAACATTTATTAGTGGGTACAACCAAATCATGAACATAAAGGAGATATTTAGTTTGTCAGCAGTACTCATAAGACATGAGGCCCAAACAACAAACCACTTCTGAGAGGTTGGATGAATATCTGGCAGGTTAGAAAGTTTGATTCTCTCTCACATTAGAAACAGAGCTACAAGTCTCTTCTCTGAGTCCGAGGCCTTTTTTTTCTGATATGTACATATGTATAAGGCAGATCACCACAACAACACACAGCTGTTACTAATACACGTAGATACACACAGACTTTTTGACCACATGTGCAGTCTTTACTTAAAAGTCTTTCCTAATGATGCATCTCTGCACTCAGAGACCCGTCTCTGCTAAAGTTTGGAAGTAATCAGGCCTGTGTTTGTGTATGTGTGTGTATGTGTGTGTCAGCAGAGAGTGCGTGTGTGTGTGTGTGTGTGTGTTCGATGCTGTGTCCAGCCTCCTGCCTGCCTCTCCTCAGGGAGCTGGCTCAGTGGCGCTGCCTGCTCGGCTGGCATCGCCACCCCGGAGTCGGTGCAAGTAGTGCTGCAGGGCTAACCACTAACACAGGACAACAACAACAACATCAGCAGCAGGGGTCAGAGGTCAAAGGCAGAGCCAGCCGACCTGTTGGCCGAACCAAACCACTGCCGGTCAGCCAGGTGAGTCCAGGTCTGAAACATGCTGCAGCCATGCAGCTGCTGGTCTCCATGGTGGATTTGTCGTTTTAAAAATCATGTGTTTAGGAATCGCAGAAGTATTTTCTCTTTTCAAACTCTCTGAAACGATATATGACGTCTCAGAGTCCATGTTTATCAGGTTTAAAAGCACAGCCTCTCTGTGTGGATGAGGCGTGTTTGACTGACACATTTGGATGGTAACAGCCTGAACTGTGAACAAACCGAATATTTTCTGTGGTGGGTTTTATTCTGCGTGCGGCAAAGTTTTTACAGTGTAACGCAGACTTATCAGAAACAGACAGGAAGTATTAGGTAGGGCTGCAGCTTGTGTTCAAACTTGGGGGGATAAGACATACTATACAAACTGTAAACAAGGTTAAAATCAAAGTATATCAGCGCTTCAGGTCGCCTGCATAGTTCCAGCAGAGGACACTCTTATCGTCACCTGACTATTGAATGCATTCTTGACTGTTGGAGTACTCTGGGTTCTACATCATAAACACCAAAATAATAGACAAATAAAACTGAAACTGCAAAGAGTCTGTGTAACTTACTATCTACAGTGAAACTGAGACCCAGCGCTAACAAACAAGCGGGCTCTCCTCCGCCAGATTGAGGAAACTGAGCCTCTATTTTCTTCTCCTAGGGATCGTCCCTCCACCGCCCAAGTAATATGAGACCTTGAGGGTCCTACTCTCAGAGTCATGTGACCTGACCTCATCTGTTAAATCCTCTGATTAATCTGATTATTGATCCGAACAAACTGAGTCCACTGATTTCCCGCCAAAAGAAAAACTCTAAACCACTCTGAACCTGAGCGTGATGGAGGGAATCTTTTTACCTCTAACCCATTTACCAAGCTGCCTCCCCACACACACACACACACACACACACACACACACACACACACACACACACACACACACACACACACACACACACACACACAGAGTGCTTTTAGCGTGATTGGTATTGATTGCGGCCCTGCAGAGTGTTTTTCTTTCTGTGCTGGTCTGATGGATCTGGTGCGAGCTGGTTCAGTTGACGTTTGGTTGAGGTTAAAGGTGTGATCTGTGATCTGCAGCTGTTTAAGGAATGAGTTTACTTTTGAGTTGTTGTCATAAAGCAACTGTTTGAGCTTTATTAAGCTGAACTTCAGAGCGACGCGTCGTCTCGGGTTGTTTTTTCTCAGGTGTCTTTCTATCAAAGGAAGTCGTTTTCGAACTGTCTCCAGAGAGACATTTATTTTTACTCCATAAAATGTCCCGCTCAGTATGTATCTGGGTCAGTGTGCTTTATAAATAGTTACTGTATATGTTCATCTGAGCAGTGTTGCTCAGTTGATACAAACAGCTGCAGGACATCTTTGTTTAAGCTCTTCTTAAACACAGACATTTTAGATGTTGGCTCTTTAAATCATAATACTTGATGTCGTGCAGACGAAAACACAAGGGCTCGCTGAAAAAGATCCTTATTTGGATAATAAAAGCTTTAAATTCAGGGATGAGGGGATTTGACCATAAAGTCCAGATATCAGTACCTGGGCTTTGGTATCAGCTGATACCAATACTGATCTGTTCCAATACCAAAAACCTGAATTCCTCATTTCTGAACCCTGTCTTTTTCAGCTGAAGTAAATAAACTTTCACTGTTTCATGATTTAATGAAAGTGAACCTGCAGGAGGAGAGAGGAGAACAGGGAGAGGAGCAGGAGGAGGGAGGTGTATTTGTGTCTGAAAAGCCAAGGGACAGAATAAGTACAGTGAAAGAGAGGCTGTAGTGATTACAAGCCGATATCTGCCACTGAAAAATATCTGAAATTCATATGTATTAGGGCCCGACCGATGGCCAATTTTAGGCCAAAAACTCGCTGATTTTTGCCAATATTTCCAGAAATAAAATGCAGAGAAAAAGATTCGGTTTCACTTCGAAAATGTTCCGCTATTTGAAAAGTTCCCCGACTGAATGATTTGTTGGACCAACAACTTGTGATTAATTATAAAAGATAAAAAAATATCCTACTCCAGGTGGAATCTGACTTTTAATACAGTGAGTATTATCACCAGAATTAACTCAAAACTCTCTAGGTTTACAACTGATGCACTGTCCATTTTAGCACTATAACATCTGGTTTTTGTTTCTCATTATTATCCAGTTGGACTGACACGCAGAGTCTTTGTGTTTAGGAGGTAAAACCCACAAAAAACAGACCTCAGTTTGGTGTGTGGAGGCCTGCTGCTCTTTCCAGGAAGCTGCTGCTGCGCTCTGACCTGCAGATGATGAATATTTAATAAGAGCTGCTGCTGTGTCACCTTCCTCTGTTTCATCCTGTGACTCCTACCATATTCTCGAGTTATAACTGGTTTTATTTTCTGGGTTTAATTAAGTTGGTGTTGAAACTTAAATGGTTTCTGTGAGTGAATCAGGCCGGTGAGGTTTGGCAGCTCTCTTCAGATGTTGTGTTTTCTCTGCTGTGTGCTGTGGTCGTGTTGCTGCAGATTGTGGGTCAGCGTCTCTGCTGCTGCTGCTGCTGCTGCTGTAAATAAGAAATGTGTCACCGAGTCTGTGCAAACAAAACCGGAGGAGGAGGTTAGGATTTATCCTCGGCCATCTTTTCTCCTCCCCTTCTTCCTCCTCCTGCTGCTTCTCTGTCTGCTGCTGTTTCCTCCTGAACATGTGGAGGCGTTCGTCACTCCAACAGATCTCTGCTGCTCCTCCAGGACATAATCCTGTCGTCACGCTGTCACAGATAAATTTGTCAGTGTCACTCCAACCATAAATCCTTTTTCCAACAAAAGAGTTCAGAGTTTCCAGAATCAGGCGAGTGTCACGTTTGTTCAGGCAGAAACTATAAATATGGAGATTGTTCATTTCTGTGCTGGTTATGCAGGAAGATCTTAGGAAGGATTGTATGGTGAGGATTATTAACACTAGAATACTCTTGTTTGGGCAGGTACAGTTTTAGGAGATGGATATTCAGGCAGTCAGTACGCATCTGGATATCCTTAATAGTGTTGTCAGGATTATACACGCGTGGACAAAATTGTTGGTACCCCTCAGTTAAAGAAGGAAAAACCCACAATTCTCACTGAAATCACTTGAAACCTACAAAAGTAACAATAAATAGAAATTTATTGAAAATTAAATAATCAAAATCAGCCATTACGTTTGAAATGTTGATTAACATAATTATTAAAAAAAAAAAAACTAATGAAATAGGGCTGGACAAAAATGATGGTACCTCTATAAAAGATTGAAAACTATTTGACCAGAGTGACATGATTAACTCAGGTGTGTCCTTTAATTGACATCACAGGTGTTTCCAAACTCATAATCAGTCAGTCTGCCTATTTAAAGGGAGACAAGTAGTCACTCTGCTGTTTGGTGAAAAGGTGTGTACCACACTGAACATGGACAACAGAAAGCGAAGGAGAGAATTGTCCCAGGACATCCGAAAAAAATTATAGACAAACATCTTAAAGGTGCAGGCTATAAGACCATCTCTAAACAGCTTGAAGTTCCTGTGACAACAGTGGCTCATATTATTCAGAAGTTCAAGACCCACGGGACAGTAGCCAACCTCCCTGGACGTGGCCGCAAGAGGAAAATTGATGACAGATTGAAGAGACAGATCGTTCGAATTGTATCCAAAGAGCCCAGGACAACCTCCAAAGAAATTAAAGGTGAACTCCAAGGCCAAGGTACATCAGTGTCAGATCGCACCATTCGTCGTTGTTTGAGCCAAAGTGGACTTCATGGGAGACGAACAAGGAGGACACCACTGCTGAAAAATCATAAAAAAGCGAGACTGGAATTTGCAAAAATGCATGTTGACAAGCCACAAAGCTTCTGGGAGAATGTCCTTTGGACAGATGAGACCAAACTGGAGCTTTTTGGTAAGGCACATCAACTCTATGTTCATAGACTCAAAAACCAAGCATACGAAGAAAAGAACACTGTCCCTACGGTGAAACATGGAGGAGGCTCAGCAATGTTTTGGGGCTGCTTTGCTGCATCTGGCACAGGGTGTCTTGAATGTGTGGAAGGTAAAATGAAATCTGACGACTATCAAGGCATTCTGGAGAGAAATGTGCTGCCTAGTGTCAGAAAGATTGGTCTCAGTCGCAGGTCATGGGTCTTCCAACAGGACAACGATCCAAAACACACAGCCAAAAACACCCAAGAATGGCTGAGAGAAAAGCGTTGGACTATTCTAAAGTGGCCTTCCATGAGCCCAGATCTGAATCCCATTGAACATCTGTGGAAGGAGCTGAAACATGCCATTTGGAGAAGACACCCATCAAACCTGAGACAACTGGAGCAGTTTGCTCATGAGGAGTGGGCCAAAATACCTGTTGACAGCTGCAGAACGCTCATTGACAAATACAGAAATCGTTTAATTGCAGTGATTGCCTCAAAAGGTTGTGCAACAAAATATTAAGTTATGGGTACCATCATTTTTGTCCAGCCCTATTTCATTAGTTTGTTTTTTTAAATAATTATGTTAATCAACAATTCAAAAGTAATGGCTGATTTTGATTATTTAATTTTCAATAAATTTTTATTTATTGTTACTTTTGTAGGTTTCAAGTGATTTCAGTGAGAATTGTGGGTTTTTCCTTCTTTAACTGAGGGGTACCAACAATTTTGTCCACGTGTGTAAATACCTGGATCTCCTTTATGATGCAGTTCAGTTTATTAAAGGGATATTCTGGCGTAAAATTAATTTAGGGTCAAACACACCATAACACCGAGTTAGACACCTCCTCATAAATGTTCTTCCTTGAGCTGCGTCACCCCACAGCAGTCCGTAATGGACTGGCCTGAGGTCTCGCAACAAACAAGCGGCTGCTGGAAGAGAGTAGGTGAGTTGTGTTTAGTCTTTTTGCTAAAGAAATTAGTCAAAGTTAAAAAGATGGTTGGTGGCTAGCATTCTTGACACAGTCTCAGAGTTAAGATGTCAGTACCCTGAACCGTTTTTTGATCCTCTCGGTTGTATTCTTTAACAATCTGTTCCTGTCAGTGCAGAGCTGTGATGTCATGCCAACCAACTGACCAATCAGCGGGCTTCTTCTTGTCATGCTGCAATCGAAGTGAAACTGATTGAAATTTCTGCTCGTCCTCATTTCTTTTTCTCTCTGATGTTCAAACAGCATTTCTAACGAGTCTCTCCATCGCTCCTCGCTGTTTTCACACCTCATTTACTCCCCCCCTCTCTCCTGCTGTAAATGCTGCAGGGTCCTCGTCTGTCTGAAGGTGCTGTGTTGTTCAGAATAAAAGAGAAGGGGAGGAGGGGGAGGAGGAAGAGGGGAAACACTGTGACCTTCAGCAAGAATATTTCAGGAGAAGCGTCAGCGGCTTCACTTCTGATCCTGATTGAGCAGAATGTTAAAAAATGGCGTCATCTGGATCAAAAAGATCAGGAGGACATGAAAATAGAGATCATTGAGGAGGAGAAATTATACAGAGGAGAAAAAATGAAGCACTGCAGGTACTGAGCCAACTGAATCTCTCAGTGAGGATATTAGAGTTCATTTAAAAGAGTCTTCTTCATGGTGCCGTACAAGACAAAAAATCAGAGCAAGAAAAATGTTTGAAAATGTTTAATTTTGTTTGTCATGGTGGGAAATATTCAAGCAAAGTAATCATAGAAAAGGGATTTAGATTTAAAGTCATACTTGATACTGACTTGTATAAAGAATAATAATGAAAAAGAAATAATAGGTGTGGTAGTCAGGATCTGAGTTAGTTCCAGTTTTTAGGAGAAATCTTGAATGTAAACTCTACCCCTCCCAACCAGTTTTCCCCTCAGCTTCTCCTCTCCCCTCCCTCTCTGCTCCATCAAGCCCCGCCTACAAACAGATGCTCCTGCTCGCTCGTATCGTTCCAATTAAAATTCAGATATAATGCAGATAAATACTTAATGATAATTACAAATGGGGCCCAGTCAAGGTGAAAGTAAAAAGCATTGGTGCTACTGTAGATGCCAACAGACAACCAGCAAACACAATGTTTGCAGGACTTCTACAACTAGGATAAAGTGACATAGTCCAGGACCCGAGGTCAACAGTTTAGCGGCGCTACAACACGCTACAGCAGGTTGCACGCCAAGCGTCCCCCATCGTTTATGTTGACCCGGCTTTTTAGCTTTTGTTCGAGTTTCCGGTATTTACTTTGTTTTCTTGCTTGTGTTGGCAGTCGTGGCCAAAGGAGGATTCAGACAATTTTCCGAACTTTCTGGTTGGTTTCTACTGTCCGATATTGTAGCACGCTAACTTTGTTTGGGCTCGTGAACGACACGGGGGAGCAGCTTCTGCCTCACAACCAATCAGGATAGGGGAGGCGAAGAACGGCTTTGTTTACAAAAAGAGCGGAGTACTCTGAAATTTTAAAATGTTGACTACATAGACATACCGAAACCTAGCGATATTAGTTATTGATGACATTTGGTAATATAACGATAACTATTGACTGATATTAAAAGCTTTTTTGTGTAAACACCACAAAAAAAGATGCTTCTTCAACTAGAATCCTGCCTACCTCACCTTTTACCCTTATCCCTTCTCTCTTTGTCTCCTCCTTTAGTACTCGTCGGCCGGCTGCCTGCTGACTCTCCATCATAGCGAGAAACCCGATCATGAGGAGGTGTGTGAGTTCAGGCCTTATACCTGTCCGTGTCCAGGAGCCACCTGTAAGTGGCACGGCTCCCTGGAGGCCGTCATGCCTCACCTGATGCACGCCCACAAGTCCATCACCACGCTGCAGGTCAGAAAACACACTGAAGTCACAGTTACCATGAGGTGGATTATTTTTCTGTTTTTCGTGATTTCATCATTCTAATCAGCTCCAACAGGATTTCTATCTCAAAAGTGCACGACTCTTATTTCTGCTTTGTTTTGAATTCTGATATTTGATCCTTTGACCATGTGTGTTTTGTCTGCAGATTGGTTGTCAGCGGTTACCATGGATGTTGTAGTTAATATTGAGTTTATAGATAAGTCAATGAGGAGACTAAAAGTTAAATGACTGAAATGTATGAAATGAATCTGCCAAACTCTGCATTCAGGGGGAGGACATCGTGTTCCTGGCAACGGACATCAACCTCCCGGGCGCGGTGGACTGGGTGATGATGCAGTCGTGTTTCAGTCACCACTTCATGCTGGTTCTGGAGAAGCAGGAGAAATATGAAGGCCATCAGCAGTTCTTCGCCGTCGTGCTGCTCATCGGAACCAGAAAGCAGGCCGAGAACTTCGCCTACCGCCTCGAACTGAACGGAAACAGGCGGCGGCTCACCTGGGAGGCCACGCCGCGCTCCATACATGATGGCGTGGCGGCTGCCATCATGAACAGCGACTGCCTGGTGTTTGATACGTCCATCGCACACCTGTTTGCTGACAATGGCAACCTGGGCATCAATGTCACCATCTCCATGTGCTGACAGAGAGGGACGGCGTTTAAGGTGGACGGTTATCAACTCAGAGACACAGTTGATGGATGGATGGATGGATGGATGGATGGATGGATGGGTCGGTTCAGGAGCCACAGAGGTGTGAGATTCACCTCTTATCTCGTTCTACCTGTACTAGTGTACGCTGTGATTCATCTGGAGTCGTTTGTGAGGCTCAAAGAAAACGACCCAGAAACAGAGATCAGCCTGTTTGATGCCTGATTGTTGTTTTGACCAATAACAGGACAGAACAGTTTGTCCCTCTGAAGGAAACACAGAGGAAATCTCCATCAGCGAAAAGTGTTGCACTCGCTGCTTCGGTTGTCACCCGTCGTTCTGGACTCCGACTGAGCTGGCCCAGTTTTACCAGCTTTATCCAGACTGTCCGGCTGTAGTACTCGGGTTTAGTCAGGGTCAAGTTTCCGGTTTTCAGGTTTCCATAGCGACCTTTGTGAACTCCTGTTTTATGGTCCCTTATCTAAAAAAGCAGAGTTTGTATGAATATTATCAGAATACTTCCTGCCTCCATATTGTCCAGTTTTCTAAACTCCTGATGTTTTCTTTGGGTTGGAAGCTTCATTGCTGTATTAATTTTGTCCCTGTGTTCCGGGTTAGACAAGGTCAAACAAATATGAGATGATTCCTTAACTACTGATGTAACACCTGATCAATTTAGAGTTAATGAACATGGTGAGTAGCTTTTTTATATGGAGCTCAGTCCCATCATAACTTGATCATATCAGGAGATGGTGTTTACCTGCATGCAGAGAAACCTGGTTATTTATATACCTATAAACGTTATATATACTGTGCTTGTTCCCTGGTTACTGATTCCTGTTTCTGATTTGTGAAGGTGCAATCCAGAAACTTCAGAAAAGTGAGACCACTGTGGCTTTTTGGGGTCTAGTGTTCATTGCCAGAAATGGAGGTTCCACCTTGGCTGGGGTAAGCAGACCAAATTAGCTCTGTGACCGGGTCCGGAAATCGTTTTTTTTGGGGGCAATGGCAATGGTCACCAAGATAATTCTCTCTGGACGAGCCAAACAACCAATCAGATGAATGCATTAATGTGGTGTGACCAGGTCCGGAATCGGTTTTCCGGGGGCAATGGCAACGGTCGCTAAGATTATTCTCTCCGGAAGAGCCAAACAACCAATCAGATGAATGCATTAATGTGATGTGGCGCAACAGAAATGTAAACAGACAAAGTAACGGGCCCTACCAATGAAGGCTGTATGTGTACGGTTTTGTTTTGATGAAAATACATCGTTGAGTTTCAAATGGTTACAGTCGCGGGTTCAACAGACCTTTAAGAGGTGGGAGTTGCCATTTTGGTTGTCTACAACTTTACAGCTCCATCTCTTGTCGTGTTCCTGGATCAATCAAAAGTGAGGTTGAACAATTTCAATATATTGGCCATCATCGGACTTTGCGGCATTCCCTAAAAAAAAGTTATCGACTTCATTATCATAATGTCCATATTTTACACAGTCTACACCTTCAATACAACATTATTACGACATTCCCAGTAAGTGTGACCTTAACGGGAAACGGTTCAAGTAAGACAACTGTTCTTGTTCCGTGTCTGTTACAATCCTTGAATGTAGTCTTCAGGGATTTGACAGTTTCCGTCAGGTTTTCCATTCTTTTGAATTTCTCTCCAACATCGTCGTTTAGCCTCAAAGTTCTGAACTCGTATGAGAGGGTGCAGACGCTAGCAGCAAACCTGAACACCAACACACTTGGACACTTTTGGTGTTCTAAACCTGCAAACACTGTGTTGTGTGAGAGGTTGCTGGTTCGAATGCCTGCAGCATCAGTCTGTAGGATTCTGGTCAGAAGACTTTCTGGCAACTTTGACATTTTGGACGTCGTCGGTGTTTGACCTTGGTTGGAGCAGCTGTGCTGTGGAACCCGGTTAATCCTCAGACCTTCTTTAATCTCAGATAAAAGCAGTGAAATGGAGGACTAATCCTCCACTCCCTCTTCCTGCAGTCTCTTTAGCCGCCAGCGCCTTACTTTTCTACCGCCAACCTCTCTTCTTCCTGTTTGAGCTCTTTGTGAAGGAGTCTTGGTGCTGATGTGGTTTTAATCACTGAAAACTGCCCAGGGATAAAACGACAAAGACTCTCCTGCAAAACTCAAAGGACTTGGTGTTTGAAGAAACTGTTGGCTTGTTTGAAGCCACAGAAATACCGTGGACAGACTCCAGACTCAGTGTGGGTAAAGGACAGACCTCCTGACATTCCTCCTCTCTAAACCTTCGTAGCAACTGACCAGGAAGAACCCAACCTCACCTGACACCTCTGACCTCAGACACTGCTAACCCTCAGACCTCAGTGGTGTTTCCTCTGTGTTTGTTCAGTGAGAAAAAAAACATGATGGTGGGGAGAGACACTAAATCCGTACATGGTGATTAACCAAAAGACAAACCGAAAATTAAGTGAATGATGGGACTCGGCTGTAATTACTCTGCCTAAAGTCAAATTAAAGCTTAAAAGCTCAGACACAACTACTACAATTAAAAATGTAAGCTGTGCTAATGTAAGCAAGTAAACAGATGACCTCTGAAGTAGAGCAGGCTAACAGACATACAGGTTTCTAGTTCACTGTTATTCAGCAGCTCGGGTATGAATCGCCTAGAAGATATGAAAGCTTATTGGTGAAAGTTTTGAAATGCCATTCATTTTTGGCGCAGACATTAATTGATACACAAACTAACTTTTGTTCTGGCCAAGAGATATGACTGAAGTTTTTAGCTTCTCGTCAATGTATCTTTGAATATTTCGCAAGCAAGGCGATTGCTCTTTTATCCCAGCTTGACCAAGCTCTTCATGAGTAGCTAATTAGTCAGTTAGCGGATAATGAAAGAGCTGCTTATATAACTTTTTTCATACTTACAAAGACAAAGTCAAAAGTGTTGAAGGCCAATAATAGACAAAGTCAAAGTTCTGTATCATGCAGCGTTCGAGTTACCTAGGAAGTCAGAAGCCTGAGCTGAAAATGATGTCACACTAAAGTTACCAGCGTTTCAGTTAATAATTGGAGGCGGAAACAAGATGACCACATCTATGAAAGTTATCTTAGCGCATGACTTGTCCAAATATAAGGCAATCGCTAAAATAACTTTCGTAGATGTTGCCATCTTGTTTCCGCCTCCGATTTCGCTTTTTTCTGAAATGGTAACTGATGCGCTGGTAACTCGGGTGTGACGTCATTTTCAGCTGACTTCGACATCTGACTTCCTAAGGTAACTCGAACGCAGCATTAGTACTGGATTCCTGAACATCGAGATGAAGGATTCTGGATTCCGGAACGCTAAGATAAAGGATTCTGGGTTCTAAAATTTCTGGATTCCGGAATGCCAAGATGAATGATTCTGGATTCCGGAATGCTGAGATAAAGGATTCTGGGTTCTGAAAACTTGGTTGTTTGAATGCTGGGAGAAGTGGTTCTTAAAGGGACAGTAGCTGAAATGAAGTTTTTCTGAGTGGTTGAAAAGATGATTTTCTACCGTGATGCTAAATGGGATAAGAAAACAACTTTTTGGGTCTACAAGGCTTCTAAAGTAAATTCCCACATGTTCTCAGATACTTTTTAATTACAATTATAAATAAATACACAACATTTAATTTAATTTAACTACAAATATCTTAATGTGTAACAAGCTAATTGTCTGTAATGGTTAAAGATGACACCTGTAATATTTTGGGGCAGGATGACAAACACAGAGGGAACGCTACTCACACATAATCACCTTCACTTTACAACCCACTGACTTTCTATGAAATGTTTGAAGATATTGTAAAATAATGATATTGAAAGTATATATATTTTCTATAAACAGAGACTGTTGCATTTATTCCTGTGCTGTTTTTGAAATGATGTATATGTGTTAGAGTTTGCTCGGCTGTACAGATATTTTCGAGGTAATTTTCTAAAGTGTTTCTGATATCGTTGTTAACTCTCCTGTTTTGCTGCTGTAATTTGCTGAAGTGTCACACCTCAAAATATGTTCTGGGATTAAATAAAGAGAAGGAAGAGAAATGAGGACTGTCAACACAAACCGATGTCTGTGTCTGTCATATTTTATGAAGAAGAAACCCACGGACAACTACGCTTTTTCAGTTGACAATCGTAGGGTTAAACCTGGAATCATAGTTTTTAAAGGCCACTTAATTACTGAACTTTTTAAGATCACTTTCACAACAAAAGGTGTTTTTCTTTGTTTTATTACAAAACTTCAAAAAATAATGACAGATATTTGACTGTTCTGGAAAAGAAATGGAACATCCAAAATAACTGTTCACTTTGAGAACTAAAGTTCACATTTGGACGGTTTGGAGGAAAAAAAAAACAACTTAATGGGGAAAAAAAAAACAGCTTCTTTGTACAAATATTACAATTGAGTATTCGACTCAGCATAAAGAAAGAAAAAGCAACCTTGTTCTCCTCTCTGAAGCCCTAATCCTCTTTTTTCTTTAAAGATCACTTTAAAGAAAATAAAACCGTATTTTTTAACCAGACTTGTTTTATTCCAATTCACTAGATTTACTCTATAACCCTTCAGAATTCTGCAGATTAAATACACAGTGAAACCTCATGAGGGAACCAGCGAGGCTTTAGATTATCAGTAAAGCAGTAAAAAACAAAAATGTGATGAAATGATATGTTTTTTTTTTAATGACGTGTTTTTATAAAATATAACTAACAGTAAGAGTAAAAGTTTACAGCTGACAGACTCAGTGTCGGTGTGACCGCTCTCTGTCTCTGTCTGTCTCTCTTCTTCGGTCATCTTCTCTGTCTCTTCTTCTATCAGTGTCTCTGTCATTCTCTCTTCTTCTATCAGTATCTCTCTCTCTGTCGCTTTCTCGTCTTCTATCACTCTCTCTTTCTGTCTCTCTCCTTCTTTCACTCTCTCTGTCCCGGTCTGTCTCCCTCTTTCTTTCACTCTCTCTCTCTGTCTCTCTCCTTCTCTCACCCTCTCTCTCTGTCTCCCTCCTTCTATCACTCTCTCTTTCCCTCTCTGTCTCTCTTCTTCTATCCCTGTCTCTCTCTCTGTCCATCTCTCTCTTTCTCTCGTACTCTCTCTCCCCCTCTCTCTCTCTGCTCCTGTCTCTATTCCTCCTCCTGTCTTCCTCCGTCTCTCTCTTCACCTCTCTCCTCCTCTCTTCCTCCCTCGCTGCTCTCTGTCCATTCTGTTGTCCTCCTGGTGGCGCCCCCCTCTGGTTGTACTTGTCGTAGGCGGCATCCTGCTTCTCTTCTTTGACTCTGACAGCTAAAGGAGGAGGAGGAGTAGAGGGGGAGGAAGAGGAGGAGTGCAGCACCCGGCTCTCCCTCTCCTTCTCTTTTTCTGCCTTCTTCTTCTCCTTCTTTTCTTTCTTCCTTTTCTTCTTCTCTTTCTTGTCTGCAGCAGAAAACAGTGAAGAGTAAATATTTCTCTGATGACACAATCACACTGCCCCACAGTGGGGAAACACAGTTACTACAAGAGGCAACAACAACAAACTGAAAAACTGCAGTTCCTCCAGTGTCCACTAGAGCTCACCTTTCTTTGGTTTCTTCACAGGTATGGCGTACTGCTCATCTTCCTCAGAGGAGGAGGGGGGTGGGTGGATTTTAGGGGCACAGCCCTGCTCTCTCAGCTGTTTGGTGACATCGTCGATGTCCTCTGAGTCTTTGGGAGGACGGTAGTCTTTGACGTGGTCCACACGGATGGTCCGTCCTTTAATCTAAACAAACCCAGAGTAAACCAAGACTGAGCAACAAGGAAACATTCGAGACAATAGAAGCAAAAGAGCTCTGAAGAACACAATTTTATTATTATAATTAAGAATAAAAATCAAGTGTTACGAACCATTTAGACCCCGAAGAGGAGAACTTTTGTGCACTCTTTAAAGATTAAAATCTTTAAATGAACTGTTGGGGTTCGTTTTGGGATTTTAATGTTCAGTCTTAAGGATTGTCTGGGTCCCATGTCTGGAAACATGGTGAAATAGATGACGCCAGATGAGCCTGGTGGATCAAAAGTCAGGGCTCATGTCTAAAGGAGGTTACATCTTTATTATTAAGGTACCCTTGACTTTGGAACGACCTCCCTCAGAGAAAAAGGGCTTATGAGAGTCCACTTTTAGGACATATGGACTTTTGAATGACCTCCATGAAGAGATAAGGACTTTGGAATGACTACAAATGTCCTGTTTTACTTTTCTTTATTGCTTTTATTGAGTTGCTTAATTATTTTGTTTGGTTCCTCGATTTGCTGTCCTTGCTTTGTCTGTCAAAGTACTTGGAGGACCACATCATACCTCTATACAAATACCCAGCAGTTCACCTGGGTCGGTTAGGATACCAGCTTCCCTGTGCACCGAGCAGCTCTTCAAACCTGTCTTAAAACTCTGCTAATTGTCAGTATCAGCTGTGTCACCTTGATTCCGTTGAAGTTGTCCACGGCGAGGATGGTGCTCCGCTGGTCCTCGTAGCAGAGGAAGCAGAAACCTTTAGACTTCCCTGTCTTTTTGTCTCGGACCAGGTTGATGTTCACTATTTCTCCATACCTGCAGATAGAGAAAGAAAGTATATGTTGTTCTCTGATCATGGATATTTAAAAAAAAGGGAGGATAAATGTGCTGCAGAATCGAAGCTGTATGTTGAAGGGAGCAGATACGTACTGAGAGAAGACACAGATGATGTCACCCTCGGTCAGCTCGTATGGAAACCCTCCTGCAGGGTAAAAATAACCATGATTTAATTTATTCCCTTTCATTCACGACAGTAAATCTTCATCAGGTCTGAAAAGTCTGAATTTACCAATAAAAAGCCAGGCGCTGTCTTTGTATTCAGTGTGCCAGGAGACAGACTCGTTCACCCCGAGGTCGGCCTCTCGCTCATTCAGCTCGTTGATCAACTTCACCTTCGTCAGTGGACTGAAAACAGACAACAACAAAAAATTTGTGTGTTATAGAGAGAGGATTTATCACATTTATCAGACACCGCGAGACATGTATAGGGCAAGAAAGTCTACATACACTCCATGTGATCAGATTTTCCTTTGAGCCCTAATTTGCCTGAACTGAGAAACATTTATCACCAATATAGACCAGCTGAAGACACCCAGGATGACTAGCTTTGTCACTGCCGAACTCAAAATACATTATTGAATATTTAGAATTTAAACTTTTATACAGGTGAAAACGGCTTTGTTATTTTTTTTGTCGAGGAAACGTTAAATGGTACGATTTTTAAACGGGGTTCGGATAGATGGGGAAAACTGGACCGGTCTCTTTACAGTCTTAGATAACCGTTAGCACCGACTTACATGTAAGTATCATATATTATTGCCTCTGTTGCATAGTTTGAGGCTAAACCACGGACAGAGAGAATCACATATTTAAAATTTAAAACGGTTACTTACTTCATGGTGAAGCCAACTGTATGGAAACAGATCTAGGGATGTTATGGTGGAAATAGTCGCGCTTGGTCGCATGAACTACTTCCGCTCTGATTCCCGCTCCTGCTGCCACCTTCAGTTTGGGCGGGAAGACTACAGGTGAGTAAACTCGTTGAACAAAATAGAGGGGAATTTACTTTTAGGATTAAAATGCAGCTATGTTAACCGTTTGTTAGATTATATGGGGGAAAATTAGTAAACTGGAATCGTCTAGTAAACATTATTTAGCTGTTACCGCCCCTTCAACAGGTGGCGCTGTGTTTCTGTCGAACGCCGGCTAACCCGGATGATAAACAGATAGCTTGTCAGATGAGCGAAAGTAGAAAATCGTATGCATTTTAAAAAGCATTTCTGTTGATTATTTTAAAATATCAAATGATGATTATATCCACAAAGTTGAGCGAACGTTCACCAGTTTATCATGGCTGTTTTAGATGCTTTTAATGTCCTGTGAATGCTGACTTTTACGCCCTCACCATGGTTACTCAGCATTAACGATCAGCTATAGTGACACGACCTCCATTTATGGATGTTATTTAAAGTTTAAATGACTTAATATAGTTTAATTATCACTTCTGCTTCACGTAAAATCTACTAAAGGTAAGTACATCTTGAATGTCCTCACGAACGAGCTAAACCTGGCAATGACGAGTTGTAGATGAACCTCATACTATTTTCTACTAATTGTGAAATTCTACAATCAGTTTTATACTTTATACGCAATATAATACGTATTTCTATGCAGATTAGACGTTTGTTTTAACTTGTAATGAATTCGGCAATGTAATGTAACGGTTTTATGCGGCATAGTTTTGCATTTTGATGTCAAGAAGTGCTGATATGCCGTTCACCTCTAATCCCTCTGACGGGCTGTTTAACAGTGAACTACCTCGTGTTTTACCAAAGAAAATGGTCGGTTTTTAGTTTGAATCCTTGACAGTATACCACAGAAGGTAAATGATGGACAAAGTTTTCTCTTTGACATTAGGTAGTCATGAAACATACTGTCTATTCTCCAAGCGAAAGTCATCTTACTGGAAGAGCTTAAATTAGCAATAATTTACATGGAGTTTGGTGGGGGAATTTCTCTCCGCACGTTTTAACCAAGCACAGAAACTGGCTGTTGTAACAGAGAGAAGGCATTTACATTGAATCTGAGTGATAAAATAAGTCAATTAACCAAATGAAATGTTAGTGAATAGGATATTTTAAGTTATCATTCCCAGTTGCACCGTTAGGTGGAGCTGATGTGTGGCGGATGCTTCATTTAAATCACTTTACCATATATTTCATGTTACACACCTCTTCTTGTGGTTCTTTGTTTCAGCAGGATGATCTCTCAGGTCTTCATCTTGTCCTCTAAAGGTGATCACCTCATCTATAAAGACTGTATCCTTCATTTCTTCTCAATTACAACAATATGCACTTGTTTCCTCCCCAAATACACCCAAATCTAACCTTTAATACACTCCAATGTACACGTTTTTTTTCTTTTAAATTAAGGAAATATACCGCCTTGTTAGACTTTATACCCCTTATTGTATTGTGCAAATTACATAGTGCCATATTAAACCAAACATAAATTTGTACAGAGCTTGTCTTGAATAATATCTGTGTTTTAAGTCCTTAATCCAACCGTCAGTTCGAGGAGAAGCGGGAAGTGATGCTGTCAATATTTTCTACCAGAAGGTCACAGCCCTGACTGGAGACCAGCCTCCCGTTGTCATGGTAACCCCGTGTTTATGTGTGTGTTTGTGTTCATGATGTTTTGCGGCCTTTAGCTGAATGAATTTTTCACATTCATCAGAAACATTAGGAGTGTCATGTGATGTTACGTCCCCTAATAAGGACCTTAAATTTGTCACAAGTCCTGTTGATCCTTTGTTTACAGAGCCACAAAGATCTGCACTTTGTCCACATCAGACAAGGAGGGCTATACTGGGTCGCCACGACAACAGCAGACTCCTCCCCCTTTACCATCATTGAATTCCTCAACAGGTAAACATCAACACATTTCTTTTAATAAAGTCAAATTTAACATGATAAGGACATGTCACATGTGAATCAGATAATGTTTAGAGTCTTGATAGAAATGCTCCATCGCTCACTCCTCCCATGATAGTGGCCTTTGAGGACAAGAAGTGTGTAATCACCTTAATATAAAAATCACTTTGTTATTTGAGTTCTGCCATCTTGCACTGCCATGTTTCTATGGTAGCACAGAATGGACAAATTAGTAACATACCTACGCTTTTTTGTAGCTACATTAAATGTGCCGGTTAGAAGAAGAAGAGACTGAAAAAAAAAGAAAAAACAAGCTTTAGATAGGTGTTTTAATGGTTCAAATGTAAGGGGAGGGGAACAAGGGAGCATTTCAGTCTGGAGTCTATGTTTTAGAGATGGCTAAACACATACTGTACCTTAAATATGAATAAAGTGAGAGGTTAAAAAGTCTATTCTGTGTGGTTGTTATTGGAAAATGAAGAAGACTGCAGCACTAGAAAGAAAGTGAACCCAGAGTTTTACCTTTATTATATAAGTGGATGAAATAATCTGCTCTGATCTCTGTCTCAGACTAACAGCTCTGGTTAAAGATTACTGCGGCAGCCTGTCGGAGAAATCTGTGCAGATGAACTTCGCCCTCATCTATGAGCTGCTGGACGAGATTGTGGTGAGTCCTGTGAACTCACCGTCAGATGGGGGTAAATGTGCAGCGCTAACGTTTCCCCCAGTCGTTGATATTAATGATGTGGTCGTGATTCCTCATCAGCTGAAGCAGATGACATCTTTATTGTGTAAATCTTAGCAAACGTTGCCTCTGAGGAAGGTTTCATTCTAGCATTTTACCCCTCGATGTCGTTAGATATCCTCATTCTACAGACTGCCCCTTTAAAATGAATTAAAAAAAGACATCATGAAGCTGCTGGGATCATGAAAACTGCAGCAGCTGGAGGATGTGAAAGGGAATAACTTCATCAGGTTTGGTGATAACTCTCCCCCATCTGTCTTTGTGTGTTTATAAGGATTACGGTTACATCCAGACAACATCCTCTGATGTCCTGAAGAACTTCATCCAAACTGAAGCTGTTTCCTCCAGACCGTTTAGCCTCTTTGACCTCAGCAACGTCGGCCTGGTATAATGAAGCTAAAAAAACTGTAGCTGTAAGTTGTCCTCTAACGAAGAGCTGCGGTCCTTTCAACAGCTCTCTTTTTGTCGTGTTTCTGTAGTTTGGAGCAGAGACCCAGCAGAGTAAAGTGGCTCCGAGCTCTGCAGCCACCAGACCCATCCAGTCCAGCAGAGAGCAGGTAAACCACGTCTCACCTGTGGTCCTAAAACTTCAACAGGAACACATCTAAATAATCTCTAACTGCTTATATTCCTTTAGCTTCTACTTCACCTTAGTTCTTGAGAGGATATCTGGAACAAAATTACTTAGAAGTGGTCAGCAAGACAAATCAAATCACTAGTTTTGGATTATTTTCTGGATTTTCACAGAAACATTAACATGAAAAAGAAAAGAGGAATAAGCAGTTGAAGGTAGACGAGCTGTGGAGCCTGAAATTCAAGCACAGCCTCTTTTGCTGCATTCACTGAAAACTGTTTTTCTTTAAGTGTCTTAACTCTTTTGGTCTGAAAAGTTATTCTGAGAGAGTTTTATTGATTTCCAATTAAATGTATCAGCAGTTATTTGATTAATCCGTCAGTAAAATGACAAAAAACTCTCTGGTGTCGTGTTTTCATGCTAAATTTAAAAATCAGCTGGTTAAACTTCTTGACTGTAAAGAAATATCTCTTAATTTTTGATCTGTCTTTGTGTTTACGTGCAAAAATGGACTCAGTGATTATTGGAGGAAATCTTAAACCCTCTAAATTACGCAAATACCTATAATACAACAGATATGAGCGTTTATCATCTACATTAAGCATCAATTAGACCTTCAATTATAACATCAGTCTGTCACTGCTGATGAGTCTAAACTGTTTTTGTAAACGGGTGGGAGTTTTAAAAATAACCTGTAAATGTTCCAGTAAATAGTCCCGTTCCATGTGGACTGTGGACTTCCTGAGACAATGTGAACATTTTCCATGAATGTGTCCTTTTTTGTTTTTGTTTTTCCAGGGAGGAAAGAGTGAGATATTTGTGGACGTGGTTGAGAGGATGTCAGTCGTCATCGGCTCCAACGTGAGTGACCAAAACAGGACATAAACAGCAGTGACCATCTGAAACACTTAAAACACTTTTAAGGAGGACTTTTATTTTTTTTTATTATGTCTTGAGGGTAGCTGGGTAGTAGTAAAAGGAATCAAACCTGTGCAGAGTCATTCAACTGGTTTCACCCTCAAAATGAGACCACTGTACGAGCAAAGTTTGTGATCAGAAGAAAGCAAACCTGACTGGAAAACAAGTTCACAGGTAACTTCACTCTGACTCAGGTGTGTGAACAGTTTGGAGGCAGGGGAAACTGTCTACAACACCCATCATTCCCACCTGTGCAGAATGTAGTTTGTCATTGTCTCGCTGAAATATGAAGGTCTTCTCTGAAATAGTTGGCAGACGTGATGTGATGCTGTCTAAGGGCCTGAAGATCAGGACCATCCAGTCTTAGTTTTGGTCCTTGTTACAGACCGCTAATTCTAGTCCTCGATCAGTGGAATTTATGTCATGATTACTAGAAAGTATGAACCGTCAGCAGACAGTGTTTGTAAAGGTTTATTTTTATGAATCAGCACAAGTATGTCTTAGAGGTGGTTTCAGTTATGATCCTTACAAGAATGATTTCTGCTGCAGGGAGTCATGATGAAGGCCGACATCGAGGGAGAGATTAAAGTCAAATGCTACATGCCGAGCTGCTCAGGTGAGATTTTGTATCAGCCGGATTTTCTGTCTGGTGGTTGAATTCATAACTAAAACAATAATTGAGTCAATCTAAAGAAAAGTGATTAAAACACACAGAGAGACTCTCCTCTATAAGCTGAGTCTGGACATGGGTAATGCATGACTCTAAAATATGAACCTCATGTAGAGGAGGGCGAGGTTTGCTTCAGTAAGAAGTTCTCATCATGAAGCTTGAGATTCTTGTAATTCTTTGACAGTTCATCGAAGTTTTCTGTTTGTCTGTTTGGACCTGACAGTTATAAAAATACGACTTCAACATTTTCTCTCTGATTGAAACAGAAATGAGGATCGGACTGAATGAGGAGTTCAGCATCGGAAAGTCACAGCTCAGAGGTAAAACACACACACGATCTGTCAGACTCACTTAGTGTGAATTTAAACACCAGATATCTGCAGCATCTATAAAAAGGTCAAATAAAAGTCATAATATTAGGAAAACAAAGTCTTATATCGTGGGAATAAAGACACTTTATTATGAGGATTAATAGATAATATGTTAGATAGTCATGGTATTACAGTATAAAGTAGTTCAGGTTCTGGACCAAAATGAGGACCTTGGAGTAGCTGGTTAAAGTGTCCCTAATGTTTTGTCCCCTCAGATCCACATTGTTGTAAGTATCAGGACTCTGAGACATGCGGTATCCCCCTTTAAAACAGGGTTATGAGGCTAATCAGGTAGACTTCGGCGGGTATCATTGAAGACCAAACCCTGAAGACCTGAGGACTCTAATTAGCTCACATAAAAAAAAATAAAACCCGACCTTTAATAGTTCTGTAAACCAATAAAAGAACCATAAAATCAGGTCTAATTTACAGCCGCCTGATGCCGGTACAGAGACTTTAAGATGGTCTAATGTGGACTCTCTCTTTCTGGTCTTTGTCAGCAGTCTTACAGCTGAATCTGGAGAATCTGGAGAGACCAGAAAGACGAGTGTTATTACAGTCAGGGACATGACAGAGAAACGGACACGTTTTCACCAAGACCGACAAAATTCACCATCTTTGTTTCACAAACTTCATCTACAACATGAAGAAATGAATAATATTATGGAGTTAAAACAGTAAATTTATCTTTTAAAACCCTCCAAAGACCTGGACTCTGATACCAAACATCCAAAAAGTCTGTTCAGTTTCAATCGTAACAGTTTAAAAACCTTTAAAAAGACACCGACTCGTGTCTCCAGATCTGTTAGTGAACTCCAGAGTGATAATAGACGACTGTAAGACACTCCTTATCAAACACAGAAGACCTGTTTTCATTCAGTCAGCGTTATTAAACAGGTAAACATCACGTCCTCCGCTCTTTCATTTCCTGATCCTGCTTTTTTATAGCTCCTCTCAAAACACTGACAGGACACGACTGTATTTTACTCATAATTCATTTGACAACACATTTAAAGGGGAATTAAGGAGTCCTAATCGAAGCAATTTCCTGAAACCTTCATGTGCTCAAACACGATGATGGATGAAGCTCTTCTTACCTTCCAATCAGATTTAAAGCTTCAGTGAGGAGTTTTCGACAGTTATGAGGCGAGACAAACAGTTTAATTACTTCTCCTACAGCAAACACACACAGTGAGAGATAAGATTCACTGTAAAACGACAACAAGAGGAGCGTTTCTGTCACCCCGCACATAGACTGGATATACTATGGACAACTTGGTGAGCAACGCAGTCTTCGTACACCCATAGGCTGTATCAAGTGTCAATCATAGAAAACATGAACCCTCTAAAAACTTTTAAAAATGGAGCTGTGCAGAAAAAAAGAGAAAAAAGTTTGTCCACAGCCCCATAGAGATTGCTGGAGGAGGCGGGATTTATGACCTATACTGCAGCCCATCAACAGAGGGTGCTGTTCTCGGAGTGGCTTCACCCAGCGAGGAGGTAGACGGCGTCCATTCTATATACAGTCTGTGACCCCGACTCAAAGTCAGCTACAATAAAAGTTACCGCTTCGTCCACAGGGGGAGCCCAAATCAACACAACAAGAGATTTCCCCACAGGAGCTTTAAGATCATTAAAGTTCAGTGTGTTGTTTTTATTTTGAGCTGAATAGTTAAAATCTCTTAGTCTTTTCCTGATTTTAACTTTTTAGAGTTTCCTTTCCATCTGTTTAGTCAGAACAAGCAGAGCAGAGCTGTCAGCTGTCATCCTTATTCATGCTGCGCTGTGATTCGCTTGTGTATTTGAGGTTCCGGTTTATCTTAACGCTTCATTTGGTTTGGGAGTCACCCTTTTACTGTCTTTGTTTGAGAGTTTTTGTTCGCTAATAAGCTCTCATCAACTGAAAGTAAACAAAGATCGGTTGTTCTGCTGTTTTGTAGAGCAAACTTTCGAGCCCGGCAGCAAACAGCACCCTCTGTTTTCTAAAACCAAGTGAGAGTTTCCATGGCTGTGTGTTTGGGATCTTTGTCTCGCTGAAATGTCCACCATCATTTTTATCAAGAATCTTTCGGTACATCTTTCCATTCATCCTTCCTTCAGTTATATAAAGTTTGTCGGTGCTGTATGTTGAAAAACACCATGATGTTCCCACTTCCAAACTTGACTGATGGTATGGTGGTTTTGGGGTGATGTTCAGTGCTGTGTGACCTCCAAACATGGTGTGTATTGTACCTGCTAAATCCAGGTCTTTCCGAAGTTCTCCACACGTGGTCCTTGGCTCTTGGACGGCTCCTCTAATAATTCTTTTCACTCCTCTCTTGCGAGGAGCACCTGATCGTGGTCGGTTTATGGTGAAACGATGTTGTTTCCACTTCCGGATTACGGCCTCACAGGACATTCAGAAGTGAAGAAATCCTTCTGTAACCGACGCCATCAGTTTGTTTTGCAACGATAAGGTTACGAAGGTCTTGAGTGAGCTCTCTGTTTTTATCATGAGATGTTTCTTGTTGACACCTTGGCATTGGAGCTGAAGAGTTTCTTGTCAAACGGACCTGCTGTAGCATGTCGTAGCGCCGCTAAACTGTTGACTCTTGGGTCCTGCAAAGTCCTGCAAACATTGTGTTTGCTGGTAGTTTGTTGGCATCTACAGTAGCACCAATGTGTTTTACTTTCACCTTGACTGGTCCCCATTTGTAATTATCTGAAGTATTTATCTGCATTGTATCTGAATTTAATTGAAATGATACGAGCGAGCAGGAGCTTCTGTTTGTGGGCGGGGCTTGTTGGAGCAGAGAGGGAGGGGAGAGGAGGAGCTGAAGGGAAAACTGGTTGGGAGGGGTAGAGTTTACGTTCAAGATTTCTACCAAAAACTGGAATTAACTCCGATCCTGACTACACCACCTTAAATTACGGACATCTAAGGTTTGATGTCTTTACATGGGTTGTTACAGACATCTGGTGACAATTTCATGTTAGTTGCAACTTTAGAAATATATCTACTGATAAAAATGGTGACGTGTTCAATACTTACTTTACCCGCTGTATGTTCAATATTGAATATCTGTTGATTTGTTCTAGTTTTGTCATGTCTTTTAAAAGGTTCGTTGTTTTTCTGCCTCTTAGTAACTCTGACTTTTAAAGATGTTGTGCAGTTGCTGTTATGTTCGATTTATCAGGTTTCACGTCTCGTTTTTAGTGAAAGATTGTGACTGAAAAGTCTGAAAAATGTCAAATTTATTTAACAGTTTGAGTTTCCACACCAAACTCTCTTTTAACCGTTTGGATATTTGGCTTTATGACGTTTGAGTATCAGGTTAATCTTTGTGAGCTCAGTTAAAAATCCTCCATGTTTTCTTTCATCAGGTTACGGGTCGTCTGTTCGAGTCGACGAGTGCAGCTTCCACCAGGCGGTTCGGCTTGACGAGTTTGACAGCAACCGGATTCTCCGACTGTGTCCCAGCCAGGGGGAGGTGCTCTTAGATTCACTGTTATACCGACTTTTTATATGTTTATTTTCATGCTTTGTCTTTGCGATCACCTCAGAGTAAAAAGATGAGTTTTCACTTTAAGATCAAAGTCTGAATTTATAATAATATTCAGTATTTTTCAGTTGTTATTCCAGACTGTGATGTTACTGCTGCATGACGCTTCATCTTTAACATGTAGCAGTAAAAAGTCAAACCGTTGTTCTCCTCCTCTTCATCATGTTCTCCTCCTTCAGCAAACAGTGATGCAGTACCAGCTGAGCGACGATCTTCCTTCAGCTCCTCCTTTCAGACTCTTCCCGACCATCGAGAGAGACAGCGGAGGAAGGTAGACTCACCATCAGAGACCAGAACAGTCCAGTTAAAGAGGCTGGACATGAGACCGAACAGATGCTGTAGTCAGTGTCGATGCTGTCTGGTGTATTTGGATAGACTCTTCTTAATAAAGGATAAAAACATACTTGACTTACAGCTTACTTAACCTCTGTTTGTGATAAGAAAACAAAACAGTCATCTCCAGAGAGCTGGCAGGGAAAAGTCTGGACACAGTCGGGGTGAAAAATCAGGCTGTTTGCTTACAGACGTGCAGCTGACCTGTGAAAATCCAGACATTTTTAGGAGTTTTGTGCATGTGTGAAAGCACTGCTGCTGAGATTGAGTAGAAACATGTGTGAATATCTGTGTCTGTGGTTTTTGACTGAAGGCTGGAGATTATTTAAAGAAAACATCAGGACCTCATCAGCTGACATGGTTTGTTTCTGTGCAGGCTGCTGATGTACCTGAAGCTGCGCTGTGATCTGCCACCGAAGAGGTGAGTCTTTACAGGTGCCGTCCCGAAAAATGAGATTATCATGCTTTTTTTCCCCCTCATTTTTAAATTCTATTATTGAGCCTACTTTCTTTAGATGGACGGTAAAATGTCGACAGTAAACTTCCTGTCAGCTGTCTGCACCATAGGCTGAGATGTATAATGTTTATGATGAAGCACCTGAAATTTAAGACTCTGTAGGCCATTATAATCAAGTTTTAATCAAACAAAATTACATCTCTGACCTCTAAGATGTTTACACCCCCACACGTCCTTGAGGTCGGCTGATCAGCTCCAACTCATCGTCCCTAAAACCCATTTAAAAACCTGTGGCGACCGAGCTTTCTCAGCTTTGGCTCCCAAATTGTGGAATGAATCGCCACTCGAGATTAAAACATCCCCCCACTCTCTCTACTTTTAAATCACGTCTTAAAACTCATTGGCTTTTAGCTCAGCATGAGAGTTGTGTGATCTCTGCCCTTTTATGTCTTTTACGGTCCTTTTATCACCTTTATTTCTTTTACGCTTTCATTAATTTTATTTAATTTTAAATGTTTTTTCACCTGCTTTTATTTATTTCATCTTGATGTTTTCTACATTGTCTGTTCTGTTCATTTTATTGTGCACCACTTTGTTCAAACTTGAATGTTTTTTCAAATGTATAAATATAGAAACAAAGCGGATTGGATTGGATTGGAAAATGCTCAAAACACAAGATAAGTCCAGAATATATCAAAGTGTAGTCAACGGAAATCATTGAACTTCTTCATGATAGTGTAATTTAGTGAGACGTACCTGTAAAGAGAACTTAATTATCGACATTTAATGCAGTTAGCCTGTTTAGTGTCAAACGTTAAAAGACAAATCTCTTATATTTTACCGTTTTTCTGGATACAAAATATAAAAATATAAAACTTCTCTGAAAAGTGTGTGAAATGGGAAAAATGTAGAAGTGTAAATACTTAAAAAATCTCACCTCTGTGGTCACACCAAGGTCAGAAAAGACTGCTAAGAGGATTAACAGATGATGATGATGATGATGATGGTGTGATTGTTTTCCTCCACAGCACTGCCATCAACGTGTGTGCGTGCATCCCCGTCCCTAAAGGCTCTGTGAGGTGAGACGGGTCATTCAAATCAGCTGCTGCTCTGCGACTCTCCTGTTTGTTATTTAAACGAGTCTGTATGTAAAATCTCCTCCTGAGGCTGTTCTGCTGTTCGTTGATCACTCTTGATTTGAATATGACTCAACGTTTTTTACCCTCCACAGCTCCGGTGTTTCTGAGTCGACTTTATAAACTCACAGAAAGTGTTCAGTCCGGATAGAGAGTCACTCAGAGACAGAGTGGTCCTGTGTGTGTGTGAGGAAAGGTTTAAAAACTGTCCGATTGTAAAGGGAAGCTCGGCTTTTAAATGACACATTAACTCAGCAGACTGAGGCCCTCCTTATTTGTTATTTAAAACTTATGGAAATAAGAGTCAATGACGTGTGGAGGGTTTGGCCCTCCAACAGGTGAGGCAGAATCAAACTCTGACTTTTCTCAGGGGTTTCAGGACTCTTTCACTCCACCAATATTTTGCATATGAACCTAAACTGAATCAAGTAAACCCTTTAAATCACCTGAACTGATTACACCGAGTGAAAACTGGTTCCCTAGGTCCACAACATCAGGCAGACATGGACAGAATTAAAGACCGTCTTATGATGGAGGGGATGAACACATCCCACTAAAGCGACAGTTTCTCAGCTTGGTTTTGATGTGTGTTGGAAAGTATTGACTCTGTATAGGCAAAGAGGGGCGTCCAGGACTGGTAAATCTAGACTTTTGCCCTCTGACTGTCCAGTACAGTACCTGTAGTTTGTTGAACTCACAATCCATTTTGCACCAGGACCCGGAGATGCTTGCTAAGACTCACTCTACACCCAGAGAGAGCAAAACACCCTAAAGACTCAGACTTTGACCCTCATCCTGGCTGCAAACTGCCCCAGTACCTGTCTAGGGTCCCAGCTTCATGATCCTGTCCAGTAAAATCCCAAACAGAATCAGCGACAAGAGGAAACCCTGACAAAAGTCTGACTTTATGCAGAGTACGCGGACACAGCTTACTCAAACTCCCATATTCCTGCAGTACCCCCTTAGATTTTAAGCCCTCTCTAAGTCCATTTAAAGGAATATACCAGCTTAAAATTAATTTAGGGTCAAACACACCGTGACACAGAGTTAGACACCCCCTCTAGAGATGAATGTTGCCGACCGCTTGCTTCTCTAGTTATACCAACTTTAGTAACAACCGCACGATAGCAATACAGCGAGCCACGCGCTCAACCAAAACGCCACTCTATAGCCACAAATAATGCTCAGAACAGCACCTAACTTCATCAACAGTACATATAGGGTCCCAGCCATAGTACTAGACACCAAGCATCTTTTTAACTTTGACTAATTTCTTTAGCAAAGAGACTAAAAACAACTCACCTACTCTCTTCCAGCAGCTGTTTGTTTGTAGCGAGACCTTGGGCCAGTCCATTACAAAGTAAAGTCAAGTCAAAGTCAACTTTATTGTGATATTGTGATATGCGATTTATATGCGATACATGTTAAACATACAGCACAGATGAAATTTTAGTCCTCTCAGACCCACGGTGCATAACAATAAACTATAAAAATAAAACTATAAAAGTATAAATATAGAATAAACAACTAAGCTAAACAAAAGACTACCTTAAATACTCAGATTAATTTACAAAATAAATATAACAATATAAACAGTACAATCAGTGTACAGTATAAATAATTACGCAATGCAGCGGGGTGACGCAGCTCAAGGAAGAACATTTATGATAATTTCTTCATCATTTCCTTGAAGTAATAATCACCATATTAATCATTTTGCACTGCAGACGCGGTAGTTCTTCTGTCTTAGCATCTCAGTCTGATTGTATTTCCATGAAGAAATGATCATAAATGTTCTTCCTTGAGCTGTGTCACCCCACAGCAGTCCATAATGGACTGACCTAAGGTCTCACTACAAATAAGCGGTCTCACTACAATAAGAGTAGGTGAGTTGTGTTTAGTCTCCTTGCTCAAGAAATTAGTTAAAGTTAAAAAGATGTTTGGTGTCTAGTACTATGGCTGGGACCCTATATGTACTGTTGTTGAAGTTAGGTGCTGTTCTGAGCATTATTTGTGGCTATAGAGTGGCGTTTTGGTTGAGCGCGTGGCTCTCTGTATTGCCATCCTGCAGTCGTTTAAAGTAACTAGAGAAGCAAGCAGTCGGCAACATTCATTTCTTGACGGGATGTCTAATTCAGTGTAACGGTGTGTTTGACTCTAACTTAATTTACCGCTGGAATATCCCTTTAAATAGCAGCTGATTCACATGTCATTTATTTACGTCTGTGCCGTAAAGATGATTTCAACAGGTCTGCGTTTTTGCATTGAACTACAACAGATAGAATATGCCAATACGAAGATCTCTTGGTGTTCAGACTGTAGTCACACTTCTCTACTTCACTTAGAGCTGCTCAGGTCTGCTGGTCTTTACGTACTCAAACATGAATGTGTAAACTGACAGGCTTAAATCATGGGGAAGCTCTCAGCAGGATTAACCATCAAATCACCTCCTATGAGTGTTCGTCTATAAAAGCTTTTCCACCTCATTGCCTCTCAGATGATCTCTGCAGCACTTTAGGAACATCTGCCTATGACCTTTCACCTCCTGTGTGTGAAGATGCTAAGGTAAACAGTGTGTATGTATGTGTGTGTGTGCATGTGTTTGTTCAGTCTGTCTCAGGAGCTCAGCAGTCCAGATCAGAGTGCCGAGCTGAAGCTGCAGAGTCGAGCCGTGGAGTGGAAGATCCCGAAGTTCACAGGAGGGACGCAGCTGTCTGCACTGTTCAAGGTGAGCACACATGTCAGTGGACACAGGCCCTAAACCTAGAAGTAGAAACTGCCTTTAAATATAGATGATAACAGTTAAATAGCTGCTATTTAACAAAGACGACTCAGATTGGAGAAGAAGAATTAAACTCTGGTCTTTCCTCTTTGACTGTCCTCAGCTGGAGGTCCCCGGTCTAAGCTCAGCCTCCATGTTGGAGGTCGGTCCGGTCGGCCTGAGCTTCGAGCTGCCTAAAGTCACTGTCACGGGACTTCAGATCCGCTTTCTCCGCCTGACGCCCGTCCAGCCCGGCCCGTCACAGCGCTGGGTCCGCTACGTCACGCATTCGGACTCCTACATCATCCGGGTTTGACTCTGACATCTGGTCTCAGAGGAATCAGATGCCAAAGTCTGAGAAAGGCCCTTGATAAGAAACGGTGGATATTTCAACCTTTTATTACTTGAGATGACTTGCTTTAAACTCTTAAGAATTTGAAGTTTTATCCAGCTGCAAATCCTAAAACATCTGTTTCCATTTCACTAAATTCAGCTGCCAGTTGTGCAAATGTTGGTATTTATCTGCCTCCTTGTGCCTGAATGTCTGTAAATAAATGTAAAGTCATGTTTCATCTTGTTTTTACCCGTGTTTTTGTTCTTCTTCTCTGGCTAATCTCTGTTAATGTAGATTCATCATAAAAATGTTGAATCTGTAGCCAAGCTCTGGACTTTCTTAGACGTGTTCTTGAGTCTGTTTTACTAGTAAGGACTGGGCTTATAGCCGGGAAAATCAAACAACTACATTTACTCGACTGTAGACACGATTTATTGGGATAGATGACCTGAACAGAGTTGTACTACAATGAAAACTAAGTTCAAAGAAGTTTAAGTTACTGTTTTATTTAAAAAATTAAGCTGTAACCTTTCAGCAATGACAGGTAATTTATCAAACATCATGAAGTTAAAAAAACAAAACCAGAAAGAGACTGCTAAGAAGTTTTTATCTGAGTTGAAATCAAACATTCAGTCGTTTCGCTTTTCCTTCATGATTCTCACTCTATGTGTGTTTTGACGTTTTCGAAGCACATCTGAACACTTTAAATAGAGATATGAGACGAGATAAAGTTTAAAGTCCTTCCTCAGCAGCTGAACAGGAGGAAGAGGATGGTGATGGTGATGGCGGGGATAAGTCACTTCCTGGTGCAGGTCTGCAACAGCTGGCGGTGATACGGTGACGGAGACTCAGAGTAAAGAAAAACATCCTGGAAAGAGAAACTGAGAGAAAACAAACAGCTGAAGGAGTCTGAGGAACTTCTCGTGTCCTGTTAGAGAGCTCAGACACGGGAGTTTAATGACTGTTGATAAACTAAGTACTGCTTTTAATTAACCTCGTGTTTACTGCACATGACGCTCTTTCTCCCATGATGCAACAGTGCCGACATCAACAAAACCCCATCACAAGGTCACATGGTTAATCGTACACAGCTTTGAGCATAACTGCACCTGATCACCACACATTACATCATACATTAATGCAGAAATACAGGGAAACTACTGTAAAAAGACGGGATTTAAATAAAAAAGAAAACAAAATAAAGTTCCTGTGTCACAAGAATAAAGTTATACAGTATCATAAAAATAAGGGTGTTTTTAAAAGGTCGTAAAGTTTAGTTTTTTTGTGAATAAACTTGTAATTTTATGAAATAAAGTTGTAAGAAATAAAACTTAACTCTGACAAATTGAGATATAAGTAAATACAGTTCATGTAGAATGAAGTTGTAATATTCTGAGAATTAAGCCTAAGTATTAAAATGAAAAGGCAGTGAATAAAGTTGTACAGAAATTAGGTTGTATTGTGAAAATTATATATTTACCATTTTAAACGTACAGAACAAAAACTTTAGTAACAACCGCACGATAGCAATACACAGCGGTCTGAGGAGCCATCAACAAACCTCAACCAAAACGCCACTCTATAGCCACAAATAATGCTCAGAACAGCACCTAACTTCATCAACAGGACACATATGGTCCCAGCCATAGTACTAGCCACCAAACATCTTTTTAACTTTGCCTAATTTCTTTAGCAAAGAGACTAAACACAACTCACCTTGATGCAGCTCAAGGAAGAACATTTATGATCATTTCTTCATGGAAATACAATTAGACTCAGAGGCAGAAGAACTACCGCGTCTGCAGTACAAAATGATTAACATAATGATTATTACTTCAAAAAAATGATAAAGAAATGATCATAAATGTTCTTCCTTGAGCTTCGAAACCCCGCTGTAGTCCGTACTAGACTGGCCTGAGGTCATTGCAAACAAGCGTCTCTCTGTATTGCTACCGTGCGGTCGGTACTAAAGTTGGTATAACTAGAGAAGCAAGCGGTCAGCAACATTCATCTCTGGAGGGGGTGTCTAACTTGGTGTTAACGGTGTGTTTGACCCTAAATTAGTTTTATGCCGGGATATTCCTTGAACTCTCAGAGACCTTTATTTTAGTTTGTTGTGACTCTAATCTCACTAGGTACACTAATCTACCCTTTAACATTACAATTCACCTTTTGAATCTACATTGGGGGGACTGAACTTTTTCTAGACTTTTTTGAGCTGCACCTGTTAAACACATTTATAAAATATAATGGTTCACATTGGCAGGTCAGGTGTCTCCTCACAGGTGTGTAACAGGTGTATGCGGTCTGAATAATCAATGTTTGTTTTCTAAAGATCCTCAAACATGTCTGAACCTGAACTCATTCTTCCTCCACATTCAACATAATTTCACACCAATGCTGTTTCTTCTTGTCATGTTTCCGAAGACTGAGTTGCGCAACGTGATCTCTGCAGCCGCCACACACACACACACACACACACACACACACACACACACACACACACACACACACACACACACACACACACACACACACACACACACACACACACACACAGAGAAAGATCCTGCCTTTGCGGAAGCCAGAGGAGCCGAGGCGGCGCTAAATTAAATTAGCATACTGACTAGTTAGCTGTGGATGGACGGGTGAACGGAGCTGCAACACAAACACACCGCTTCTTCTACCCTCAACACACCGCCGCTCCGGGCTCATTTTGTCGGGATTTTGCTGCAGTCCGCCTGCCGAGGAGATGGGGGACAAGGCGGGCACCAGGTAGGACGGCTATGCTACACCCGCTAACAGCCAGTTAGCATCCGCTCTCACGCAGTTTGCTAACGTTAGCCCGAGCTGCTGCTGCTGCTGCTGCTGCTGTTGGCCCGGGCGGGGGGGAGCTTTTCTCCCGGCTGTGCAGCTCACATTCACCCGCTTTGTAACGGTTAAGAGACACAAAAGACCACCGAGCAGGGTCCCGGATCGTGACTTTGTTTTTAAAGGGATGACCTCGTTCGTAGGAGGCGAAGTTAGCCCACCATCAGGGTGGGGTTTAGCTAACAGGACGGTTGCTCCAGCCTCCGCTCACAAATCTGTCACTTCTCCGTGTCAGACTGTCACACACATTTGATGGAAGAAAACCTAAAACATTCATGAACTGTTTACATTGACTGTTTCATTAGTGTGATTCGAAATAAACGCAGAGTTGTAATTTTGGATAAAAAATACTACTTGGTGTTGTAGGTGGGAATTCCCACGGTGCCTTTCCAACAAAATACGGCCGTGGTGGGCGGTATCGATTGGGGAAAATATTTGGTAAAACCCCTGAATTTGTTGGATTTTAGACCTGCTTTGTTTGTGACAAGAAGGCCGATCTGAACTTTATCCTGAAAGAGTAAATTAAAAATTCATTAATGTGCTTTATGTGTGAATTACACTAGGAGAAGTGGAATTACATCAAATCTAAATGGAGTTTGGTGCGGGCGCAAGCAGAGGGTCTATCTGGGTTAGCCTGCTACAAATGGAGGCTAATCTCGAGTAAGCGGGGTACCGCAGGCTCATGCTAATTAGCTGTAAATTGGTGTGTTTGGATGCCTATGTTTGATTTTTGTAGGTGTTTCTTTTCTTAAATGGACAGTTATAGCTGTTAATGGAGAGTAACTGTTATAATAGTCCTTTAAAGCGTCTTTAATGATGAGTCTTTGGTTGTTTTTGGCAGATAGAGATGCTGTGTTTACATACTTTATATAATACTGACCTGCAGCTGATTACGACGCTGAGGTTAGCATCTTATTTGCATCCTCTGATACGGAAAGGTTAAAGAAAAAAGACCCTGATCCAACACAATTATACTTAGACTAATTAAATTCACACTATATTACCTAAGAGAGTCTAAAAACTTTATAAAACATGGAATTAGATTTGTGAAAACTCCAAAAAAGGGTGAATTCATACCTTTTTTTCTGTCCAGGCTACACTATACAAGGACTTTATCAAACACATGAACCCCCAAAAAGGGGAAATTTCACTGATATTTTCCAGTTCCTGATCCAGAACTATTCCTGTACTTCTCAGGTCTGGTCGACACCGATTGAGGACGGCAGCAGTTTCTTTTGCATATTTGCAAATCTGTTCCTTTCTTAGTAAAAATGCAAAATGGGATGTTTGTAGATCACTGTGTACCACTGTCATTCAGCTCTAGTTAAGTACACTTTCATTAAACAAATGCTGAATTATGAGTTTATTAATTTGATCATTAATTCAGTCATGAACCACATTAATATACAGCATCTTCATCAACTGTGTTTTTAGACATGTAGGGTTGTTGTGGTGTCGTAATTTGTTGTCGTACAGCCTAAAGCTTCACTGTGTAGCTTTTGATCCCGTGAGTGATGGAGATAATTTTTACTAAAATGTTTTGAAGTTGTACTGACTATGCTGACCTGAATTTTAGTCACCGTCTGTGTGCGGGAGTGAGGTGTTTTTGACACGCTTCTAGTACCGTATTTTTCGCAATATAAGGCGCACCTGATTATAAGGCGCACCATCAATGAACGTGTCTGTTTTCATACATAAGGTGCACCGAACTGTAAAGCGCATTAAGCCAAACAAAACAGTCAGATACGTCAAACTTTATTTAACTCATTCAATAACTCCACGAGGCTACGGTAGTTGCAGTGCTTTGACAAGCCAAAAGGATTTTATGTACGCCTTATATTGCGAAAAATACGGTACAATCCAAGGTTGTTGTTGAGTTGTTATTGATTCAATGAAAAACAAACAAACAAACAAAAAAAAGACAGATATGTCCAACTTGCGATGATGGTGATGTACGTGATGAGGGTGGGAGTGGTGTTGGAGATTAACGGTAAAAACGTGTGCTCTTCCCGTTCCCCAGATCACTTCTTCATCTTCATTCCTTTTGTAGCATTTACCTGCCTGTTCACCTGAAGTGCCCCTTGTGGTGATTGTAACAAAACAAAACCCTTAAAATAATATAGCAAAAATGGCTCATACAGAACTTTTTAGTTTTTATCTAAGAGTCCTAGTTGTCAGTTACTTATGGACAAGGTCTATCAAGAGTGAATGCTGATCAGCTTGTTGGACCATTTTGCTCATCGTAAACATGTATGTTTAGTTTTGGATGACTGTTAACCCTCTTTTCGTCAGTACTGGAGTTACCCTTTTTAACAGTCTTTGGTTGTTTTCTCTCATCCTTTTAAACTTGACAGTGATGTGGTGTCTTTCAGCTTAGACAGCCTGGCAGTTTTCAGGTCCTGCTCATAAGCTATTTATTAAACGAGTGTAGTCTCTGGAGGTTACTGCTTGGTCCCACCATCTTCTCTGATCTCTACATGTGATATCCTACTTCATTTTACCAGCTAGAGTAGGGCTGGGCGATAAAACGATAACGGTATATATATCAAAATTAATTTCCTTCGATATAGATATGAAACATGGTCAATATCCCATTTGATAGTCGGCATTCTGTCAATAAACACGACACACTGAACCAATCGTGTGCTGAATTAGAACCAACTAGCAAACAACTGCATCACAGGCTGCAGCTACACACAACCACAGCACTTAAACACGTGAAGCCAACAGCACTGTTGGTGAGAGAAAAAGAAAATGAGCGCTACCCCCGGCGGAAATGCAGATGAAGGCTCAACAGATGACTACATTGTGGTCAACATTGACACGAAAATGTCAGTGGTGTGGAGGTTTTTTGGTTTTTGAGGTCAGCATGAAGCAGAGTAACGTGCACTGCAAACTATGTTGAGTACATGTTAAATTTCATTTAAGAGTGATTTTTTAAATATTGTGATACATATCCATATCAACTGATATGAAAAAAAATATATAATCATAAATTTTTTCCCATATCGCCCAGCCCTAATCGAGGAAGTTGACTTAAAAAAGTCAAATATAAGACGCTGATCAAACTTTTTCTCTTGTATTTTAGTGAAAAACAGCTTTATAGGCTACGTGCACACTGCAGGTTATGCTGCACAATTCTGATTTTTTGTTAAATCCTATCTTTTTGTGCAGTCGTTCACATTACTACAATGAATGCGGCATCTAATTTGAACGGAATGCGTCCGTGAAGTGACCCGCATGTGCACAAAGCACAAATTGCTTTCGGCGCCTGTTTGTGTAGTCAAACAATGGTATATAGTGACGGATAGGTTTGATGAATGCGACCTGAGCGTCCACACTGCAGTCACATCGGATACATATCCGATTTATATCCACATACAAAAGAGGCCTGGGTCTGATTTGAAAAAATCAGAATTGCACTGTTCACACTTACATGAAAAAATCAGATATGTGTCACATATGGTTAAAAAATCGGAACTGACCTGCAGTGTGAACGCAGCCTTAGTCGGATCTGTGGGTTTTTTATTTATTGGACACTTCCCTGATGGACATTGTGGTTCTGCTGGATCATTTCATGTGAAACTCGGTTCAGTTGTTTCCTAGTTTGACCAAATTCCTAATTCAGGATGGGGTTTGCACTCCACTAACTTTCTAAGGGTTGCATATTGATCATTTGGAGGAGGAGGTGATTTTGCAGCCATTCTTGGTCTCATCAGAGAAAGTCTGATCTGCACTCCTGCATTGGTGAAAAACAGAGAGACACTCCTTTTTTATTTTAAAGCCTAAAATAAAGGTTTTGCTGATCTGAAACTGTAAATTAAAGAGTCTGTCGCCGCTCATGTTAGTAGTTTAAGGTCTGAGAAGTCTAGGTATAGTAGTTTTGGATCAGGACGATGTTTCTTTAACCCTCCCAGCTGTAAATAAGACGCTTACTTTAGCGCTGTGAGCGTCTGATTGAAGGTTTCTTCTGGATGGTACTTTCTGTTGTCCTGCTCTGAAACAGTACCGTATGAGCTGTTACTGTAGCTACTGTTAATCCAGACTATCTGCAGACCCTGATCAGAATTGTAAATCCTGTTTACAGACTTCTACAAACACTCGGCAGTCCTGGAATCAGCTCTGCAGGGTTTAAAGGCTCTTTTTGTTTACATGTAGCTTTGTCTGTATTAGAGCTGAGAAGGAGCTTTTACAGCACAGACCAGCCTCTTGTTTACTCTGCACATTTTAATAAAACGATGACTGTGATGGTAAAGTGCTGACTTGGCTTTAATCTGAGGCTGTTTACATCGAACATGTTTGTCTACTCTCACACACACACACACACACACACACACACGGGTTGGTGAGTTTTCAGACGATCCCAGCTCAAACATGTCTTTGTTTACACACAGCGCTTTCAGGCGGTCTTCTTCTCTGGTCCTTAAGTGATTGAACTTTACAATGAGGGCGGCTCTTCTTCTGTGACGGATGCTGACATATACTGAGATTGAAGCAAACAGACCTGCCCTCACTCTCTCTCTCTCTCTCTTCCTGTTAGGAAACAGGTGGAAACAGGGAGGAGAGGAAACAGTACAGACTGTTGAACCTATAAACACGGTTGTAGATGGACACGCCGATCAGCTGTTTGCCGGCTGCTCTCACTGATAAAATGTCGACATACAGAAGAGAAAGTTTCAGAGCATTACCTGCTGATTTTCACACCAACTCTGCCAAAAAATATGAGGAAAAAACAAACTATCAGACAGCCACAGGTGAAGAGAGGAGACGGAGGAGGAGGCGGGTTTGTTTTTGTGTGTCTGAAAAGCCATGGGACAGAAAGGTGAGAGAGGCCGTAGGGCAGGGCTCGACAGTGCGACTGTTTCACCTGCATTTGCAACTAAAAACAGATGTGTGCGAATTGTAAAATGTATTTAGGGGCACATGTACGCTTAAGAAAATCAGCTGAGGCAACAAATGTTTTTTCATGTAAATACTAGGGCCCAAAAGATATGGATTTTTTGGGGCCGATACCGATTATAAGGGAGGAAAAACATTCAATTACAGATTAATCGTCCAATTTTTAATTTTTTTTATGAAGTTTTAAAATTTTGTTAATTAAAGTAATATATATATATATCAGACATGCAGCATACACCATTTCAGCAAATTCCACTTTTTACAGTAAAAAACAAAGCAAACCAATCATAGATTAGAGTTTCTTTTTTACTAAGGTCTCAGGCTTGTGTCACAGCCAATCAGAGTTTTGTTTCGTTTGTTGCTTTCGACTCTGTGTCTCCTCTGTGATGTTTGACCCGGCAGGTGTGTCCAAGGTTTCCACGGGGAGTTTTTCAGCAGTAGTAAATGTCAAGGCTAAAACATACAGGATGCGTATTTGGAGCGTGGCAGCAGCGTAGCGCATCTCCCAGCAAATAGGTCGCCATTCTGATCAATGCAGTAAAGCGTACAGGACGTGTATTAGCTCCGTCACAGCATCATTAAAGCATCGTTTTTAGCATCTGCTAAAGATACACGGCGAGTCTATTTCTGCTGCTCTACGCTTCAATCCACACAGAGAAGATCGCCCTAGACAGAAAGTCAAGCACGGAAACTGCGCATGTTATCAAGTATTTCAAAATAAAACACCATATGTGAACTCCCGACTGTGCATCATTTTTCCTGGTTCTGGATTTATCAGTAACACAGAGCAATCCGATGGTCAGTCCCTGATCCATGTGGACCCCAACAGGACTTTGAACTGCTAACTCTGTCTGAAGGTAACAGCACAGCATAAAGGAACATAGTTTACTTTATTAAATACCAGGAAACCTGTAAAAACCCAAACTGTAAAATCACTTAAAGCTTTTTCACATATAGTAGAGGCTCAACAGTCACTGAATTATATCCAAATTATCAGGAAAACGACCACAGAAAGGAAAAACAACCTGTTGTTTCCTCTATACTGAGCCCAGCTGACCAGAGCTGCACTACACTGCTGCTACGCTCCAAATACGCTGATCCTGTATGAGATACCCAACGCTTCTCTACGGAGCAAACACGGAACAACGTGCTGAATACGGATCCTGTATGTTTTGGGCTTCAGCGTGGAAAAGCCTCCTGTTGAATCAGCGGTGTGTGAATCCATACATGTGACAGCTTTAATTTCACAGAGGAGCTGTACATTCAATCTGACAAAGTGCTTTTAGCTCTCTGACTTTTATCATTTCAGCGTCTTCTTCCTCTTATCAAAGAAAAACATCAAACCGTGGCTGAAAGCAGCTTTAAACCAGTTTGTGGGCTTCACCACAACCAGACAAATGTATAACTGTTATAACTAAATACAACCCCCAGCTCAATGAGCCCATTATACTCAAATATTATTGAGTTACATTTATTGAAAACCCGAGGGACTCGAACAACAAGCAGCTTCTTTCTTGTCTTTCCTTTTTGAAAACGGAGATAAGATGTGGTTATGCTGAAGGAAAACCAAGACTGCTTTTCAATGTTGAGGATGTTTTCTTGGGAAAAGGAAAAACTATTCCCGCTTCTCGCTTCAATCATCCGAAACTTAGGAAACATGCTGAAACCCGTGTGAGCCTAAGTTCACACCAGTCTGAAAAAGATAAAGTGGGATACTGATTTAAAAGTAGTCTTTCTTATTTACAGCAGCAGGTTCGTTTTTCTTCAAACCTGTCTGATGACTTCTGTGTCCTACTCACCACCATGTCTAACTTTTATTATCATTATTATTATTTTTATTGGCCCAATAACAACTTAAGGTCGTAAATCTAGGGCGTTAAATGCTATAGATGATAGGAAGGCTGAGCAAAACCAACATGAATGTCTGTTGAGGGAGTTGGAGTTGTCTGTCTGTTTGTTTTCGTGTCTGAATGTTAAAATCTAACAATATGGATAACACAACAACAAAAGTAACAAACTCCTGGGCAGTGAGGTGCCTCGTACTTCCTATTCTGGTGCCCTTTAAATGAACAAAACCGCAGTACTCAACACCAATATGACATTTAAAACTGAAATGAAACCAGTTTAATCAACACCTGATGGACCAGAAGCAGGATGTCTTCAAGATCAGAAAATGTCTTATGTTGTGAACAAATCTTGTATTTATTCTTCTTTTAGTTCTCTTAAGAATCCCTGTCACATTTATTTATGTATTAGTCAAAGGTTAGGTTAGGCTAGGTTTGTTTTTATAGAATTTAGGTCACAGTGTTTCTGTTCGCTGACACCGCAGAGCCACCAAGCTCAAGTTATTAGGGGGTTCATGTTTGCTATGATTGACACCTGATTCAGCCTATGGGCGTTCAGGGATTGAGTAGCTCTCCCGGGGGATACGCTGTTTGAGCCGAGTGTCATCACAGTGACTCTCTGCGACTGCGCGGCCGAATGCGCGCATCGCTACTGCATAGCGCTGGTTTCAGGAAATGAAGAAAAATCCCGGAAATACCGAGAGCTATTTGGCTTCAAATCTGTATACAGGCGGTAGGCGGAACCAGGTTGTCCATAAATACAGTCTATGGCCAAGATCAATTGCATGTAGGGGAAACCCTGGTGCACGTCTTCCTGAAACTGAGACAGCCTGTTTAGTTCAACCTAACAGGATGTTGAGGTTCTCTTTTAGAAGACGACTCGCTGTTGTAGTCAGGAGTGGACATGTTGAGGTAGAGGCGTTGCTTTTCTCTCAGAGCTCACACTGTATAATCAGAAATGACAGACGGCCTCGTCTCCCTGAACATCGACGGTCTGACGTGCCGTCCTTGCTGATCCTAACCACCTTCATGAATATTTTATCCCCTCAGTGCAGACGATGCTGCTTTAATATTAGAGCCACATTAAACACACTTGACCAACAAAAATATCAACAGCTGGTCAAAACTGTCAGTGCTCAAAAACAGAACTACACCGCTGTGTCACTGATGAAATCCACAGGAGCCAAACCCCTACACAGCACAGGTTTATCAGTCATATAGACTCTCAAAACAAGAGGTCTAAAAATAGAATAAATTCCTTCTTGAATGACATATGAACAGAGAGGAAGGTTAAGCTGAACGACCAAAATAAACTCTGAGTTAAAGGGAAGTGGAATTTTCTGTGTTTTGGGGTTTTCTTTCCGTTTATTTTCTGCTTCAGTTGCATTTAAATGTAGGAAAACAAGCCGGCGCTGCTGTGTTTACTGACTGTGAGAGTTAAGTGTGTGACTGTTAATGATCCACTTGAAGGCAGAGACCTGTTTGAGATGATTGTCGAGTGTCCGTGGGCAGACGCTCAAGTGCTGCAGAGGAAGTGTAGAGAGGAAGCGGACCGGCAAAAAAATGAGGAACTGTAGTCGACTCAAAGTCAGACTCCTGACATGAAGTATCTCGGAGTCGGTGCTCGTGAGTCACTGTGCTCAGACTGAAGTCCACTCCAGTTTTTGTTTGGCTAATGTGTACCTTTGTCTGTAGGCTGTTGTGGTGTTAAAGGGTCTGATTCAGCACTGCGTGTCAACTGTGACCCAGAGGAAGGATGATTTCCTGCTCGTTTGATCTGCAAACAGCCGTGTTTACATTTAGTACAGGGTCTGGATATTGTTCTTGCATCCTTTAGTATCTCTGCTGAGAGTTGTGTGTGCAAAACAGTGACCAGGAAGTAGCTGGTGAACAAAAGTAGACAAAGTACTGTATTTTTCGCTCTATAAGGCACATCTGATTATAAGGCGCACCATCAATGAATGCGTCTATTTACGTCTATTTTCAGACATAAGGCACACCCGATTATAAAGCGCATTAAGCCAAACAAAACAGTCAGATAAGTCAAACTTTATTTAACTTATTTAATAACTTTGTGAGGCTACGGTAGCTGCAGTGCTCCGACAAGCCAAAAGGATTTTAAGTGTGCCTTATAGTGTGAAAAATAAGGTAGATTCTTGGGCAGCCAGAATAAGGTGGTTAGGGTTAGGGGTGTGGTGCGATCCCCTGTGGAAGGTTACTCCCTGTCCTCATCAGTAGTGGACATGTTGTGTTAGAGGTAGGGCTGGGCGATAACTAATCTCAAAGTACTAAACCAAAATAATTATGATAGCTGTTGAGCAATATACTGGTAGACCTCTGTTAGCTGACTAGTCTAAACTGGGTCCAAATTTAGACGTCTGAAAACTTTCATTTTTAGACCTGTGGTAGCCTGATTTTAGACCAGTCGTCTAGACTACATAGACGTCTATTAGACCTCTTTTAGACCAAAAAATGCTCAGTGGGAACTGCGTCGTAGCAGACAGCAGCTACAGCAACACGTGAAGTTGACAGCATCGTGAATAAAAATAAAGAAAACGAGTGCTACCCCCGACAGAAATACAGATGAAGGCTCAACAGATGACGACATCGTCAACAACACTGGCATGAAAACGTTGGTGGTGTGGAGGTATTTTATCATGAAGCAGAGTAATGTGTACTGTAAATTATGTCGAATACATGTTCTCACAAAGTCAGGGAATACCTCAGATCTTTTTCACCACCTGAAGCAGCGCCACGCGGCAGAGCACGTGCAACGCAAAAGGTGACAAACCTCAAGCGGAGCAAGGAGCCCATGGCGCCTGTGTAGCCGAAACAGCCGACCATTCATGCCGCTTTCTCTAGAGCAATGCCTCACGACATAATTAACTTTTTCCCATATTGCCCAGCCCTAGTTAGAGGCATTACTTTTCTCTCTTTTAATGGATGTAGGGGCTCACACTGTACTAGGTAAACCGAAAATTTACAAAAACCAAAATTTACGACAATAACCAACGTCATTTTGCCCATGACAACATACTCTGTGTCAAATCAATAAATAAAAGTGTAGGTAGGCTATGGACTCATGCCTCTTTAAGACGCTTTCCTACGTCAGAGTCACGCCATCCAGTCTGTAACAAAGAAGGATAGACAGGTGAGGAGATGGAGGACGGTTCAAAGGTTGTAGCAGCTGAAGTAGACGAAGTTAATGTTGGAGGGGGTGAGCAGCTTGTGGAGTAGTTATTGTCCATTTATCGTTATCGAGGTGAACTGATCAATATATTGTGATCACCCAGCCCTAGATTTGTATGCATGAATGTCTGACAGGAGTCATTTCATTCCTGCGAAACTAGGAAAACATAAAAGAGTGAGGACAGATCTGTTCAGGTTCAGGCTCAGGTGAGCAGTCACAGGTGGGCGGGGCTTTCCTCTCGTCTCCTGTTTATTCAAACTGTCCTTGCAGACTGGCCTGCTGCTGCAGGTGAGTCAGACGCTCGCCGCTCACAGGTGTGATCCGTTTATCCGCCTGGAAAGTTTTGGAAGCAGCCAGTCGAGTGTGATAACGTGTTTACAGCAGGCGGCTGTTTTCTTGTCTAGAGTTTCCCTGGAGGTTTCAAACCTTAAATCACACCGACAGAGAGGGAGGAACATCTGACACTGACAAATACAGATGAGAAAAAAAACAGAGCAGGTTAACAGGTCATCATTTAAAATCAAGATCTTTGTTTTAATTTACTACTTAAAGCTCAAGTTAGTTTTAAAAGTGTCTCCTTGATCTCACAGAAAATCACTTCTCACACATTTTCACCCGTGTAAGCCGAGTATATTTGGGTTGGGGTTATTTTGAGTCCAAGCAGCTCATTTATTAGTCAATAAACCCCCCTGTGGTACTGATTATTGGAAGATTATGTGCAACAGTCGCAGCAAGCCGTGGATGACGTGCAGCAGCAGGTAGATTACAGGGCTATTTACAGGCAAGGACGCGGTCTATTATTTGAATTTGATTGATTCCAGTTAAAGTTGCAGGAAAAGCTCCTGATGCAGCAACAAAAGGCTGTTGACAAGCTGACTGAAGAGGCTTGAAAGCTGCATGTTTTCCACTCTGTGTGTTTTCTCCGGGCCTCTTTTGTCCCATTCTGTGTGGGGTTATAAATTTAGGATAACTTCATAAAGGAGGAGAAAAAAAATCTATTTTTATCTGTTGGCGTGGAACTGCTGCCGCTTTTATTTTTTCACTGGGAACAATAACCCCTTTCTTACATTCACTCCTAAAGGTCGAGAAAACTGTGACTGAAATTTAGCTGTTGTTTTTTCCTGAAGTGACTCTTAGTGTTGCAACCGGTTTTCCTCCGTCATCCTCGCTCATTTACATCCAGGTAGTCGAGCATTATAGCAGCGTGATGTTAAGAGCTTTAGCCCCAGTAGTAAGACGTTTTTCTGACCGACATGTCCAAGCTTACTCAGTTAGAATATTAATTAGCTTAGTCTTCCACACATGCGCGTTTCTGGTTGCTAAATTATGATATGAAGGTTATCTTGCAACCCGTCTGCTTTCATAAACAGTGTACATGGAGCTAATGTTTAAGGCTCTGCATGTGAAAAATTTCTTTGACCAAAAGGGAATTTTGCAGGAAAAAATGTAAAAACATTGAAAGAGATTTTGCACCTTGTCGTCAAGGTGCATGAGGGGCTAAAATTGGCCGATCTAATCGGCTTGCCTATAAATCTGTTCGGCCCTAGTCGGTCCATCTATTCTTCTGTCTGCAGAGCTGATATCGACACACAACAATACAAATTTGTTTTTGAGGTTTTGGACGCCACCATCTTCTGTTCGTCAGGATTACTTCATTAGTGCTGGCTACAATTTCCTGATGTGTCTTGTTGTTTTTGGAGAAATTGTAGAATTAAGTGGAAGACGTCGATAAGGGGAACTTTTTATTGCTCATTTTGTTGTCATGTTTCTCAGTAAAGTCCAGTGCTGGAGTTCAGCAAGTCAAAGGTTTCCTGTTGCCCAACAGAATGATTCAGATAACACGCAAACAGTTAATCAGTTTGTGTCTTTTCTTACACAACTTCAATGATAAACATCATTTGTGAAAATGCAAGTCAGTGCAGGTCATAAAATTATGATCAAAGATAATAAACCTTAAACAAAAAAACTTCCTTTAAGTAATTTGCTAAAAGAAATGTGAAAAGAAAGGTCTTGAACACTTTTAGAGGCAGAATTTCGAATTATTTCTTATTTTGCGATTATTAAAATCACGCTTGGATAAATAGTTAAGAGTTTTCAAAGTTATTGATTCGTCCAGTGAAAAATACTTAAAGTCATTTTGGTAAATTAAGTCTTTTAAAAGTGTTTTGGTGAGAAAAAACACCACTTACTCAGTTTGAGGATCTCTCTCTTCCAGTAAACTGAATTCTCTCTCTCTGCGTGTTTTCAGAACTTAATTTATTTTAACTCCTGCGGCTCATTAGCGGAGTGTGTTTGTGCGTTTCTGTGTGTATTTTTGGACTTTCTATCTGCAGCTGAAAACCTACGAGTGATAAACAGCCTTTGGAGCCAAAACTGGAGCCACAAAACCCTGTAAATCAGTTTTAATGTGAGCTTTGAAGTGATCTAAATATAACTGTGGGGGTGTGGACAGGAAGCAGTCATCAGCTGGAGCTCGGCTGGAAATCAGGAAAATCAGCAGCAGAAAGTTTTAGACGTCTGTTTGTCCTTCAGTGTATTTTTATGGTTTTTAAAATGTCTGCAGATCAAAAAAAAACTTGAGATCAGAAGATGGGAGGAGGAGAAACTAAACATGTGTCACATTGTGGTTGATTGGGGAAGTGGCCGCCGTTTCTCACGAGTGTTGAAAACCAAATAAGCTCCCACAGTCGAAGCTGAAAGGCTGAACGATCTGTTGATGAAACTCAATTAAGAAATTCTCATTTAAAAAAAAAAAACAGCAACACATTTCAAAATAAGTTTTCACTGTTATATTTCTTTTCCCAACTTTTTGTAGACCTTAGTGAACCCAGTAGACCAGGTTCATGAAATGCTGTCCCGAGTTAGTCCAGTTTCTCAGCAGGACTCTTCTACAGAAACATGCTGTTGTCAGAATGTGGTTTGGGATCATATGAAGGTCTTCCCTAAAATAAGTCTTTGTCTGGATGGAAGCAGATGTTGCTCCTTAACCTGTAAATATTGTTCAGCATTAATGAAGCCTTCACAAATGAGGAAGATACCAATGACATGGACTCTCATGATCCCCATACAGGGCTCGACACGAACTTTTTTCACAAGTAGCACATGTTCTGCTAAGTTGAAAATTGATTAAATAATGTTTGTCTTATTGTCCGACCTTAGTACTACTATTTTAAATCAATTTTAGGTCAATTGGTCATGTGACATGGAAGCTATTGAAGGAAAACAGCCTTTTCTGAGAACATCAACTTGTAATTTATTGACGGTCCCTTATTCAACACCCGACGTTGACAGTGAGGGTGCAGAGTAGATTGAACTACGCTGCTGTTGTTATTCCCGCTTATGGAGAGTGAGAAGAACGGTAGATCCGCAGTGAATGTCTGTCGAATATCCAACCTAAAACTAACTTCACCGCCATATTAACATGAAAAACGGTGAATTCGCACTCATCTATTTTTAGTCGCAAATGCGAGTGAAACGGTCGCACTGTCGAGCCCTGCCATACTATTAGGGCTGCTGAGAACTCTTTGAAAACTGAGGATGCAGCATCTATGATTTCCAATTCTTTGTTCAGCCAATGAAAAGGGGAGTTGCTCCAGGTCATAACCAAATTAGAACCAAGTAGCAAACAACTACGTCGTAGCAGACAGCAGCTACACCCAACCATAGCGCTTTAACACGTGAAGCCGACAGCACTACAAACCCCGAGCACAGCAAGGAGCTCATGGCGTCTGTGCAGCTGAATAAGCCGACCCTTCAGTCCGCTTTCTCCAGTGCAACGCCGTGTGACAAAACGTCGAAGAGACACAAAGACCTCACAGATGCAGTAGATTATTGAATTGCAAAAGACATGCTACCATTAAGCACTGTTAAATTTCATTTTTTATATATAGTGATATATATCAATATCGACTGATATGAAAAAAATATATCATGATAAACTTTTTCCGATATCGCCCAGCCCTAGTTCAGCATTATGCTTAAAACTGAGGATGCAGCATCTATGATTTCCAGTTCTTCGTTCAAAGGGGAACTGGACTTACTTGGGACGTTTCGCCCTTTCCAAAAGAAAGTTAGATTTTAATCATCAGACCTCAGGACAGTTCTCGGACAAGTGATATTAAGTCCATGCGGTGACTCCAACTCCAGAGTCCTGATGCTCCTAAACCTGTAGATGTTGTTCAGCATGAATGAAGCCTTCACAGATGTGGAATATACCGATGACATGGACTCTCATGATCATAGAGGGGAGTTAGAATAACCAGTGATCCTCTCTCTTCAGGTGTTTGTGTCGTAGGAGGTGTTAATAACCCAATTTTTGTTTTTTTTTCTTATGTGTTGTTTGATGATTTACAAGAACTCAAAGTAAATATCAGCAGGGAGAAACTCTATTTCACCTCGAGTCAAAAAAGTTTGAGTCACTCGATTAAACGTCTTTGCAAACATCAGAATTTAAAAACCTAATAAAACAAGTTAAACGCCCACCTGACCTCTCTAAAGCTGTGGCGACATCCCATAATAACCAGCTCATACACACTGGGTTTGTTTCTTCAACCACTTCCTCTTGGGCTTCCTGCTGTGTTGAAATAAACAGTCTTCAACTCAGATATTTCCTCTGCTTATGTACTCAGAGCGTTCATGATTATTGTCTTTGCACTCTCAGAAAACATCCTCACCTGTTTCAGTTTGAATTTTATTTTATGAGCGAGAGACACGAATCCTCCCCCAGAATTAAAACAAACTAATGTGTTTTGTTTTTTCTTCCTTTTCCTCTTTTTTTTCTTTCTTCTTCTTCTTCTTCCTCTTTCCAAACCTCTCAGAGTTTTCAAGAAGTCGAGCCCCAACTGTAAGGTGAGTCAGAGCGTTTATTTTCCCTGTGACATCTCAAACACAGCCGGGGGGGAAGTGATCGCTCTCTCTGCTGCAGAAACATCAAAATATAACAAAAAAAAAAAGCTGTTTTTTTTTCTATCCTAAAAAAAGTAGTACAAACACTGAGATAGTGGGAGAAGAAGTTTATAAGTACACACAGATCTTTTACTTTACCATAAACACACTTTAACCTGATCCCACACACAGTCCTGCTGCAGCAAATATCGATCCGCCGCTGAAAATAGTCCCAACAGAAGCTCTATTTTCCATATTTCTTTGACAAAATTTGCTGTTTTGACTTCTCAGTGAAGTGTTTGCATTAAACTTAAAGTTTCTGCTCTGAACTGATCAATAAGTAAACATGAAAACCACACGTGTGATACCACAACAGATCTTAATAAGTCCAAACTGTCCTGCCTCACCAAAGTCTTTGAATCATTATTAAATAATCAAATCAAATCATTTCTTTCCTGTTCTCTGTTTACATCGATCCAATCACACTGTAGCACCATTACTGCAGTCACATTTTAAAGGGAAATGTTGTGCTGAATTATTTCTAGATCTAGATAGATAGATAGATAGATAGATAGATATACTTTATTGATCCCAAACTGGGAAATTCACACAGATCTGTCCCAAGTCTTTGACTCAGTCGACCGCTCTTTATCGTTCAGAGGCTGTAGGATGTGGGATTGGATTCACAGTCCTGTCGCAGAGGCAGCAATGCGTGTTCCCACTCTTGTCAAAGGGTGTACCACAAGGTTCAATACTAGGTTCTGTTTTATTTACAATGTATATGGATTACATTATGCCGTACTCTGATGTTTTGTGTATCACTGTGTCTAATTGTGTATTTTTGTATTATTCTGTCTTTGTTTTGTTTTGTTGTACTCTCGACATCATTGGAAAGTAGAGCACGCTCTGAAGGGTCTTTTGTGATTTAAATAAATGTTTAATGAAAGAAAAAAAGTAGTTTGCTGCTTGATCCAGCAGAGGGCACTCTTGTCGTAACCCGACTGTTGAATGACACTGTTGACCTCAGGAAATTAGTACAGGGATGATTTTTCTACTAAAATTATCTCATTGTTTGATTATGAACACTTGGCTGAACTGAAGCATTGTTTAAAAGAAGTTAAGTTAGATATGTAGTAGCAGTTAACACCTTAAAATTCATTAAAATTAATTTACTGACCTTTCTTTCTTTTACTCAAAGTAATTATTTCTAAACTTTCGTGGAGTTTAATAAAGCCAACAAAACAAAAACTGAGCCCTGGCTGTGATCGGTCTCTGCAGGTGACTGTTTATCTTGGAAAGAGGGACTTTGTGGATCACTTGGACCACGTGGACCCCGTAGGTGAGTCAGAACACCTGACGGGTAAATATCTGTGTGTGTGTGTTTGTCTGTGTGTGTGGAGTTTATTTCTTGCTGACTCTACGGTTTCTCGTTTTCCTTCCTGCGAACAGATGGAGTGATCCTCGTCGATCCCGAGTATCTGAAGGACAGGAAAGGTAGGACAGCTTCCTCCTCCTCCTCACATCAAAGTGTTGGTCAGACAGGGTCAGCGGGAGGAGGTCCACCGAGGGTCAGGATGTACATGCTCCCATTTCTCTTCACTGGGCCAACATGAGATCTAGATTCCTTTTCACCGGGGCCTTTACACCTTTACACTCTTGGTCTTTCCTGCTCTCCCCCGCAGTCTTCGTCACCCTCACCTGTGCGTTTCGTTATGGACGGGAGGACCTGGACGTGCTCGGTCTGTCCTTCAGAAAGGATCTCTACATCTCCACCTTCCAGGTCAGAATCTGCTTCACATCCACCCTGAATTCACCTGGTTAATTTTAGCAGGGACTGAATCTCTTCATCATCATCATCATCATCATCATCATCATCATCATCTCCTCCTCTTCCTCAGGCGTTCCCTCCGGTGCCTGAGGAGCGGAAACCCAACAGCCGGCTGCAGGAGAGGCTGCTGAAGAAACTGGGCCAGCACGCACACCCGTTCTACTTCACTGTAAGTCTGCAAGGCAGGTTTTACCCAGGAACTAAATCTGCTTTGATACCACCAGAACCAGGATCCACAGCTCCTGGAAAAGTCTCCAGCTTATACAGATGTTTGTGTATTTTCTCTTCAGATGATAGATTGAGAGAAACAAACTTTAATTCTTCACTTTTTTGATGTGAACACTTAGAAAAAAAGAACAGGGTGTTTCCATCACAGGAACTTTCCCCTGAGACTGAGACGGAAGTAAAAACCGTGGTTTGATTACAGGAAACCGGAAGTGAATGTAGTTAATGACGGGCTGCTAATTGAAAAGGAAAAGGAGGGAAGGATGGAGCTGTGATAGGAGTGAAAGTGTAGGAGAGAGGTTTGATTAAAGAAGCGTTCAAGAACAGAGAGGGACTTTTTAAACTTTAGTGTCTGAAGCTGAAGGATGTGGTGACACCAAACGACTCAAAGTTCAGGTTTATCTGTAGACTGATCCGGTTTGAAGCTGGTTTCTGCTTCTGTGTGATCTTTGTGGGTGATCTCATTCGGTTCGTGGTCTCACTGTTTAAATTAACACCCTAATGATGTCAGCTCGCCCTCACAGCTGCAGGTTTCGGTCTCTGTGCAGCAAACAGAGTTAGTGAGGCCCTGCAGGAGTCTGTGAGTCAGATCGAACTGCATCACTTTGTGTGAACTCTGGACTGTGGGGTTTGTCTTTGTCTCACCTGAAACTCTCATGTCCTCAGAACAAAGATGCTCCTGGTGATCAGTTTCTCCTGGAGCAAATATACCTGCATAAATGAGACTGCTTAGAAAAGTGATGAATGAAAAAGAGACAAAAACAGTTTTATTATTTTATATATGAGGGTCAAGACGAGCTAGAGATTTGTATCCACGAGGTCCTCATTGGGGTACTTTTTAAGGATAGCTGATACTTGACTGGTTTCAGTCTCCTACCATAGATTGTTAACAGACTTCTTACCAACATCAATGCAAAAATGAACACTGATATTGATTTTAAGAATTATGAAATCATTGATAAATCTGTCTGAGGCAAAGCAAGTCCACAAAAAGAGTAAAGGGCCCCAAGACGGAGCCCTGCGGTACTCCACATAACAGTGGATACGAGGAGAACTAGTCCAGTCCTGTTTCTGAGACTCTAGCCAGATTACAGAGGGTCTCAATCAGGAGGAGGTGAGGACATCTAACGCTGAGTGTCACCTGCATCAGCAGCTGTTAGACCACTTTTACCCCCAATTTCCACCGCATCCGGAACGGCTACGAAAAGGCTGTATGCACCAATCGCAGCTGATCGTAACCATTCAAGTTAACGTGTCAATTTCCACCAACTTCTTTCCGTTCCTCTGCGGATCGGGACGCCATGCTGGATAAATTCAGCAAAGATTTACCCGTGCTGGAAAGGAAGTCGGACACAGACACAAAATAAAACATCCGGCTTCTTTTCAAAACAAAACACTCCGTGTTTCAGGAGGATTGTGTTTCACACTATGCAAACTGACGGAGACGAACAAGTAAAAGGTTTTTAGACAGAATTTCATCAAAAATTGCAACCCTTCCGGATTGGAGCCGTTCTGGATGTGGTGAAAATTGGGGGTTAGAAACCTAGAGGGGTGTGTTAGAAACCCTGACTGGACTTAATCATAGATATTCAGACAAACACAACAGTTCATGACTGTCTACAATTTTCTCTAACATGAGTGAAAGTTTAAATATAGTGTTAAAAAAAGAAAGGATGGTTTGTGCTTTAATCTGTGTTATTCTGACTTTCCTGAATACTGCTGTCAGTGTAAATATGATTTAAAGTTAGAACTCTGTATGAGTGATTTTTGGAACATTAATGAGGTTTTTGTTTGTTTCCAGATTCCCCAGAACCTCCCCTGTTCAGTCACTTTACAGCCCGGCCCAGAGGACACTGGGAAGGTAACGCACACAAACACACATTTAAGGCCTTGTTGTGTAATACAATAACCTACTGTGTATATCGACATTTGATTTTTAATATCACAATTCAAGAAATTTGGATCCCAGCAAAAAAAAGAGAGATTCACAAAATATAGAAAATGTTTTTTTTATATAAACTACTAGAGATCCAACAATGGAATTCCGTTTAAGAGTTTAAAATAAGGAATAGACACCCAACGCTTAAAATATTCTACATAAAACAGGATTGCTGTCTGGATGCCCTTTCAGTATAAGACGTAAAATTGCACCATTCGTATTTTAAAACTTAAAAATAGCGCCCTCTGGAGGCCCTTCAGTGGATTTAATGTGAAAAAAATTTCGATGCTGTTTAGTACACAAACAGAGTAATCAGAGTTGTTTGTATGCCTTTCCCATATTTAAAAGCTTTTAAAAAGTGGTTTCTGAGTGCTCTTCCAGGATTTTAAATATTACAAGATGTGTATTTGACTTTATTCCAGTCGTTAAACATGAAAAGTATCTTTTATAAAACATAAAAACTCATACCGACATGTTTCCCTCTCTGTATGGGAAACATAAAGTGCTCCAGTCTCATTAAACATTATGTGTTTAGTTGACACACTACTCTAGAAAACCATTTAAGTGTTAATTCACTTAAATCTGTTAATTGATCTAGATTTAGATAATGTGAGACAGATAAAACTTATTTTTTTGTTAATTATGTGTAAATATTTTTATGTTAAAAATCAGCCCCACCAAAGTCTGCATATATTTAAACTGTGATGCAGGATTTAAGTGTTTTCTTCTCTCCTGCAGGCCTGCGGCGTCGACTTTGAGATCAGAGCTTTCTGCGCCAAGTCGATAGAGGAGAAGATTCACAAGAGGTGAGTTCACACGTGCAGAAGACTGGACGGAAACCAGATTTAATGTTTGACATTAATTCAGATTAAAGGGGACCTGCCATCAAAAATGTAATTTTGTGTGTTTTTGTGTCAGATAAGGTTCATATTATGTTCGTCTTATGTTGTAAATGTGAAAACAAACCGTTACGTCGTTTGCATTCTGTAAAGGTTTAAAATAAACAAACGGGTAAACCAGGCCAATTGAAAAAGCAGGTCCCTCTGACGTCACGCTGACCTTGCTCATTATTATTCACGAGCGCGTCCTCGGTGAGCCGCGCCCACTCTCTCGTTCTCGTACTCATTCACAGTCAACATCACTCTCCAGCCAGAACAAGACCCAGCTACCACTGTATCAGCTATGGGTCTCTTCCAAATGACTGATGTTTCCTTCGGTTAAAGCTGGGCAGAATGAATGAGAAAACACCCCTGGAGATCTCCGGCTTCTTCTTCAACTTCCACCTCCTCTTTGGACTCGGGGTCTAAAATATATGGTTTAATACCTGCCATTTTTAGCCTTTAGCATAAGGTGACTAGACGTCCCCGATTTCCGGGGATAGTCCCCGAATTGGATGATCTGTACCCGGCAAAAGCTGTCCCCGAAAATGTCCCTGATTTAAGCGTTTCATGAATGAGAGCAAAAATGTTGCGTGTGGGCTCGAACAACGGTTATTACAGTAGCCGAATGGGTAGGGAGCACAAGTAAGCAGTCCTGAACAACAGTTCTTACGGGGGTTATTACAAGGGGCATGCGCTGCTACTGAATAGTACCGAGATGTTGTCTGTGATCACCCAGCCCCTGCAGCCCCTTCACCCTCCCCGCCACCGCCGCACCAAATATCCCTGGATATCATTACAGACATCTGGGCACCTTACTTTAGCACACATTAGCAAGATGGAGAAACCGAAATACGAACCTCCACTGCTGAGCCAATCAGAGCATAGCAGGCTTCACAGCAGCGATCCAATCAGAGCAAAGCTCATTACCATAAATGTTAATGAACCAAAATCAGTTGGTTTTCCTGTAAGGTTTTTTAGGCATACTAAAACAAACCAACAAATAACTTTTCAGCTAAAATTATGTTGCAAACATGATCAGAGGACATCAAGGATTATGAAAAAAAGATAAAAATGGGTATGAAATGTTGATGGCAGGTCCCCTTTAGAACTGCTTTTTGGACCTGATGGTTTTATGTATGAAAACGTAGGAACTCGGTGCGTCTGGTGATCAGGAAGGTTCAGTACGCTCCAGAGAAACCGGGTCCTCAGCCCATGGTGGAGACGACCAGAAACTTCCTGATGTCTGACAGATCCCTACACCTGGAGGCCTCCCTGGACAAGGAGGTAGAAACACATACAACCAGAAAATTAAAGTTGATCGAAGGTTAAATGTGTCCTGTAAATGATCCATTCTCAAATAAATCCATTTTTCTCCCATCGTACATTGTGTGTAGTTGTATTATCACGGAGAGCCCATCAGCGTCAACGTTCACGTCACCAACAACTCCACCAAGACGGTCAAGAGAGTCAAGATCTCAGGTGAACTTCCCTCCTCTGCTCCTCAATCCTCTCTCGTCTTTTCGGAAATAAGAAATCCTGAATCTAAACTTTGTCTTTTTGTCTCTGCAGTGCGTCAGTATGCAGATATCTGTCTCTTCAGTACTGCTCAGTACAAATGTCCAGTGGCCCAGCTGGAGGCAGAGTAAGTCCCAGTTTGATGTCCCAGTAAAATCTCCTCGAAGACCTTTTGTTTACCCGTGTAATCTGAGGGTTTGACCCAGTCTGAAGCAGAAAATACTGTTTCAAATCAGCGTGATATCACCTCAGTATAAGGAATCCTGTTTTTAATCCTGTTCAGTTTAATTGACAGTAGCGTCATGTTTCCATAGCGACCAGGTGTCGTCCAGCTCCACCTTCTGTAAGGTTTACACCCTGACCCCGACGCTGGACAAGAACCGAGAGAAGAGAGGCCTCGCTCTGGACGGGAAACTCAAACACGAAGACACCAACCTGGCCTCCTCCACCATGTAAACACACACACACACACACACACACACACACACACACACACACACACACACACACACACACACACACACACACACACACACACACACACACACACACACACACACACAAACGCTGTACAGGTGTGTAGTATAGGTGTGCAGTGGGGCTCTACTTTGTGTTACAGAGTGAAGGACGTCACCAACAAGGAGGTCTTGGGGATCCTGGTGTCCTACAGAGTCAAAGTGAAGTTGGTGGTGTCACGTGGAGCGTAAGATACTCACACACATGCACGCACACACACTCACACACACTCACACACAGACACACTGTTTCTTGGACATGCTAACTTTGACCGTAAAGTAAATCCTGATCCTGACCATCAGTGACTCCTTGTTGCTGCAGCTCAGCTTCTTGTTTCACTCTTGTTGTCGGTGTCAGTTGCCGTGGTAACAGTCTGCTTGTGTTGTTGCCGTAGGAGCTCCTCACTCTGCTTGCTTCCACTGTAGGTTGTGAACGTGTTGTGAACGTGTTGCCTCCTGCTTTTCATTTCACCTCCCTCCTTTTCTGTTTGTGTGGCTTTTTGTTCGCCTCCCTCCTCCTCCCTCCTCTGCCTCCTCCGCTCTGTGCCTCCCCCTCCTCCTCTCCTCTCCCCCCTGCAGGCTGCTGAGAGGCGTGATGGAGAGGTAAATGTGTGTGAACTGAAGCTGACAGCACACGTGAAGCATCAGAACACTGAAAATGTCTGCCACAGCTTTTAACTCTTTTAAGCAAATTTAACAAACATTAATCCGGTTTAAGAGTATCTCCTCTGATATTGAGCATCTATAACTTGTGAAGCAGATTACAAAGTACTTAAATGAAATTACTATTAATTTAACTTATTTAGACCATTTTTAATATTTTAGAAGCTTTCAGTTGTTATGATACTTTTAAGTGTTTTTAAAATGAGTAAAAAAAATTAAACCTGTAATAATTTTAGTGACACTTAGGTTTGTTTTAGTTGATTTCATGATGTTTTCAAGATTAAAAAAGTACATTCTAAACCAGTGAGAAAAAAAAATTTATGTTTCCTTATTTATTCAGTTTCAAACCATTTTAACAAAAGATAATTTAGAAAACAAGCTGTTTTATTTACCTATTTGATTTTAAGCTTAAGTAGATAAAAGCACATGAATAAGCAAAGTGCCATTTTATTGTTTCATTAGGATTTATTAACAGTTAAAACTTTATTCAGAGATTTAAAATCTTTTAAAATGGAAAAAAAACAAAAAAAAAACATTAACAGACTTGTGTAAAGTTTAGTTTGAACAGGTAAAAACTCATTTTAACTAGTCCTTAATCTGTTTCTACATTTTAGACTGAACTTTTATTCCCAACTTTAAAAATTTGATTTAAGTTTGTTTGAGTAAATAAATAAACTTTATTAATTTTAAGTGTCAGTCTACTCTCTGATTCATATTCAAACCTCTTTTAAACCTCCTTTAAACCTCTTTTAACAACAGATAAACAGCTTTAGCTGTTTGTGGGAGGGTTTAACTATTTCAAAGAGTTTTAAACACAGAAATTCAAATAGTATGCATTGCTCTTGGGTTGAATCAAATTTTAATTTTAGAAACTTTTAAACTTGAGTCAAACAAGTTTAATAGTTAAGTCAACTATAAAAAAAAAACAGATAAATAAAAAAACATTTAAAATCTGTTTTCAAAGACTGGTTGCTTACTTTCAAACATTAATGAATATTATTTTATTAGTGTTCTAAATAAATACACATCAATTAAAAATAAAAACATAAATTCAAATCAGTATAAAATGTTCTGGAGTTGAAGCAAGAAACTTTTTAAAACATGAATCAAACAAATTCAATAGTTAAGTCAACTATTAAAACACAAATAAATAAAATAAAATCAATTTTCAAAGACTGCTTACTTTCAAACATTAATGAATTTTTATCAGTGTTTTGAGATTTTAACCAGATACAATGAAGTTCTGTTGTAGTTTTAAGTATTAAAAAAGCTTAAAACTACATCTAACACATATAGCTACTTTGAAATAGTTTAAAAGAAGACTGCATTGTTAAAAACACGTTTTTAAGAGTGTTACAACCAATGAGAACGAGGAATAGAGCAGCTGTAACTGATTTTAATGATAAACCTGATTAAAGATAAAAACAAACGTAATCTGTTTTAAATGTTTGTAATTCCATTTTAGCTGTTGGTTAACTTTTTTAAGTTTACTTTTCTGCTGCAGTAACCTTACAGTCGTATTTTACTGTACTCTCAGTCTTAATGTGTGGTGGTCTGAAGGCTGACATCCCCTGTGTGTGTCTGTGTGTGTGTGTCTGTGTGTTTCAGAGACGTGTCGGTGGAGCTGCCCTTCATCTTAATGCATCCTAAACCTGTGGAGCCGCCCGTGTCCCGCCCACAGTCAGGTGAGTCCTCACAGGTCCTCACAGATCACCTGTGGATGTGTGACGTTTGTTTGTCAATCAAAACGACAACAACCTGAAACACTGTTGAGTCCAAAGACACACACACACACACACACACACACACACACACACACACACACACACACACACACGTACACTCCGCTGCAGCAACTGTTATATAACACTCCATTCTTGTCCCTTCTTCATGCACTGAATTTCCATGGAGACAAGATTCAGTTTCCATGGCAACAATTGTATGACATACTAACGTGTGTGTATGTGTGTTACAGCTGTGCCAGAGATGGACCCCCCCATCGACACCAATTTGATAGAATTCGACACAAAGTGAGTATCAAACACTCGGTCGAGTTTATCAAATGAAAAGAAATGTTTATATTATTTTTATCGTAATTTAAAGGAACAGTTCACATCTTCACCCGACAACAAAAGCACACTGTCGGAAAAAAAGAGCACTGAGAGAGAAATGTAGGTCATTTCACCCACTCCTTCTCTGTAGTGAGTAGTGCCTCCAGAAAAACAAAAATCCTGCCAAGCTGTTTTTAATCTGGTCCATGAAAACTCAGACTGACTGAACGTTATGATACATCGTTATCATCATACTTTATACAGAAGTGTCTCAAAATCTGATTACTGTGAAAAATTAACTGAGCTGAGTAGAAGAGGATGTGGCATCCATGATGTCCACATTTTCAGTGTCCAGGATTTCAAAACGCAGTGTCCCTAAATTCCAAAACAAATGTCAGATTTTATGGCGCCCACAATTTCCCCCAAACAAAATCAAATCATGCAGCATTCATGATTTCCAAAAAGAATATAAGATTTTGATCCATCAGACCTCAGGACAGTTTTCCTCCTCCCCTCAGTCCACCTTCAATGGGCTCAGGTGCACGGAAGCTTGGTTCAGTTTTTAACCTCATTAGCAGATACAATGATGGATGAGTGTTGGGCGGTATAACGGTAAACTGTGTGATGGTATAAAGGTGTCTACCGGTACAAAGGTTTCTCTAAAGTTTATACTGGAGAGAGAGAGAGCAGATGTCTGCTGCATCTCTCTGAGTCAGTGTGTAGTCATCTGCGCTCACTAACAGGAAAGCCGGAGCGCGTCCGTTTGGGTGCGTTTCCGTATATTTACCAGCGTGTCGTGCAGAGTTTGTTCTCTCTGTTTGATTGGTAATCACTAGCGTGTCCAGCAGTCTTCTTGGCATAGTTTCGATGAAGAAGAAACAACTTCACTGGTGGTGGTCAGGGCGGACGCAGAGATTAGTGGCAGTACCGAGCAAACGGAGGCAGCCCGACCCAGACAACATGAGGAAGAGGAGGAGGGACTTGTTCTGAAAAAGGACGCGACTCGGGACATCAGTTGTCTGGAGATTCTTCGGATTTAGAAAATCCGACAATGACCAAAAAACAATACTATACAAAGAGTTAATGTGTCAATTTCCACGACTTCTTTCCGTTCCTCTGCGGATCGCCAGACTCCGCAGCTGCTCGCAAGAGTTCTATTTTTCCAGACGCCAGATCATGCCGGATAAATTCAGCACAGATTAACCCGTGCTGGAAAGGAAGTCGGGCACAGACACAGAATAAAACATCCGGCCTCTTTTCAAAATAAAATGCTCCGTGTTTCAGGAGGATCGTATTTCACACCATGCAAACCTGGGCGGAGATGAACAAGTAAAAGGTTTTTAGACGTCATTTCACCCCGATGACACCATGGATGAGGAGATGCTGATTCTAGAAGTCTAGAAGTAGATTTCCTCCTCTGGAAGTACGCAATCTATATGGTTATGTGGCTGTCTTTACAGAGACGACTCGTTATCGCATGATTGCACGTGAATCCGCGGGTTCTTGTGAGTTGTAATGATTCCCGCTGTCCATAATCCGTCACGAAGTTCGCCTCACAAACGGAGCTGTTCCGGACACGATGGAAATTCAGGGTTAGCTCACGCGGTTTCTCACAGAGTGGTGAACCTGTTTTGAAGCCTGTGTGTATTTAGTCCAGAAGTTTTGCGTTGAATTTTTTGTATTTCTGTCTCAGCAGCATTTCCCAGGACGACGACTTTGTCTTCGAAGACTTTGCCCGCCTGCGACTCAAAGGCGCTGTGGACGACAAAGACGAGGACTGCTAGGAGCTCGCCAACCTCTTCATATGCTCGCTTCAAGACCACAGCACACACACACACACACAAACACAAACACACACACACACACTTACACACACATTGTTCACGTTACATTCCCCGGTGGAGGGGGTGGATGAGGGTATGTTGGACGGATACCTTGCGAGGGCGTCGGTGGTGTTCTTCCTCTCTTGCTTTAGTCATTCGTCATGCCGCTGCCATACTTTGCCGTCGTCTTCTCCATCCGTCTCTCTGTTTCTCTTTTTGCTGAAAAAACTTGTTAAATGTGGAGGACAGATTTCCGAGAGAAGGTCATGTGAAGGAAAATCTTATCAGCTGAAACGAATGAAAAATAAAAAAAAAGACGAGGAGGAAGCTGAAGAGTCTTTTATTTTGAAATCCTTTTTGAATGTCGATCACCGTCTTGTAAAAACAGAATATATATTTGAAACATAGAAAAATAATCTTCTACGAGCTGTCAGGTCTGTTCAGTGGTGATCTACGACTTTTTTTTTTTCTTTGAGGTAACACTGTTGACGCTTTTTCATCGAGGCTGCGAGGGGAGGACACACACACGAGAAAAACACAAACACACACCATAGTCTTACACCGACGACTCGATTTCACCAGCATCCACTCGCTGCCATTGTCGCACTCAGTCGTCCACTTTCTAAACGGTTTTTCACTTTAATCAGCTGCGAGGTTTCGGATTTTCTTCATCTGTTTTTTTTTCTTCTCTGAGAACTTCTCCAGCGTGATCGAGTTGTTTGAGTTCGTTAAAAAGTTAAACGGTTACGTCTGACATTTCACGCCGAACAAACAGACGCTTCAGTTCAGTCCGTGTTTTAAACACTTTACGTCTCTGGTCTGAAGAAACAACCTTTCCCAACAATTATCAACAGTTAAGGATGAAACAGGTGGAGTTATTTTGTCAAAATCAGCAAAAACACAATCATTACTACTTTCTCCACAGGGGGCGCCAAAGTCAACACAGAAAGTTCCTCAAGGGAGCTTTTAACTGTTAGCAAATGTAACATCAGTCAGTACGATTACTGATGTTAGTTTGACTGAAACTGGATTTTTAAAAACATGTTAACAAGTGAATCCGACTGAAATCGCACAACTTAAGTTAAATGTGAATGAGTGGAGTAAATAAGCTGATATATCAATGACTGGTTGAAATCTGGGAAAAAAATGGAAAAAAAATATATTTTTATTTTCACCAGCAAAAAGTAAAAAAAATAGGTGATTCACTTTAATGAAAAACTGCTGAAGAATTTCTTTTAAAAATGTTTTAAAAGTCTCTCAAAGACGAGGATGTTTGTTGCAACTGTCGTCGAATTTTAAACTGTTGAAAGTGAAGTCAGGAAAAATGTCAGACTGAATTAAGTCCTGAACAACAAACTGTAAAGGTAGTAATATTGTTGAAATAAAAAATGCAGATTGTTTTAAGGTAGGATAAATCTATCTTTAGGTTTCTCATTTATTTGTTTTCAAATTTTATCGTCAAAGTCCAAAGTTTTTACGCTAGTCCAGGTTTAAAAGACATTAAAAGGCTTTTAAAAGTGACTCTTTTTTCCATTGACAGAAAACAACATAGCCTTAAGTTGTTTTTATTCCCTCTCCCGGTCTGAAATGATTCAAACTGCTTTTTGTCAGTTTTAGATTTACCGACTGATTCTTCACATTTTATTAAAGAAAAAAAAAAGATTAATTGTTTGCAAGTTAAGATGTTGCTTACCTCTTTTTAACATTTAAAAAAAAAAAAAATTTTAACAATAAGCTGAGTGTAACTTTAAAAATGAGGAACACTCTGATCACACTGGACTCGTTCTCACAAACTTCAACCTCGTGTCCGGCTTCGAGTCTTTGACATGTTTGGAGGATTTAAAATTATGACAATAAAACAGTTTTTTATTTTTTGTCTTTTTTTATCAGATACTCTATTATCTCATCAGCTCTTGTGTTTTTAAACAGATGCTGAACTCGTCGTGACTCAACTCTGTTGAAACCTTCACCTGTCGACTTTTAAAGGGAAACACTGGTGTGTTTTTAAGTTTCCAATCATCGCCTCACCTCGAGCAGACGCACAAACGCTTAAAAAAAAACGTGTTTTAAAGCATTTAGCATTCGTTTTTGTAGATTTGTAAACTTCATGGTGCCTTTTACGTCACTCTTTGTTGCCAATAAGACGATATCCATTTATGCCGCTCCCATGATATTTTTATTTTTTGTTATTGTTGTGGGAAACATAAAAAAATGTTTAAAAGTTAGATTATTTTGTTAAAATGGATTTTACCTCTAAAAGTGTTCAAGTCGTTTCAACCAAAGTTCAAAAAAGTTTCAGAATTTAGAAAAAAAGTTTGATTCTAAAGAAGTTCAAAATGTTTTCAGCCTGTTATGTAGCGAAGGTTTTTATCATTTCTCCCTTAAAAAAATTTTGGAATATTTTTCTTACCTGATCTAAACTCATTCATATGTCTAAAAGTGATTAAAAAAGAATCTAAATAATATTTCAGATTTTTTTATTTTTATTTTCCAAAGAAAACTGTAGTATCTCTTAATATTGCACATATTGTGTGACTTTCCTTTTTGTTTCTTGCGAAGCGTTTTCCTTTGAAACGGTTCAGTATTTGCCCGACAATAACATTTTTGCCTCAAGTAATCTTTTTTTTTTTTTTGTTACATTTTCTTTTTCCTGTAAGATATCAATGTTTCTTAGCATTTTACTAATAAGAATGTCTTCACACAAACGGTTTTCATCTTCACACAATTTGTGTTTTTTAGCCGTAAAATTAAAAAGTTTCATTGTTAAGAAAAAATCTAAACCCTCCATTTTTAATTGTTTTACTTTTCATTGTAAAAAAAACGACTTGTAAAGTATAAATCACCTAAAAACACTAAAATAGATCACAAGTTGTTGAGACTGGATCTTAGAATTACTTTTTCCTTTAATGTGAAAAAGTTTCTGATTTTTGAGAAATGTTGGTTTATTTCTCTTAAAATCAGTGAAAACTAAAAATACAATTTTCACCTTTTCTGATAAAAAGAAGCCACATTATTTGCAAAATAATCTTATGCTGAGAGTATTTCAAAAACCTTTAAAGGATTTTTTGTTTTTTAAATCTGAGTTTATCTTAAACTGTGGCTCCTTTCCTCCCTAAATGTTTGGTTTATCCTCACTGTTTGGCACTTTTTTGCAAAAATTTAGCTGTTTTTGAAACTTTTTCCAAACTCCAGATTTGTGAAGTGCCATGAGAAGCTCTTTAGCCAATGAAAACGTCTGACAAGGGTCGCGATGAGAGGAAAGTTGAAGGCACCAGTGTTTCTCCTCTGACAGGTGAAGGACCTCAGCAGCTCCGGTTTGATCCTCCTCTTCCTCATTTTCATTCTTTAATTCCGGGCTTCGTCCTTCTCATATCTTGATCGTGTTTTTTTCTCTCAAACCCTGTAAGAAAACGGCACTTTCACCAAACCCAAACGAACCCACAGAACTGCAGAAGCTTTTCCTCTTTTCGCTGATTTCAGGAGACAAAGACGAATGTTGATCTTTTTTGATGCTCGGCCGTTTAAAGAAATCGGCGGTTCTGTTCTCGTCGAGTTTTTAGACTTCTCATATTTTTATTTTCACCTTAAAACTGCCAAACTCCCCTCCCTGGTCCTGGGCTCCGTCGGTCACCCAGAAGGAACGAAGAAAAAGACGAAGAAGAGGAAGTGAACTCCGAGCATGTTTCAGACTCTTTGGTTTCTTTTTTTGGTTTCCAAGCAGTGCTGTGAATCGTACGAGCTGTGATTCTGTCCTTATTTTGTCGTGCATATGTGGGGTAACTTTGCTAAGTGTGAAAATATTTTGACAAGTGCCACGCCCCGGCCTGTGCGATGCTTACCATAATGTCTATAAAAAACAGGCAGTGATTTCTGCTGGTGGCACCGACACCAGAAAAGATAGTTATGATTATTATGCTTCTGATTATTATTATTAATATTATTATTATTATTATTATGGTGACTATTATTACTTCTACTGTATCATCATTGCGACCATGATTATTCTCATAATCATTTAAGAGTCTATTGTTTTGCCATGTATTTTTTATTTTGAGATTTTTATTTTAGTTTTCTTTTTATTATTAAAGGCAAAATGAACTAACAGACCCTGTGACTGTGTGCTGACTGTGTGAGGTAGAGTTTAACTGATCTTTTTTGGGTAAATCTGGATGATTTTTCTGATAAAAAGAACTAAACTTTAGAGAGGCAGTCAAACAATTTGCTCTGCAAGGTTGAGATGTTTGTCCAGACTGAGATTCTTGTTTGGATTTTTTTATTTAAACTACTAAAAAATACTACTACCAATAATAAACTACTACTTCTATTACTACTACTAATAATAATATACTACTAATACTAATACTAATGATAATAATAGTAATAATAATAAACTACTAATATTAATACTACTAATAATGATAAACTACTACTACTACTATTAATAATAATTAAACTACAACCCAGATTTGACTTGAATGACTTTTATTGTAAATCAGTGAAACATGAGAGCAGGTTTCCTCAGCTGACTGGTTGTTCTGGTCCTCTGCGGTTCCTCTCTGGTTAAATGAATGTCCTGGTAAACTTGAACTAACGTGATCTGGATCAGTTTGTGGGGTCTATGTTTGTCGGGTTATTTAAAAAAAAAAAAGGCAGCGTTGTTCAGTCTGGTCGTCATAGAGCGTCGTAGTCGTCCTCGTCTTCATGCTTCCTCTTCAGCGACTCTCCTCCGGCGTTCTGAGACACCATGTTGGTGGTGATGAGGATGTTCTTGGAGCCAATCAGAGACGGGTTGATGAGGACATTGGGGACGGCGGGCGTGGATGGCGTCGCTGGTGGAGGTTAGAAGAAGCAGCATGGGTTACAGCCACTGTCATTTTTATGATTGGTGAAACAGTGTCAGGGTTGAGATAAATGACACGGAGGTTCTTACTGGTTTTGGTGGTGGCCGTCTGAGAAGGTGGTGGGATCTGTACCGTGAACCTTTGACCTGTCACGGACACTGGAGTGCCAACTTTAGTGGTGATGGACTGAACAGATGGAGTCCCTGTGAAAGAAAACAACAAACTAAAATTGCAATTTTTTTCAACCCTAAGATGTATATTACAATATTAAAAAATAGAGGAATTTTCACCAGATGACCTGAATATCACTTTATGCTGAAATCTTGTTGACAGTTAACCTGCACCGATCTTACCTCTTTAGTAGAATGGCTTCTGTCTGTCTTAGCGATATTTTTAGCTTTCTTTTATTGAAGCAAGGCAGGTGTTTTGGTCGACATCATCCTTCTTGTAACCGAAATAATTCCAGATAACTGACTTTCCTTTTCTTTTTAGCAACAAGTCTTCAATTTCGGTGGTTTTCTCTTGTTCGTTTCTCATTTTGCAATCGTTGTTGTTACCAGTGTTGTGCCGGGAAACGCACGTCCGCCGAGAATTGCATCCACCTCGCAAAACATGCACCGCTTACAGTAGAGTGGTCCATGTAAATGTAAAATTTAAACCCCATACAATTCTTATTTGTGGGGCTTAACAGTGATGAGTTATGCTCCCAAAGTGATTCTCAGTGGGTATGCATTTCTCAGCACAACATCCGCAGCACCAGCGACTCACTCCATGTGCAGGGGCGTGGTTTCCTCCTACTGGAAAGTCGTGAAACTCTCTGATTTTGATTGACGGCTGGTAGGGTAGTCTGATAGGCTCTGTAATGTGACTATCCCGCACACGTACATAGCAATGACGATGCTCAAACGATATATTGTGCAGCCTTAGCGTTTATCTAATTTAAAACCAGATCTCACATGAATATTTAAACTTTTAGGAAACTGTTTTTATGGTATTTGTTTCTTCTTGGAAGCTCATCAGGATTTATCCTTAAGCGGTGAAGCATCTCTTGGTGGGACGGACACCTTTTCAGGCGGTCAGAGATGGCTGGAGTGATTAAAGATAAACGACCTCTAGCCAAGATTTCTTTGAGCCTGTGTTCAGGTCAAAGGCTAAAGAAATTAGTCAAAGTTAAAAAGATGTTTGGTGGCTAGTACTATGGCTGGGACCCTATATGTCCTGTTGATGAAGTTAGGCGCTGTTCTGAGCATTATTTGTGGCTATAGAGTGGCGTTTTGGTTAAGTGCGTGGCTCTCTGTGGTCGTTACTAAAGTTGGTATAAGTAGGGAAGCAAGCGGTCGGCAACATTCATCTCTTGAGGGGGTGTCTAACTCTGTGTTACCGTGTGTTTGACCATAAATTAATTTTATGCCAGAATATCCCTTTAACTGTGCTACATGATGACAGACTCACCAAGGGTTGGCGTGCTCGGCCTGCTGGAGACGGCGCCAACGCTGAGGCGTGGCACTGATATCCTACTTGCTGATGACAACACCTGGAATGAGAAAAAACAAACAAATCATGAAGTTACGTCAGGCCAAAAAACAAAGACAACGGTGAAATTTGAGTTGTTCTCACCTTCTTCTGCACAGATTTGAGTCTGTAGTTTGGCGCCGTCAGACAGTAGCGGTCCGGAGGAAGTCGTGGTCCGGTGTATGGTTTGATCAGAGGGAGTGGAGTCTGGTTCTTTTGTCGCGCCACCTCCAACAAAAACTGAAAATAAAGGAAGGAGGGTAAACGACAGAATCACAGGCACATGAACATCAGCTCAGAGGTGCTTCAAAACAGGGCGGAGGCTTACGTCTCGAGGAGGCGGGGAGGTAAACGACTGGTCCATACGACACTGAATCGCCAGTTTGATGTCATCAGCATCCACGGTGGACTTCTTGGCGTGTGTGGAGTAGATTTTGGCGTCCTCAATTATAGTTGTCACATATCCTGATTAAAGAAGCAGCAGCTGAGTGATTTGACGATCAAGCTTCTGTACAACAAGAACAAACTAGACAAAGATCATCGTGTACATGATTTAAAGGTGATGTGGTCTTACTGTAGGTGAACTCTAACATCTGGTTGATGACTCTGGGCTCGTACTCCGTGATGCCCATGTCCTTCAGGATCTGGATCATCACCTGAAACACACACAGGTAATCACGTTACAATGACATCAGGAGAAAGGGACATCATAATTTAATCACAGCCGTGATTTTTTACGACTATATTAAAAACCACGTTTTAAAGACGAAGCGGGTGTTCTTAAAAGTTACACAATAAAGGTGGGGTGGGCAGGAATCCGTTAAAGAAGCATCTTTTTTTGTGGTGTATGTACAAAAAAGCTTTTAATATCAGTCAATAGTTATTAGTTATTGATGACATTTGGGGTTATCGCTGAGTTTTGTTATGTCTGTGTAGTACTGTGTACACCTAAAATTTGTATTTCTTTTACTCTATTAATTTCAATACCTTCAATATTTACTGAAGCATCAATGTTTTTGCCTTCGTTACCCAACAGCATTATTATTATTGTTGTTATTTTTAATATTTAAGGTTAATTTTTACTTCTTTAATAACGACTCAAATCTATAACTCTGACAGCAGTACGTCATTTTAGACTGTTATTAAACTTCTAAAACCAGTACCAGTGAAATAACGGACTCATAACAGGTGATTAGCGTAGAGCGGAAGTACGGATTTAAACACGGTAGCTCGTCTCTCCACAACACCTCCGGATTATCCTCCCCTCTCTGGTGTAAATTTACGATGTTTTGGTGTCAAATACTCCAACCAAAAGAGCTCAAACGCCACCTAAAATTGACATAAATACATGTAAATTGGTTTGAAAAGTTAACATAGGTAAACTTCGCACCAAATAGGGAGTCAAACGCCGTGTTTACACTAGCTACCCGCTAAAAGCTAGGCTAATGTGTTAGCTAGCGGCTACTGTTTTGAACAGAGCCGCAATGCTAACTAACGTCTGCAGGTTTACAGAGGCGAACACAAATGCGTTTTATTGATATCAACCAACTCAGTTACACAGAGAGTAAACAAGATCGATTTATGCTGAAGTGAAACTCAGTCTTAAATAGATACAGTTGCGTTACCTGAGCATCTTTGGGGATGGTTTTCGGTGCAGACATTTTGATTTTACCCGCAGCGCCTCACCTCTTCTTCTACGGTTTGACTCAAACAAACAACAGACTATTCTCCGGCAGCGCCGCCTGCTGGTCAAAGTTTATATGCTGTCATACAAAAAAATTAAATCTTGATTGTGGCCTCAGCCTTGACAACTCACGCAAAGCAACTCAACAGTTAGCCCTTGCGTGCAAATAGCTGTGGAACAACTGTGGTTCATGATTAAGTCTTATTTTCTCAAAGAAAATCTGACATTTCAATATGTCCAAGCATCCCGACTCATAGCCACGTTATTAAGGTCTGTAATAAACAAAACCGTTTGTAAATCTGTCAAAATTTCAGCGAGTTCAGAGTATTTTTGATCATACAGATTACTGACCTCCTGTCAGCTACCATAGAGTTTACCTGAATGGTATACTGGAGTAAGATGGCCGCCGTTCAGGGACGCCGGTGACTCCATCACATAGAGTCATCTAGCTTTTCTTATATATATCTATGGTTTCAGTTACCAAGTCGGAAAAAAACAAAATCGGACGCGGAAAAAAATTGGCACAAGTTAGTTTAGCGATTGCCTTGTCCCAATATAAGGCGAGCGCTAAAATAACTTTCGTAGATGTAGCCATCTTGTTTCCACCACCAATTTTGCTTCTTTCTGACTTCGTAACTGAAACGTTGGTGACTCGAGTGTGACGTCATTTTCAGCTCCGACGTCTGACGTCCGAGGTAACCCGAACGCAGCATTACGCTGAACTGGACATGAACGCGTCCTGTGATTGGATAAACACCCGTAAGAATCTGAAAGGCGGTAATTTGCAAAATGTCGGACTAAACCCAGAAATCAGTTAGCTAACGATAGCTGTCTCTATATTTATCTGTACACAAACACGACCAGACAGACACGGCCTTTAGCATTAGCCTCCATGTCCATAGAAAAGCTGAAATCCACAGATAAACTGAACAACAGCTCCATTAAAGTCTTCTTGAGAAAAGACAAGAGGATTTTATTTTCAGATAAACAGGCCCTGTGGAGATCTGTGTTGGTGAGTACAAACTTTATATTTTTAATGGCGACAATTTATTGGACAAACTTTTTTGAGCTCACATAACCTACTTTTGATGGCCTTTTGTTGACTTATATCTTGAAATCATCTTTTATTTCTGAGTTATGACAGTATCTGTGATCTTAGTTTCCCACTCTTTACTGTGGATATGTACTTATTGTTTTTAAAAGTGTTGCTCGACTAGCCTATATTAAAGTGATGTAATGTGTAAGTGGGATTTTGATGGATTCTTGAGCCGTGGTGTCATATTGATGGTATTCTGAGGTGCTTTAATTTAGGTACTGAAGGCCTAGCCTCCTCGGACCCAGTAGTACACATTGAGTTTTTGCTTGTATCTCTCACACAATACATGCCTTTCTGTTAGGCCCTGATGTTCCTTAGAGAGGACAACCGCAGCTTTAAAATGATGTTACATGTGTGGGGATGTGGCCTTGGCAACTACTCTTTCAATGACTTTTCAAGTTGGCTGGTATCCCGATAAGCACATTTTATGGAGGACAGAAAGGTAAGCGTGATATTTACTAAATACTGTATTGTTGGTGTATATTTAAAATGGATTATTCTATATTTTCTATGATATTCATTTAATTAAATAATTCATTCATTAAAATTTTCTATAAACTTATTTCACCTCCTGTTTTACCACTACTTCAGTGATGCAAAGCTGCAGTTTTGTAGGACGGTAATGTTAGACAGCCTGCAGAGGGCGCTGCAGGGAAATAAATCACATTAGTGCTGAACAGACCCCTGTGTCTTGGATCAGGGTCTGCTGTTTCCTTTGGTCCAAGACTTAAGTGTTTTGGATCATAAAATTTGAAACATTCCTCTAACAAGTTCAGTACACACAAACTTTCATCTTTAAGATAAGATAAGATGTTTCTTTAATTGTCCCACAGGAGGAAATTCCAAATTTACAGCAGCATAGTACAGACTTTACCTCAGTTGGGTTGTATTATTTTCTCCACTTCCTTGAAACCAGAGCTGTGCAGTAGCGATGCGCGCATTCGGCCGCGGAGTGGCCGAGAGTCCCTGTGATGACGCTCGGCTCAAACAGCGTATCCCCCCGGGTGAGCTACCCAATCCCTGAACGCCCATAGGCTGTATCAGGTGTCAATCATAGAGAACATGAACCCCCTAATAACTTTTAAAAATGGAGCTGTACAGAAAAAAAGAGGACTTGAGCACAAACCAGTCTTACAACAACTACATGTCAACATCACAAGCAGGGGGGAGAAAAAATTATGTTCTGTGTAATAAATTTCTAAAGTTTGTCCACAGCTCCATAAGCCTTGCTGGCAGAGGCGGCATTTATGACCTGTACTGCAGCCCACCATCAGAGGGTGCTGTTCTCGGAGTGGCTTCACCCAGCGAGGAGGCAGACTCTGTCCATTCTATATACAGTCTATGTATGGGACTGAGTGGGAAAGGGTGCAAAATAATAGATGGAATGGAACCAATGAAAGAAGTGGAATAGAATGGCGTTAATGAAAATGAATGTGACTGAGTAAAATGAAACAAATTTAAGCGGAATAGAACTGAATTAATGGAGTTAAATGAATAGAAGGATACCAGTGGAAAGGAATAGAACACAGTTAATTTAATCGACTGTATAAGATAAACTGTAATAGAACCAACAGTACAGAGTGGAATAAAGTTGATCAAACTGGAATGAAATGAAATAGAGTAGACGGAATGGGTTCAGCTGTAATAAACTGAATTAAATGGACTGAATAGAAGGAATAAAAAATCCTTATAGTAACACTGACCTCAAAACAACAGAAGTTTGTGTCTAGAGTTGAAATAAAAAACTTTTATTACATTCTTACAGAAGAGTTTTAAAGATGTGGGTCAAACCCAGTCCTGATGAGACCTGTAGTTCCGATAGTCCTTATCCAGGTTTTCAGGATCGAGGTGATCTCTATGTCCTGACACACACACGCACACACACACACACACACACACACACACACACACACACACACACGCACACACACACACACACACACAGACAGACAGACAGACACACAGGTGATTCCTCTGTCTTCAAGGAGACAAAATTGCTGCTGACCTCTAAGTGACCTCAGCACACTTCACACTTCCTCTGTGTGTGTGTGTGTGTGTGTGTGAGTTCAAACCTTTGACTTCTTAAATTCACTGTTTCTCTCTGTTCACAAAACTTCTCTCAGACCTTTAATATTCAAAACTTCAGTAACATCACTTTAGTGTTAAAAGTGGATGAATTCATTTATTTTTATTCAACAGTTATTTGTGGCTGTCAGAAAACCATTCAGAATCAATATTTTAGATTTGGAGAGGTGGAGAAAATATTTACAGATGAATCACTTTTTGAGTGTTTTAAAAAGTTCTTGTATCACAAAACTTATTAAAGTTTACTGTTCTAAATTTAATGATACAGGAACTTTTCAAAAAGTATATAAGTGAATGAAAATGTAATTTGCAGATATTTTGACATGTTTCTTTGAAAACTGAGCCCCCAATTGTCATAACTAAAATGAGTTTAAGACATTTGTTATATTCACTTTTTCAAATGATAGGAGAATAATGAACTTTTTCATGGTTTTAGTAATTCACCTGTATTTAAAAAGATAATAATAACAAAAAAAGTTTCTATTAATTTAAATTTATAAATACAAAGAAATTGAGCACAAATACTCATAAGTATGCAGTTTAAAGGTTTTAGTCAACACTCATATTTTAGTTTTGTCTTTTAAATATTATTTAAAAAACGTTCTTAAGCTTCTGTTTTAAATCTGAGCTCAATCAAAAATGAAACAAATTCACTTTACTCGTCTGATAATGTGTATTTTATTAAAAGAGTGGGAAAAGGTTTTTGCAGAGAGTGAAAAAAAAATCTCTAAAATGAAACAAACAAACAAAAAATAAAAACAAAACAGTAAAATAATAATAAAAATCACAGTTTAAGTTAGAACAATGAACTAAAAATGGATTCTTACATTCACACAATGTTATTAACTCTTTGTTTTCTTAACTTAATTAATTGTAGATGTCCATGTAATCTAAACAAAACGTTTTAGAGACTTTTTTTTATCTTTCAAGGTTTTAGTGACCTTAAAATAATCATAACCATGCATGTTTCATAGGTGATTTTCATATATAGTTTTGTCACATCATATCCAGACATCATAGCAACTATAATAATAATAATAATAACAATAATAATAATAATAAATTTTTGTATTGTTGTTATTATTATTCTTTTTTAGTATTTTTTTTTATTATTGTTGTTATTTATCATGGAGTGTAAAGTAAAATTTTAAGATTTACAGATTGTTTAAAAATTTTAAAAAACATCCTAGTAAAAAAATAACAACTGCTGAAGTTTCGTGTGATTCGGTGCAAATGTAAAAAGCGTCGGCCGTCTCTCTGACTGTCAGCCTTCCTCTAATTTGTCAGTTTGAGTTCTTCCTTTGATGGAGGCTTTGAAATGCAGCAGCGGACTGTCATGCAAATGAAGAAGGAGAGAGAGAGGGACCACAGGCCGGGATGAGGAGGGGGGGACGACGGGTAGGATGGACAAGATTAAAATGTAGGGGAGAGTGGGGTAAGAAATTGATCATGTGACCAAATATTTAGGAGATGAGCATCAATTCATGGAGTCTGTGAAGGTTAGAAGCACAAGGGTGAAGGAGTTAGACATTTAGTTTGTCTTAAGTTTGATTAGAATTGTGTTCAGACCAAATAAGATCATTTTAAATTAGTTTTATTCATCAATCGGGGTATCTATGAGCTATTTACCCCACACACGGGGTAAGTTGACCATAGGAGACCACTTTTTTTTGACATGCTATATTATCAAGAGAGTTCTGTTTACACTCAGTCTGTTGGTTTGCAGGGATGAACAACATCCTGAAATATCTGCAGATACACTAGTTAAAGACAAAACTATGATTGACTTGATGTAGTGATCCGAAATATGAAAAATGGCTCACCTTACCCCACTCTCCCCTACTATATGTTTGATTCAGAAGATTATAACAGGTGGTTTATGTTTGTGATGGAGAAGAGGAGGATGGAGGAGGGCAGAGAGTGAGAGAGAGAGAGGGGAGAGAGAGAGAAAGAAAGAGAGAGATAGAGAGAGAGAGAGAGGAGGGGGGTGGTGTTGGCTGTGGGGGAGATAAGAGCAATAAAACGTCCCATGTGACTGGCGGTTTTTAACGTGGAGCTGATGGAGAAACTCACGTACACACTCACACACACCGTCAGAGGACAGGCAGGTGGAGGTGTGGACAGGTAGACTAAGATAGAGAGAGAGAGCAGAGTTTACCTGCAGCTCAGGTGAGAGAGGGCAGAGGCAGGCTGGAGCCGCAGAGAGTAGAGGGAGCCCCCTCACCTGGAAACATGTACGTCAGTTACCTGCAGCTGGACAAGGACCCCGCCATGTACCCGCACCAGACCTCCGTCACCCGGCACCCGGGTATCAGCCTCAGCCCGCAGAACTTCGTCCCCGCCCCGCCGCAGTACTCAGACTTCGCCGGGTACCACCACCATCACCCGGGCCTCAACAACGACCTGCACCCGGCTCAGCAGGCCGGACCGGGCGGCGGCGGCTGGAGCCCGGCGTACCCGCCTCCTCCGCCCGCCCGGGATGAATGGTCCTCGCATCATTACGCAGCTGCTGCCGCGGCCGCCGCAGCCGGTGGAGTCCCCACCGCCTCCACTGTACCCGGAGCGGTGGGTCCCACACTCGGGTTCAGCCCCCCGGAGTTTCCCGGACAGCCGCCCGCGCTGCTGCCCGCTTCCCTCAACGCGTCTGCGGGGCAACTGTCCCCCGGATCCCCACAGAGGAGGAACCCGTACGACTGGATCCGACGCAGCTCCGCACCGCCCACCAACCCGAGTAAGACACTTGTTACCTGCTATTAATCCATCATAATTGAGACTGAATTCACCCGTTTTAGACTCAGAAATCAGCCCTATTTACCAGAATAAAACACCTGATAATGTTCCCACAGGTGTCACCTCTTCAGGTCTGTTTTATAGACACTTATAGATAAATATATTTAGACTATTTATAATGAAAAAAAATCTGATAATGAACCGTAACACAGACAGAGCTGTGTCATATTTCATTATTCAGCTGAAATCAGGTGAAATGTTACCTCTGTACTCAGTCTAATAACATAAGAAAGACTTCATTTGTATTACTAAAACAGGAATTAATCATTTTGGCTCTATTAAACCTTCATTGGGGTTATTATTATGTGAGGCATTGGTGGATTGAGACTTAAATTTTCATTTGTACCTCTCAAAACAAGAAGTTTTACAGTCTAGGTCAAAAATAATGGGATAAATAATAATAGGCCTATAACACAAAAAATAACAGTAGGATATTGTTTGTCTCAATTTTAATTATAGCAATTATAATCAGAATCAGAAAAACTTGATTAATAAACTGCTTTTATCACAGTATTCCAGTGCAAATACAGTAAAAAGAGGTGATAAATAATAGATAAAATAAGTAAAAATAAAGAGATAAATACATAAAAAAGCAAAAATAAAGAGATAAGTAGATAAAATAAGTAAAATCAGAAAAAAATAGAGACAAATAGATAAAATAAGTGAAACTAAAGAGATAAAATAAGTGAAATAAGGAAAAAATAAAGAGACAAATAGATAAAATAAGTGAAATAAAGAGACAAAATAATTAAAATAAGTAAAAATAAAGAGATAATATACAAGTATTTACACTATAAACAAAACAAATAGTAACATTGTATGCATAGAGAAACTATTAGGCTTTAAAACAGGAGGACTCTGATTATATCATCAGATTTAGTTTATAATCACCACTAAAACTTTTATTACTTTAAACTGTTTTGTATTTAGCCCATATCTTGACTTTATTTTCTCCCTCCGTGAATCTTGTCTCTCAGAGTTTGGATGTTTTTCACAAACAGGGGTCCTAATTTGTTCTCCTCAATCTGAAGCCTCTTCTTCCACCTGCTCTCATTCACTTTAAAATCGATCAAATCAAAAGTTAAATGTTAAATATTCAGGCTGACGGAGGAGGAGGTGGAAAGTTCCCACGCGTCTCTCTCTCTCTCTCTCGGGGGGGATCAAACGTGTGAAGCGGGCCTCCTCGCGGTTTGAAGCCGTTGTGGTGTAAATGTGCCGCCGGTGCCTCTCGATGATGTGACTCCGGGCGGCTCGGCTGCTTCTTTGTGCTCCTGCTTGTTTGTGGGCGGAGAAAACACGAGTTTACAGACAGACAGGGTTCCACTTTGAAGTGTGAAGTGTGACCGAGAGAGTGACACCACCGCTCTGATCCTCCTAACGAGCTCACCTGGACTCATCTCACCTGGACTCATGAAGCTAAAGGGGTTAGAGAAGTAGGGGAGACCGGGGTCATTGTAACGTGTCTGCAGAAGACAGTGTTCAGTTCTTGGGACTCTGCCCACTTCCTTTTAAGGATTTGACATTTATTTTAAAGATAAATAAGCGCCAATAGTCGCACATTTAGATATGAATCTAGATTTTATTAATTTTACAATTTTTTACTCATCTTTTTATGTATTGTCTGCCTACCCATAATATTTCGAGTTTATTCTACCAAATATCAACTTATATTATCCCAATATCATAGGGATTGTCCTCGCTTTTATACTCTTCATTCTTTGGTGATGATTTTGACCCCCTGAATGTAATAGTATGCGTCTTTAGAGCCAGATTAATGTGATATTTTGTGTGTTTTTCTCGTGTATTTTCATGTGCAATCTCATGCACATCATTAGTCATCGCACTTCTGTTTCATTCACTACAATGCTTGTCGCCTACAGGTCAAATAGTGCATTTCCGACTTCCGACAAGCTAATGTTAGCATAAACTGCGTTTTCAGGAGATGAAAACGTAACAAAGTGAAAACCCCCTCCAGAGTGGAAAATGTTGTAAACGCTCTGCTAGTCCAGCTTTCGTCTAAAGTACAAAAACGCTGAAAACAGTCAAACCTGTGACGTCCTGGCTCACGTCGGCTCACGCTGCGTGCTTCTAGGAAGTAGAACGGAAGTTGTTCTACGTATGTGTTGTTGGTCCATATGGGAGCACGGTCACACCGACACGCGCCACCCAGCGACCTGGCATGCACATTACAGTGTTTTCAACCACATTGCGTTTTTGTGTAAACACAGCATAAAAACTGAAAATGAAACGGCACTTCTCAGTTTTCTATGGAGACCGTTTCCGTCTAAAAGTGGCCTCTGTTTCACGTTTCCTCTTAGAACTCAGATAAAAATTCGACTAAATCAACTGACTTTTAATACGGGACTCTTGCGAAGCCTGTGGTATTTTTTAAACAGAAAATAAAATTCTTGAAATATTTTCATTTTCTTGAGGTTATTTTTGGGGGTTTTTTGCCTATAATTTAATAAAAGGGGCCGGTGACATAGACCAAATAATTTTTAATTGAATATTCTGCCATGAGGACTCTACAAATAGGTGCCAAACTGAGCTGAACTAGCACATTATTGTGTAATGTTCAATTTCATTTTTATTTATGAATTCAAAGCAGCTTATGGATGGCTTATTTGATTTGATTAATTCATGAGTCAAAAACAAAAGCAATGAAATACATGTTTACATATATAGAGATGATGCTGTGGTGTAGATTCAATGTAGAAGAAAAACAGACTGTGTTACAGTTGACCCCGGTCTCCTCTACTCGGCCAAAAGTACAACCTCACCCTGTTAAAAGTTTGTGATGAATGAAGCAGAATTGCACAGACTGATATTTGTCCTTCACTTAAATGTGTTTCTAGATGATCTTTAACCCAAATGTAGAAATTATAAAACTTTAAAAATCCCAAACTACAAACTAAAACAAACGCGTATTCATCCTCCTCTGAAACTAGTCCTACCAGAGGAGGTTTTGAAGTTTTAACTCATTGTTTTTTGTCTGAATCTATGTATAAATTCTTGTTTATCACTTTTATGAGCCCTCAGGTGTGAACTGAAACATCTCCTGTATTTACAGCGAACAGAGTTGGTTTAAGAAATGTGAAGTAACACCCGGACTCGGTTTTATGGCGTTTAAGTTATCGTCTCTGTGGCCTTGAGTACGGACTTCCCTGTTCTCGTTTCTGACTTCCGGTGAAGTTGTTCCAGTTAACCCTGACACGATGTGACAGAAAGACTGTTCAATTATTACCCCGACAGGAAAGCAGTGACTCATTTTGACAGTGATAGATATATGTTTTCTTTAGTCTACTTTTTTTTTTTTTTTTTTTTTTTTACCGAAGATGATTATGGCCACTAGAAATAAATCAGAAAATAAAATGAGGGCAGGTGTTTTTTTTTCTGACTTTTTCCTCAAAATTCCTCCTTTATTTTTTCTTTATTTTTTCCTTTTTCTCCACCTCCACTCCAGCTTCTCCTCATAAAGCAGTGTCTGATTTTACCAGCATCTTTGCTGACGCTCTCTCCACCTCCACCAAGCTTCTCCTTTTTTACACTGTGTCTAATTTTCACAGCGTCATATAGGCTGCGTTGTAAGGGTCTTTGCTGCTGCTCTCCCTGTCTTTGCTTTTCATGTGTGCACATGAAACGGAGGGGAAGTGCTTTTCCCACCTCTGGCTTTGGCGCCCAATATGAGAGCATCTACAGGGAGGAGGTTAAGCGCTCTGGTCTCGTCTCACTTCTTATGCAGCTTCTTACTAAGTGAATGTTTAATATACAGCGGTTTAGGTCAGCTTGATCCAGCAGAGGGCGCTCTCATCGTTACCTGACCATTGAAATGGCGATCTTGAACTCAGTAAATTGATATTTTCCAAAAAAGTCAAAGTGTCCTAAAGTGGATTGGTCTAACCCCCAATTTCCACCACATCAGTAACGGCGACGAAGAGGCCGTATCCGCCGATCGTCGCTGATCATAACCATTCGAGTTAATGTGTCAGTTTCCACCGGCTTCTTTCCGTCCCGCTGCGGATCGCAAGACTTCTATTTTTTCCGGACACTGGAGCATGCTGAATAAATTCATCACAGATTAACCTGTGCTGGAAAGCAAGTCGGGCACAGACACAAAATAAAACATCTGGCTTCTTTTCAAAATAAAACACTCACATTTTAATCTTTAATCTGTCTGATCCAGGTGAAGATCTGGTTCCACATCGTATTTCACACCACATAAACGGGCGTAGACAAACTAGTGAAAGGTTTACAGACAGCATTTCACCCCAATGTCACCATGGATGATTCTAGAAGTGGATTTCCTCCTCTGGAAGGACACAATCTACTGCTTATATGGTTAGCCTATGTGGCTAAAGACAACTTTTTATCGCGATTGAACATGAATCCGCGGGTTCATGTGAAGTCTTGAGATTCCTGCTGTCCGTAATCCGCTACGAAATTTGTCTCACAAACGGATCTGGTAGGAATTGGCGTACGGCAAAAACCGTCGCCATTCCGGATGCGGTGGAAATCCCAGGTTACTCTTCCTGCCTCAGGCTTTAGGCTTCTTTGCGGAGGAAGTCGTAACCAGGATGGAGATTATGAAAACCTGGAACATGGAGCTTGAAGATGAGATGGTTAAGGATGTTTGTCCGTCCAGCTGTGTTCAGAGTGCCTCCCTCTGTTCCTCTCAGACAGACTGAAGAGCTTTTTGATTTACGCTCCTTCATTAACGAGGTCTCCGCTCTTCCAGATTCAGCTGTTAATCTGAACCTGCTGATTTTTGCTTTCCGACAAATGAAGCAGAAACGACTCGGCTCAGACAGAAGCTGTCGGAGCTGAAACTAAAATGTTTGAGTCGTAAATCTTCCTGGTGAGTGTTTAGAGAGGAGGGACTCATCACTTATTTAACTGCTGTGTGTTTAGTGTTAATACTGAATCAGAGCGTGTTAAATAAAGGCATTTTTATTTACTTTGACTTCACTCTCACCCTCTTAATGTCAGCTTTCACACAGGTGCTTCCCAGCGTTTCTCAGTCTGTATAGTGCCAGTAAAGGTTTTTATGGATTATTAACAGTCAGGTCTATAGAAGCTTTGTGTTTCAGTTTTGATTGGAGTGGACCGGAGTCATTTGTAGCCCTGAATTTGAAGTCGGTGCAAAATTTACGACCGCAGAGGTTGTCTGTGCAACAAGTGATGACAAACTAAATGTGTGTTTGAAGTAAAGATGTAGGAAATGATGCTAAAGAAACCACAAGAGTACCAAGACTTTTTTGTCCAAGTTTGGAGTTTGGTGGAGAGAAGGGAGAAATATGAACTGAAGCTAGAGAGGTTTTAGAGACATATACCCTGAAAACAAGGATAATAGTCCTTAAAGGGTCCTGAAAATTCCCAGTATTTCCCTGTGGGTGAGCTGTTTTTAAGTTTTTAACCCTGACTTCCCCCGAATATTTCCAGCTAACGCCCTGCGATCATTTCAGCGTAATGTTTGAGTGAACTCTAGTGAAATACAGCAGCAAATCCAGATCAAGTGTTGATGTTTCTTGTTTGACGGTTGTTAAGTCTAGTTTTGTGAAGGATCTCTAGTTTTAATCTCAGAAAAGCTGTGAAACATGGAGGTATGTGTGAACAGTAAAGTCAGGTACATTTCTGGGTCAGAGCTCCTGAAATTTTCCACAGTGCACATCCAACAACAGCCCAAATCTCAAACAGTTCATCTTTTTGTAAGAATTGTATGTTTACATTAGTATTATCACTTTTGAGGAACTAACAGCGTAGTGCACATTTTTACTCTTAATCAAGGTTCTATTTGTGTAATACTAATTTCAGCGTCTCGTGCATTATGTTGGAGATACTTCCCAAATTTACCCTGTGGCATTTTGTTCATTTGTTCCCTGAGGAGTCTTCAAACTGGTTTGATGTGTTAAAAGCCTTTCATGCAGTTTGAACAGCTGTGCCCTCAGACAGTGTTCAGCTTTAACAGAGACACATGATAAATGAATGAATAAAAGCAGATAGAGCTCAGTTCATGCAAATCCAGCAGCAGCAGAGAGTCCATTTGAATACATGAGACCAGGGGAGGATGTCCAGCTCCACCAGTGAGTCCAGAAACAGTGATGCAGGTTTATGAGCACTTTATAACACATAATATAAAATACTACCACTCTATATGCCTCATTCATGCTGTTGGGCGGTGACAGGTGTACACTGATTTTGTGCTCTTGTAGTCGGACCATTAAAGATAGTTTAACTTGATTTATTCTACAAAAGCGAAATAAATGAACCTGTTAAAGATCATCACTGTTGACTGTTTGTTGTCTGTGTTACTGCTTATAAACCGGATAGCTAGGAAATCAGCAAAGTTTGTCAGATTGTACGAATTTATGTGATTACGACTTTAAAAACAGTTATAATGCCTGGTAATGATATAAGCGTTTACCACATGACCAAAAGAAGTGAATAAAAGTAAAAATCACTTCCTGTGTAGCGTGTACGTGTCTATATGGACCTCATAGACAGCCTCGAGTGGACACTTGTGGTACTGCACTTACAGGGATATTCCGGCGTAAAATTAATTTAGGGTCAAACACACGGTAACACCAAGTTAGACACCCCCTCCAGAGATGAATGTTGCAGACCGCTTGCTTCTCTAGTTATACCAACTTTAGTAACGACCGCATGATAGCAATACAGAGAGCCACGTGCTCCACCAAAATGCCACTCTATAGCCACAAATAATGCTCAGAACAGCACCTGACTTCATCATCAGTACATATAGGGTCCCAATCGTAGTACTAGACACCAAACATCTTCTTAACTTTGCCTAATTTCTTTAGCAAAGAGACTAAACACAACTCACCTACTCTCTTCCAGCAGCCGCTTGTTTGTAGTGAGACCTCAGGCCAGTCCATTACGGACTGCCGCGGAGTTTCGCAGCTCAAGGAGGAACATTTATGATCATTTCTTCATGGAAATACAATCAGACTGAGACGCTAAGGCAGAAGAACTACTGCGTCTGCAGTGAAAAATGATTAATATGGTGATTATTACTTTAATGGAAACGATAAAGTAATGATGATCATAAATGTTCTTCCTTGAGCTGCGAAACTCCGCGGTAGTCCGTAATGGACTGGCCTGAGGATTGTTTGTGGCTATAGAGTGGCGTGTTGGTTGAGGTTTGTTTATGGCTCCTCAGACTGCTGTGTATTGCTATTGTGCATTTGTTACTAAAGTCGGTATAACTAGCGAAGCAAGCAGTCGACAACATTAATCTCTGGAGGGGGTGTCTAACTTGGTGTTACGGTGTGTTTGACCCTAAATTAATTTTACGCTGGAATATCCTTTTAAGGTTGCAGCTTGAGGATTTATTTAAGCTATAATTCGTACAGGTTTTCACAAACATTTTCACATTTTTCTCTTTCTAGATGGAAAGACACGGACCAAAGACAAGTACCGAGTCGTCTATACGGACCACCAGCGTCTGGAGCTGGAGAAGGAATTTCACTACAGCAAATACATCACCATCAGGAGGAAGGCGGAGCTCGCCTCATCGCTCAGCTTATCAGAGAGACAGGTATGAGAACAGCTGCATTGATACGAAGCCCGGCTTGTACTTAACGCTATTGGACTTGATCTTAACCTTTAATCTGTCTGATCCAGGTGAAGATCTGGTTCCAGAACCGGCGGGCAAAGGAGCGAAAGATCAACAAGAAGAAGCTCCAGCAGCCAGCTTCATCCACGACCACGCCAAACCCTCCAACCAGCACCAACGGCAGTGGCAGCGGTTGCAGCGGCGGCCTCCATGGAAATGGCGGTAGCAGCGTGGGAATGGTGACGAGCAGCAGCAGCAACGGGCTGGTCTCACCTTCCTCCCTGCCTTTGAACATAAAAGAGGAGTACTGACAGAAACGTGGGACGATAACGCCGGGGATAAAGACTAAAAATGTTCCCCGATGAACTTGAAGACTTTTTGCGTCACATCTGACCTCTCGCCGACTTCAGCTTCTTAAAAATCGGAAAAAAAAATTGAATGTGCCATCTGAGCGATTCTTCTTCTTCTCTTGTCAGACTGTTGTTGAAAATAACTCCTAATGCGATCAGATGTTCAACCTCTTTGGTTGTTTTTCAGCCCTAAATCCTCTCTGGACCCTTGGCGGGTTCATCGTTTTTATTCCAGATAAATCTAATGATGTTAGAGACATGTCAGGTGTTTCCATTTGATGGAACTGATGCAGCCACGGGACGACTGTGGTGGTTTTGAATATCTCACTCCATGTAAGCATTATGAAGCTCAGTTGAGAGCTGTAGATACAGAAATTGAACCATGCTGTCAGACAGTGTGGGGAATATGTTTTTTTTAACTTTAAGGCTACTAAAATGGTTTGAAGGTGTTTATTTTTGCTTGGTAATGAGTCATTTTAAAAAGACGTGTAATGAGTTTCATGAAGAAATGTTTTCTCTACATCGAGGACAATAAAACCCAGACACAGTAGCGATAGCTTAAGGTTGTTCTGTGTTTTTCATCCATAGAGATGAGACGTTTTTAGACTCTAAATGACACTAAAGTGCTCACTGATTGGTTTATTAGAGGGTGTTTATTGATTGGTCAAACACAAGACCAAATTTGGTATCACTGACCATCATTTTTAAATGTTAGCAACAGTAAATAGGTCACTAAAATCAGCTGCAAAAGTGCACCCAAACCAAGAACCCTCGGACCAAGAGAATATCTAAAAGGAATATGAAGACAAATTAATTAATTTAAGTTTTATCTTTGTGCATTTTGAGCCACAAATAAAAAACACAAACTAAAAATTCAAGGTAACGACAGGCTGATTTTTTTATCCCTCGTTTTTCTGTGAGACCGGACACACCTGCGGAAAGGATGTTAGTCAAATAAATAGTTTTAAATGAACGAACAAGGTGACAAAAGAGACAACGCACTGAGAAACAGGGCAACGAAACAAGAGGCTTGATGGACCACACACACACACACACACACACACACACACACACACACACACACACACACACACACACACACACACACACTTGCTAACTGATGCAGCAGTTGAGGTGTGGTGTCCAAAGGGCGAAGAGGAACACTTGGTAAACAGAGCATAGATCCTGCTATCTACAACAGTGTGTGTGTGTGTGTGTGTGTGTGTGTGTGTGTGTGTGCATGCGCTGTCTTCAATCAGACCTTTGTCCTTCTCGGTTCATTTTTGCCTCCAACAGCAGTCCTATCTGAACCCTGATAGAGATTATCAGTGTGTGTGTGTGCATGTGTGTCAGTCGTTCAGACGGCCATCTTGAACTTGAGCATTTATAGTAGAAGCCGTTGTTAACACACAAACCTACATTTACAATAAATAAAAGTAACCTAAGAAAAAATACATAAAGAAAGAGGACCCAGGTTAGAGCCCTGGGGAACTCCGCACATCATGTCTGTTGCTTTTGGTTTGTTATAAAGATGTAATCTTTTACTTTTATTACAAAAGAAAAGAAACTACAGCCATGATTGTAGTCGTATTCAGCCGGCTCGGTGCTCTCCCTGTGTCACTGCACAGCAACAGACTGCAAAAAGGAACTGAGCCGTTTTCACAGATTAATTGTATTTACTTATATCTGTCACTCCTTTTAGCCTGGCTTCAGTTAGCTCAATTAAGCTTGTTCATGTCATGATTACTACACCCTCACTTTGTTTGGCTTTTCAGACGATCACATATATTCACGCCTTCCTCCTTCTGCTCCTCTCCCTGCTCTCCTCTCTCCTCCCACTGCTTTGTGCTCATTTTTTTAACCTTAAAGACATGAAGTCCATGAGGAATTTTAACTTTTTATCTGACCTCTACTGACGTAGAAATATGCGTCTTATTCCAAAACCTTTATTTTCCAGGGTCTTTCTATTCGCGGTGTTATCTTTTATTGACATTGATCCACTTATTTAACTAGAATTGGAGCTTTTCAAACAGATAGGGAGTGTTATTTCAACTAGAGATGAACCGATCCATTTTTCTCCGATCCATTCCGATATCAATACCTGGGATGAGCGTATCGGCCAATATCCGATACGATCCAGTACTACTGATGAATGAGTGAACTGTATACCTCTCCCTGTGAGTAAAGGCATCAGGCTCGACATTAGCCTTGTTAAAAAAAAAAAGGTGACAAATTAACACAGATATAAATTTACTCAATATTATTTCTCTAACAAATAACAAATTGCACATTAACACACAGCAAAAAGAAATAAGACTTACATGTATTAAAAGAAAAAAAGGTCTGTGTTTTCAAATGAAAAAACAAAAATCTAGGGAATTGGAAAATGAAAAGTGGAAAACAAACCGTTTTTCGTTTTGATCTTAAGAATCAGAGAACGAAAAAACAACTCAGTATTTGACTGTCTTTGATGTGACTTTTAACGGAAATTGAGGATCAAAATACATGTGTCGAAATCTTGTGTTTCAAGTTTCATTCACTTGTTTGTCGCGACACAGAAGTTGTGACTTGGAGCGACTGAGCGAGAGGCTCTCGCTAGCACAGATATATATATATATATATATATATTAGATACACCAGCGTGTTGTTGTAGCCCACTTAGCGACGTGCTTTCGTAGCAGCCATCTTGGTGCGGGCAGCGTTTCCATTAAGGCATTAGACGTACATGGAAACATTTTTTTTGTTTGATAACGAAAAACCTTTGGCCGCCAAGTACACGGACCATCGGAACGCTGAATCGGCATCATTCATCCGATATCCAATCCAGTTAATATATCAATATCAGAGCTGATATCAGATCAAAATAACAGATCGGTGCATCCCTAATTTCAACCCTAAATTTTCTGTGAACTTTGAATAAAATCTACAAACACAAAAAATCTCCATGCCGTTGTTTCCACAAAATCCCTCATAACTTACATGAAGGTTTAAAACTTTGACCTTTCTCTTCTTTCTGAGGCTTTTTTCATGATCACATTTCAAATATTCGAGTATCAAAGTAAAAGTAGAAATGTGTTGGCTTTAAGAGAAAACAAATATTTCCACATGAGAACCGAACAAGGACAAACAGAGAGGATCCAGGTTGTGACTAGCAACGGTGCCTCATTTTTGGGTAAACAGAGCGTAATGAGAGCAGCTCGGTCTCAGCGCCATAAAGTTTATGGAGGGGTGGGAGCAGTAAAAAAGGTTTCACCACAGAGACGCAGATATGTTTGTGGAGGAGGCGTGATGAGCTCTGATAGCAGCGATGGATGATGGCCAGAGGATTCAGTGCTGGAGTTTGGACACGGAGAGATACTGGCATTAGTTTGTACGTGCTGCACACTTTCCTGCCCTTTATTTTTCAGAATCAACAGAAATTTAAGTGTCGGTTAAAGTTGCATTTCCACAGAGCAGTTTGGATCAGAGCAGGTCACAAGTATTTGTGTTTCCATTATTAAAAGTTCTAGAATTATGAACTTTTAGTCGAGCAGAGAGAGGGACACAGAGAGGGCTGCAAAGGGAGACGGAGATCATGGCTTACCTGCAGAGTTATGACTTTGACTTCACAACTCCACGACTTCAAAATCAAAGCATTCTTCAAAAACAAAGGGGTCTTTTACCCTTTACCATACCAACATGTTTCCTTTGGGTTTAGTGCCAGGGTAGATCCAGTTTGTTGTTTGCACAAGGATGCAAGGATGATGCCTTTTGTGTCCAACGCAGGGAAGTGCATTTCTCTAAGATGGTCGTTGTTTAGCACCAAACTGATCAAGTTTCAGTGTCTGATCATGTGACTGTAATTACTTTATTGATGTTAGTATTGGCTACCAATGGTTTTAATAAGGTGACACTCATAATTAATGGATCAATAGGTGAGTGCTCGACTGTGATAACTCTCTGTGAGAGATGAAAGCGTCTTCCTGTTGATTTGTTGGCTTTGTTCATAAATTAGTCAAAGTCAAAGTTAGTCAACCTCAGAGAAAATACGAAGTCAACGTTTTGCAGATCTCGCTGTTCAGTTTTTGTCTGACTTGTGCATCGATTTTTTGTTGCAACAAGTAAACCGGTCAGGTCCAGTTTTAAAGGGATAACAAGAAATCAGGCAAAGTTAAAAAGATGTTTGGTGTCTAGTACTACGGCTGGGACCCTATATGTACTGTTGTTGAAGTTAGGTGCTGTTCTGAGCATTATTTGTGGCTATAGAGTGGCGTTTTGGTTGAACGCGTGGCTCTCTGTATTGCTATCCTGCGATCGTTACTAAAGTTGGTGTAACTAGAGAAGCAAGCGGTCGGCAACATTCATCTCTAGAGGGGGTGTCTTACGGTGTGTTTGACCCTAACTAGTTTTACGCCGGAGCATCCGTTTAACTGAGACCGCTTAAGTAAATATCTGCTGCAAGGCGCTTCAAAAGTGATATTTCCACGAGGTTAAAGACATCGACACAGAGCTTACGCAGAGAGATTTTACATAATGAACTCATAAAGACGCTTAGAGGGAAACATGAAGTCAAAGAGGGTTTTTATGACCGAGACCTTGCAGCTCTGCTCTCTGTTAGAGCGGTGACGGCGTTTATGAGGAACAACATCCTCGACTGTTATCATCGAGGTCAAATGTTCACCTGGCAGCGAGTCAGAGGCCGACGAGAAGCGGGATGTGGAGGACGAATCTGGGAAATACGCCTCTGGTTTTAAGAAATAAACGTATGCAACATGGAAAGAGAAAAAAAAAGAGTTCATATCTGATAATTTTGTCTGTCGCTGATATTTTTAATTCTTACTGATGTTTGAATCAGAGTCAAAGTCAGAAACCAGTATAAAGGATTTCAGTGAGTGTTCATGTGTCAGTCAGTCCTTCCTGGAAACCACACACACACTCTGACACACACACACACACACACACACACACTCTGTCACGCACACACCGAGTCGAACGGTCGGTGTGTGTGTTTGAAATGAAACTCCTACTAACACTGACGACAGCATGACGGTCTGACGGGGGCGGCGGCCATTTCAGGGCTCATTTCACTTCGCTGAAACAAAATGGTTGCCTGCAAAAACGTTCAATGACGACCTTGAACTTCTTCCCAAATTTCAAGGATTCTTACAAAAACTGAAATATTAATATTATTTTTGTTTTGTCAGTTGGAAATGAAAGGTTTATTTCTATAACGCCACATGAAGCTCTCTCTCTCTTAAAGTGTGTTTGTGCTCATTTAAAAGTGTTTGCTGCTCATTAAATAAAGATGATAATTAGAGCAAATAGGAAAGGACAATAAAGGGAGTAAATAACTCTTGCCTCTCGCCGGCGTCCATAAACACTCGAGGAATCGTCTCTGGCAGCGCCTCGTTCAGACTTATACAGCCGCGTGTTTATGGGCCATTTTACCATAAACTTTCATTTACAATATACTTACTGCCCCTAATACGCCCCTGTATTGGCCACATTGATTGTGGATAAACAGAGGAGCTGTAAAGGAGCAGTGCTGGAACGGTAGTAACGC